TTGGCCTCAATGCCTCGGGCAGAGACCAAGAACCCGAGAAGCTTGCCCGCAGGTACACCAAACACACACTTATCAGGGTTCAGCTTTATGCGGGCGGAGCGGAGGTTCTCAAAAGTTTCCGCTAGATCTGAAAGTAAAGTTTCTTGGTTGCGCGTTTTTACAACCAAGTCATCAACATAAGCCTCAACATTACGTCCTATTTGGCTACCCAAAGAAATTCGAGTAGTACGTTGAAAAGTAGGACCTGCATTCTTTAACCCGAAGGGCATTGATGTATAACAATAGGTTCCTACGGGGGTAATGAACGCAGTTTTTTCCTCATCCTCCCTAGCCATGCGAATCTGATGGTAACCAGAGTATGCATCTAGAAAACACAAAAGGTCGCACCCCGCAGTGGAGTCGACGATCTGATCTATGCGAGGCAGGGGGTAAGGATCCTTAGGGCATGCCTTGTTAAGGTCGGTGTAGTCGATGCACATCCGAAGCTTGCCGTTCGCCTTGGGAACGACCACCGGGTTCGCCAGCCACTCCGGATGGATGACTTCACGGATGAATCCGGCCTCCAGAAGTCTCACCACCTCCTCGCGGATGAAGGCTTGACGTTCCGGGGCCTGCCGCCGCACTTTCTGCCGGACCGGCCTTGCGCCCGGTCGCACGGCGAGACGGCGCTCAATCACCTCCCTGGGGACCCCGGGCATGTCCGCTGGTCTCCATGCGAAGACGTCAGCGTTTGCCCGCAGGAAGGAGACGAGCGCGTCTTCCTATTTGCCATCCAGAAGACCACCGATCCGTGTGGTCTTGGATGGGCCGTCGCCCAAGGCAACCTCCTTGACCGGGACCTCGTCGCATGTGGCAATCCGCTGCCTCGGGGCGGTGGGGGCGGAGGTGCCAAGCCTCTCGTCACCACCCTCGGGCTTGGTCGCAGCAGCGAGGTGGTCCGCGCGCTGCTCCATGCAAGCGAGCGCGACTTTAAGGTCGCCACGGACAAAGATGGGGCCACCGGGGCCCGGCATCTTCATCTGGAGGTAGGCGTAGTGGACCGCCGCCATGAACTTCACCAACGCGGGTCTCCCCAGGACCGCGTTGTAGGGCAGACTGAGGTCCGCCACATCGAAGTTCACCCGCTCCGTGCGGAAGTTGGCTGATCCACCAAAGGTGACCGGTAGGTCGATGTGACCTAACGGCCATGTGTGCCCCGGCGTCACACCGATGATCGGATGAGACGGCTGGAGCACCATCCCCGGGGCCTTGATAGCATCAAAGGCCGCGGGGGAAAGGATGTTGAGAGCCGCTCCTCCATCTATGAGGACACGCCCCAACTTCACATTGCAGATAGTGGGGGAAACCACCATCGCAATCTGCCCTCCCCGGGCGACGCACGGTGGGTGGTCGGTCTGGTCAAAGGTGAGGGCCACCTCCGACCACCGCGCCCGACGCGTCGCCTCATGAGTAGGGGCCGCGGCGAGAAGCTCTCGCCTCATGGCCTTAAAACTCCGGCGAGAAACGTGAGCACACGCTCCCCCGTCGACAGTGGCAATGGTGGCCCCAGGTTCCTGGAAACCTAGGTCATCATCACCGTCATCGACGTCAACGGCGGGGGCCTTCTGTTTGGCCTCACTTCGCCGTTTACCGGAGGGAACTGCCGCGGACTTGCCCTCACGGCGTTCCTGCCTCCTGTCCTCCTCCCACTTCCTCGTTCGCTCAGCCAAGTTTTTGACTGCGCGACAGTCCGCGAGATCGTGGAGGGAGGTGTTGTGGACGGAGCACCACTTGCTGGCTGGGCGCTCCCGGCTGGGAGTACCAGCCTCTTTCTTTTTGTCGCTCGCAGGCCTCCCCTTTCGGGTGGCCCGCGGAGCGCCCTCGACGGCGAGGACGTGACCCTCGTCGCCGGAATGGACCGACCTTTTCTTCCTCCTCCTGTCACGCCGCCCTGTCTGAGCGGCGGATCCGGGGGCGGCCGAAGCTGCCACACCGGAACCGGAGGGGTTCCAGGTCCAGGCCTCCTCCTTACGAGCCACTCGGTCCGCGAGCTGAAAAAGCTCTGCGGTAGTCTGGGGCTCTTTGGAGGCAATCTTTTCGAGCATGCGGTTGTGCCGCACACCCCCCCTGAACGCGTAGATCACCGCGTGTGCAGGGATGCAAGGTATAGTATTGCGGACTTGGCAGAAACGCTGAATGTACGAGCGAAGGGATTCATCATCCCCTCGCTGTACTGCGTGCAAGTCCGCTTCTTCACCTGGGCGTGGATAAGTGCCTTGAAAGTTCATGGTGAACTGCTGGCACAGATCCTCCCAGGAGTGGACCGACGCGGGTGGCAGGTTCATTAGCCAACCCCGTGCCTGTCCCTTCAGGGCCATGGGAAAGAAATTCGCCATGACCCTGTCGTCTCCCCCAGCGGCCTCGATCCCGGTCGTATAGACCTGGAGAAACTCGGTGGGGTTGACGCTCCCATCATACTTCTCGGTGATGGTGGGCCGGAACCTTGGGGGCCAACGGACATTCCGAAGACTCGCCACAAAGGCTCTACAGCCGATACCACCAGCCGGGGGCACGGAGGGCTGGTCCTCACGTCCATGTCGAGGTGACACTCTGGACGAGGAGGCGCCCTCCGTTGCACGGGGAGTACGCCGGCTATTACGCCGGCGCTCGATGTTGAGGCGGGCATCCGGCTCCCCATGCTGATCCTCCCGAGTCGAAGGTGTCGACGAGGGAGTGGCAGCCGAATGCCGTGCAGCCGCCGCCGCTCGCCGCGCCCTCCGCCTTGATGACACGGAACCGGTGGTGGCGGCGCCGGAGGTCTTGGTGGTGGCGGACCGTCCACCAGCACCCAGGCGCTGCTGGGCCGTCATGACCAAGTTGGCCACGTCGTCCAGCCATCGCTGAGCTGGAGACTCAGGGTCATGGACGACGGGCGGGTGACGTAGGAGCGCGCCAGCAGCCTGAAGCGCGCCCTGAGGCGTGCTGCCGTCGCCGTAGACGAGGAGGCGACGCTCCCCATCTCGCCGTTCTCCTGCATCACCCGCGACCGGTGATGCTGCGGATTTATCAACCCTCTCGAGCGCCTCCCCCTGCTTAGGACTTTGGTGTGGAGGTGGGGGAGTACGAGCTCGACGGCGTGGGTTTGGCTCCCCGTCGTCGCCGCTCACACTCGGAGAGAGGTCGTGCGCCTTTGCTTGCTCGGCCATTAGGCAGAACAAGGGAAACTTGGCGCACACGGAAGAGTATGAGAGCTCAGAAAACACACGCTGAGCCCCCTACCTGGCGCGCCAGATGACGGAGCTCGTGGCTCCTCACCGGGAGACCGCGCAGGCCCCCCTTTGCCAGTTCGGCCGGGGGCTTAGGGTGAGATCTCAAGCTCTCTCTGTATGTGGAAAGATTGCGTGCCCGGAAGAAACGCGAGACACGGACGATGTATACAGGTTCGGGCCGCTGGGAAGCGTAATACCCTACTCCTGTGTTTTGGTGGATTTGTGTGTGGAGGAGCTACAAAGTCTGAGCCGACCTATCCCTTGTTCTAGGCTCTAAATCTGGAAAAAATCAATCCTCCCTTCCCTATGGGCAAGGTCCTCCTTTTATACTTTAAGGGGATACCACATGCACTCTTCCCTTTCCAAACTGGACTTTTCTTCTTTACATAAATGGACGGAGATTTGCACGGTTGCCCTCCGAACGTCCTTCTGATGGGACGGCACATACCTACCTCCACTTCTGCCGGGGGCAGGCGCGTCGTGGGAACGTGGCTGTGAGCTGACGACATGAGCAGTGTCAGACCGGTCACAAATCGGTCATCCTTGTCCACCGCGTGTCAGCTTAGCAACGTGCATGTTTGCCCTTCTTCACACAACATCTTGCCTGTAATGGTTAGGATGAAGCCTGGTATTCATCTAACCAGGGCTAACGTGTCATCTCTAAGAGGTAACACGCTAGCTCCGGCTGGAGACGCGTGCCTAGAGGCTCTCGTCTTGACGGGACGGGGCGAGGCGTGCGTCAAACCGCCAGTCGCCACCTAACCGTTGATCTGACCGGTCTGTGACTGGTCACAGACCGGATAAAAGAGCGCGCTGCATTGCGCTGCATGCAGCGTGACACGCTTGACCAGACCGCAATAAATGCGGTTAGGTGAGCCCTACCGTGTTCACCCAACCTATGTACATAGTGCAAACCCCACAAGGGGTCGGGGCACCTCGGCCCTCGGGGCCGGGGCAGGAGCAACCCGACCCCCCCCCCCTCGGGGAAATCAGGAGGAGGGCGGACACCTCACCCTCGGGCCCGACGTCCCCGAAGGTGCCAGGCCACGTGGGCGATTCCATCTGCCTCAAGCCTCCGGGCGCAATACTCCCGGTCCCATATCACCGACAGAAGCGTTTATAGAAATCTCACGTGGCAACTTAAGAGCGTTTGTAAAAAGTCTAATGGATTTTTAGTATATAATAGATAGATATATTTAATGCTGAATTTAATGAAACTAATTCTGTATTATAGATGTTGATTTTTTTTATAAACTTGGTCAAATATAAAGAACTTTGACTGAGAAAATAGTTAAACGATTTATATAATATAAAACAGAGGAAGTATGTGAGAAATAGATGAATTATGTATTAATAATATAGTATATATCTATAACTAACTAGTACTATTGTGTAAGTAGGTTATAAATGATGTTTTAATTTTTAGAACTAGTAGCTGATTATAGGCTGTGTTTAGTTCACACTGAAATTGAAAGTTTGGTTGAAATTAAAACGATGTGATGAAAAAGTTTGAAGTTTACGTGTGTGTAGGAAAGTTTTGATGTGATGAAAAAGTTAGAAGTTTGAAAAAAAAATTGGATCTAAACACGGTCTATATTACGCTTGCTATAAGCTGTCACGCTCACGGAGCGCAGAGGTCCACAGTCCACACGATCGCCAAATGCACGCAGGAAAAAACGCAATCTTTTTTCTTTTTTTGGCGACATATGCTTAGCGAATTTGACTTGGAGCGCCGGAGAACTCGCTATAAAAAATAACGGTGGGCTTGCGTAAGCTGCGACACAGCGAGACTCCAGCGAGGCGCCGAGGCGGAGGCGTGCGTGTCGCCCACAAAATTTTTCCGCACGCTTCTCCAGAAAATTTTCGGCCTCTTCTTGTCTTCTCCTCTCCCCGTAATCTCAGGTCAGAATAATTCAGATTTCACCTCGCGCGAATACGTGTGTGTATGGATGATATCAAGGAGACAAGGAGAGAGAGGGAGAGTAGCTGAGTAGGCTAGTTTCTTCTCGTCGGCGAAGGCATCGTTCGGATTTCACGGCGAGGTCGCCATGGGATGCGCGTCGTCGAAGCAGTTCAAGCGGCCGCCGGGGTACGAGGAGCCGGCCGTCCTCGCCGCCCAAACCACCTGTGAGCACCTCTTCACCTATGCGTTTTTTTTTTCAAGATAATGGAAGCTTTATTGCACTCGTTAAATACTTTAATTACATCACCGATGCATATGCAACACCATTGATAGTTAAGCAGTTATTGTTACAAGTTACAACGGCTGTGTGTTTGTTTTGCCTCTGCATTGTGGATGATTTTGCAGTGTTCTTGCAGTTACGGTGAACGAGGTGGAGGCGCTGCGCGAGCTGTACAACAAGATGAGCTATTCCATCATCAAGGACGGCCTCATCCACAAGGTGATTTAAGCAGAGTTGATTAGATAGCTGCCTCCAATGGCGTTTCTGGGATGCCAATCTTCTTGATGATGTACTACCATTGTTCCTTCTGAATGCGCTGATCATGGTGTGTTTTTTGTTGAGCAGGAGGAGTTTCAGCTTGCCTTGTTCAGGAACAGCAGAAAGGCGAATCTCTTCGCAGACAGGGTTTGTTCTTGTTCAGTCCTGATTCTGTCAGCAGGCAGGAGATGGCCAACCAAATGGTCATCTTGTTTGATTCTTCTCTGAACAAAGAATGATCATTCTGTTGCATGTTTTTCATGGCAGGTGTTTGATTTGTTTGATCTGAAGAGAAATGGGGTAATCGAATTTGGGGAGTTTGTACGGTCGCTCAGTGTGTTCCACCCAAAAGCGCCTAAATCAGAGAAGACTGCGTGTATGGCCCTGCCTCCTGTGCATTCATCTTCTTATTATTTTCAGAAATAGGCGTATTCAGTTTATCTTTCTCCTCATCTTGGCAGTTGCATTCAAGCTCTATGATCTAAGAGGGACAGGATATATTGAGAAAGAAGAGGTGAATCTGAATCACTCTCTTTCACGGCAATTTGTACTTTTCATTATTAACCCTGAACTTCAATTAACAGGTTGATTTTGTTTCCCTTTCAAGAAATTAACAGATTGTGTTTGCTTACTGAAACAGCTCAGGGAGATGGTCTTGGCACTTCTAGATGAATCAGACCTACATCTTTCCGAATGCGCTGTCGAGGCAATTGTCGATAATGTACTGTAGTTAACAAAGATCCTTCTAAGCATTTACTCTCTCAAATATAATTTTCAGATGATTTTTCTGACTCGATCCTCATGCTGCTCCTTTTTGTCTTGCAGACATTCAGTCAAGCAGACTCAAATGGAGATGGCAGGATAGACCCTGAGGAATGGGAAGAATTTGTTAAGGCGAACCCGGCATCACTAAGGAACATGTCACTTCCCTATTTGCAGTGAGTAGTGAAAATACTGAATTCTCACTAGAAACATTAGAACTAGAAGTGTACTTTTTTCCCAATCTCAATTTTGTGTTATTGATTATTTTCAGGGACATTACCATGGCGTTCCCGAGCTTTGTAATGCATTCAGAAGCCCATGACTGAAAATACAGATCCCATTGGAACGTATTACAAGCAACCAAAAGTTCTCCATTGTTGCTGAAGCTCGAGGCAGCTCAATTTGTTGGATGCGCCGGAGTTCAGAAGCAGGCTGCAACTGAAATGCGTTGACCGTCATCGCATGAGTGAATGACGCCATGAACAACAGAATGGCATCTGATAATAAGTATCAGAGTGGCTTTTCTTCTGCTTATGCGAGGGATACAGAGGGCCCAGCAGCAAGATTGTTCAACGAAGCAACACAAGCAAAATTAAGCACTCTGACCTGCTGAAATGCCTTCTTTTTTTCCCGTCTTGTATGTATAGTTGTGAGTCAGAAGTGACACTGGTGACCATTGACCTATAGTTGAAGAGATGCAGGAGTGTTCATTTTTCTTCTTGAAAGTGATTTTGATGGCCCAAAGCGGCCTAGCAGAATCAAAACATGTCCTTGTAAAGTGTTTGTCGGGTGAGAAATCTGCTCCCACCATACGCACAACGACGGGCGGAAAATACTCAGAAAAATAGATCGACCAATCTCATAGCAAAGCAAACAGTACAATGTTTTTTTTTCAGAACACGAGTAGTACAATGTTTACAAGCCTATTTGGAGCACAGAAAATCTCGTAAAATTCTGCAGAAACCTTCACCTTCCCCATGAAACAATTCATTTTCCACACAAGCTATAAAGTAGTATATCCACATACTCTCTCCGTTGCACAGAAAACAAATCTAGTATCGGATGTAACATATTCTAGTACTACGAATCTGATAGTAGATTTGTAGTATTAGGATGTGTTACATCCGATACTAGATTGATTTTTTAAGGGACAGAGGGAGTACATACCAAACAGCCTCTAGTAGTTATAATTCCCTCTTCATTATTCCTAGTGCCAATATAGATCGCCGTGAAAATTCAAACGTAGCTTGATTGACTAACGCGTCAGCCTTAGATTACCGTGGCATGTATGCATATGGAGCTATTCTCTTCGTTCTAAATTAAACCAACCTAAAATAAAATGAGACATTACCTTAGTATAACAATTTTGAACTTGTGCCGTTTCAACTTATTTTAGGTTGGTTTATTTCCAAACACAGAGAGAAGCCGGCAAGAGGGTGCAGTAAAAACGATGGTTGCCTGGTTGGTCTCGGTAACAATGCCAATGCATCGCTGAATCTGCAATTTCCCCGCGTGAGCGCGATAATATTACGGTGGCACACGACGCGCGGTTGGCTTGGCTTGGCCCCCGCCATTTTGAGATGGGAACGGATCGAGATCTAGGCGGAGGAGACGGTGGCTGGTGCAGCAGGTTGGGGGGGAAGGGGCCACAGCTGCGCGAACTTCACCTTGGAGATGCTCTGCAACACCTCCAATGGCGTCACGTCCCCCGTCACCACCACCTTCTTCTTCTCCAAATCCACCTCGAACCACGTCACGCCTGCAACCCAACAAAAACGCCACAAGTTCAACACACCCGCATATATATTATCTAAAAAAAACACACCAGCATATAAGTCCCTTCCTTCTAAAATACTCCCTCCGTTTTTATATTATATAAGTCATTTGACTTTTTCTTAATCAAACATCTTTAAGTTTGATTAAATTTATAGAAAAATATAGTAGTATTTTTAACACCAAACAAACGTGTTATAAAAATGTATTTAATGTTAGATTTAGTTATACTAATTTTATATTTTATATGTTGTTAAATTTTTCTATAAACTTGGTTAAGCTTAACAAAGTTTGACTAGGAAAAAAGTTTTTTTTAAGGAAAGTGACTGGGAAAAAAGTTAAATGTTTTATAATATAAAATAGAGGGAGTACATAACATAGTATTGTATAAAACACTGTACTGATTCGTAGTAGAATATGTCTCATCCAGTATTAGGCTGCTATATCTTGATACGGATGAAGTATTCTCTTTGCCAAACCACAGCATAGACTTGTTGAACAATTTTCATGTCACATTTCAAGTTTGAAATGGATATGCTAACATTATAATTTTTTTTCTGGTTGTCGCGTGTGGATTCGAAGGATCAATCATGCACCACAGCACCAGGGGGAACCACACATGTACCCAGCGCGAGCATGACACTTGGATCCACCCCCCCCCCCCCCCCCCACCCGGGCGACGAGCAAGCTCGATCGAGCGACACGAGAAGCACGCAAGAGGAGGGTGATTTGATCGGTGACGGTGACAAGAACACCGTGGTTTTTGATGAAATTGATGACAGCCTGCGAATTCATCAGCGTACAGTATGCAGGAGCAATAATAGAGCAAGCGAGTACTGTACTGCTAATGATCTATGGCGTCTCTGAATTCTGAATTGCCAAGATTGAGGATCACTGTGAACTGTTACTACTGCTGTGGCCATGATCACAGGATCATGGGTTGATGACAGGAAGATCCAAATGACAGTTGCGAGTAGATCCATCCAGATTGGGGAACAGAGGAAAGGTGAAAGGATTGTGTTCGCATTTTATGCTGCCATCCATGTTCCATGATCCATCCTGACTACTCCCTCCGTCTAAAAAAAGACAAACTGTGAGTTCTCATGCCAACGTTTGACTGTCCGTCTTATATAAAATTTTTTATAATTAGTATTTTTATTGTTGTTAGATAATAAAACATGATTAATACTTTATGCGTGATTTATCTTTTTAATTTTTTTCATAATTTTTTTAAATAAGACGGACGGTCAAACGTTGAACACGGTAACCAAGGTTTGTCTTTTTTTTAGTACAGAGGGAGTATTTTGCTGGTAGAGAGTATCAAGATCTGGAGTAGTACAAGGACAGTGAAGCACAGATGCATAAAAGCAGCCGAGTTAATGTTCACCGTACCATGCGTCTGTGGCCTTGGTCTGTACGGTGTTTTTCGGTTCATCGGTTGTACTACAGACTACAGTACAGCCAAGAAAATGCCCAGGCCATTTACCTAGCAAGCGACTGGAGAAGATGAATTACAGTCTAAACTACTCTTAGGGGGTGGTTAGATGGGGCTAAAACTTTATAGTCCATATCACATCAAATGTTTGGACACTAATTTGGAATATTAAACATAGACTAATAAAAAAACTAATTTTATAAATGAGAGCTAATCTGCGAGACGAATTTTTTAAGCCTAATTAATCCATAATTATAAAAAGTTTACTGTAGCATCACATTGTCAAATCATGGCGTAATTAGACTCAAAAGATTCGTCTCACGAATTAGTCCAAGGTTATGGAATGGGTTTTGTAATTAGTGTATGTTTAATACTCTAAATTAGTGTCCAAACATCCGATGTGAACAAGGCCCTGTTTCCCAAACAGGCCCTTACATGGCAAGCTCTGAAAACTGAACTGATCTTTGCAGAGTGTTGGAGAGGGGCAAAAGCAAAAAAAGAAGAAAGAACAAAGAAGGGCACTTTGTCCGTGACTGAAAAAGGGTAGCAAAGTACAGTGTATCTTAGGAAAGTTCATGAGGTGAGTGCAAATGTGGAGTTCAGCTTGGTCTGGAAAATAAAGGTATTACCTGGCCTGAACCATTTTGGAGGGGATTTATGTTTTGGATTCTCTAACGTTAGTTGAAATGATCGAGCATTTGGATAAAACCGGTTAACGTATATGTTCGATGAACCGATGAAGGTAGGGAGAGCAGACTCTCAAGACGATAGCAGAAGAGTTAACATTCTCTACCTATCAAACAGTCTGAAAACTGTCCGGAAGAAATAAACTGTTTTTCTGAACTGAGAAGTTCGTCATAGAAAAAGCTAAAAGATGATGATGTTTTGTTACCTTCCATCCTTGAGATGTGCTTCTGAACTTTCTTAGCACACCCATTGCAGTGCATGGACACCTTGAGCTCCACAGTCTGCATCAAAACACAACCAAAAAGACAGAGAATGCACATCAACCAATGGCACAGGCACACAATGACACAAGCACGTTGATCAATTGCACTTGGATATCTGATGGAAGACGAAGACGAAGAAGATTTTGCATACCTTTGGTTCTAGATGGAACCCGAGTGTCCTCGTGCCATCAACAAGATCGCGAAGCCTGATCACCTGGTCGACCTGGCTACTACTGCTCACCAGGGACTTCCTCTCCATGGCCGCCTCCTCGTCGCCGTCTTCCTCCGACGCGCGCAAGCAGAGGCAGCCGCTGCTTCTCGCGCAACACATGGAGAAGGAGAAGCAGTCCAGCACCTTGCCAATGCGTAGCCTCCTCCTCCTCATTGCCCTCGTCATCCACTGCCTCTCCCACACACACACACAACCAGTGACAGAGACAATCTCTCTATTTATCTATGACCTGACCTTATCTCTGTGATCGAATTGAAGTTGCTATGAACAACAAGCACAGGGATGTTTAAAATGGCAGCTGACATTCCCTTCTTCTCTATCACCAAGATTGGATGAGATCTAGCAAGTTGTGCCCATGATAAATGATGGTGATGGTACCGTTGCTATTTGGCTGTGCTATTGCAAGGGAATATCCATGAGAGTTTGTACAAGAGCTAGCTAGTACTGGACTACTACTAGTAGTAGACTTACCAGGTTAAGGTTAGTACTATCAGTACTAGGGTGAGCAAGATGAGGGCCACAGAGTACAGAGGCAAATTTGTTCGTCAGTGCGCTCCTCTTGCTCAAATACGTTTGAAAAGTTACAACCAAAGGACAGGTAGGTATTTTTGTCCAATGTCCAATGATAAGAGATAGTACTCCCTCCATACACAAATGTAAGTAAAATTCTGAGCTTTTTTAAGAGGGATTAAGGATGAAGAGAAAAAAAAAGACTGTGATGAATCTTATTAAATGAGAGGTTGTTGGGGGTAGGATGAGGTGAAAATTAAGGCCCGGTTTAGATGGCAAAAAAGTTTGTTTTGGGGTGTCACATCGTATATACGTACATACATTTGAAGTATTAAACATTGTCTAACAATAAAATAAATTACAGATTCTGTCAGGAAACTGCGAGATGAATTTATTAAGCCTAATTAATCCGTCATTAGCAAATGTTTACTGTAGTATCACATTGTCAAATCATGACGCAATTAGGCTTAAAAGATTCGTCTCGTAATTTACACGCAAACTGTGTAATTGGTTTTTTTTCACATTTAATACTCCATGCATGTATCCAAATATTCGATGTGATGGGTGAAAAGTTTTTATTTTGGGAATTAATAAGGGCCTAAACCATAAACGGTTGGGTTGGGAAAGTAATACTACTGTAGAAATGCTTATATTTATGGATATATTTCAAATAACAGAAATGGTTATATTTTTTTATGGATGGAGTAGATGTTTTTCTTGCTAAGGTCGAGTTTAGTTCCAAACTTTTTCTTCGAACTTCCAACTTTTCCATCACATCAAAACTTTTCTACACACACAAACTTCCAACTTTTCCGTCACATCGTTCCAATTACAACCAAACTTCAATTTGGTGTGAACTAAACACACCCTAAAGAGTTGTTGCAAACAACACTATGGTTGTATTTAGTTCCACGTCAAAATTGGAAGTTTGGAAAAATTAAAACGATGTGACGGAAAAGTTGAAAGTTTGTGTGTGTAGAAAAATTCAATGTGATAGAAAAGTTAGAAATTTGAAGAAAAAAAGTTGGAATCTAAACAGGCCTATATAGCATGCCGTGCTGGATGCTGACAAGTTTTGGCTTGATAGGTGGGAGGAGACAAGCAGCTGGGCTCTCCATGTGACAATGTGCAACCTTGGCAAACATGCACTAGTGGCCACTGATCAGTGATGTGCTACTGATACTGGAATCGTGTAGTTGTTCCATCATAGGAGAGAAGCTAAACTGGAAGATGCAATGGAGGACAATATGTTGTGCAAAAAAATAGAAAGGTCGAATCATTGGTGCCAATTGCCAAAGAGTAACCAATCATGCTGCCAATAGACCATTGGCCATTTCTTTTAATATATTGCAATTGTTCTACCTTGGCATGGCATGGACATAAAAATTCAGGAAGCAGAGAAGAAGAGGCGTATATGCAGGCATCAGATTATGAGTGACAGATCGCCGCGTATGGTTCTGCCATTTTCTTGCCATGCCCATGCGTTTGTGGATCAGAAAGATCAGAAAAGAGAAGCTTCAGGCATATGCATGGGTGACCAATGGACCAGCGCAATTGCAGAAGAATCGTTGGGATAGTGCAACTGTGCAAGGTGATAACGGCACGCAAACCAATAAGGGATTGTGCGTACGGCATGGTACTGCTCCTGCGTACTAAATGCAAGATAATGATAGAAGTAATTCCTTTCGGAAGAGGAAGTATTAGTATTATTGAACTGCACAAGATAAAGTAGTAGTAAAACTACGGCTGTGTTTAGTTACACGTCAAAATTGAAAGTTTGAAAAAATTAGAACGATGTAATGGAAAAGTTGTTCATTTATGTACCTATGAAAGTTCAATGTGACGGAAAAGTTGAAAGTTTGAAAAAAAAAGTTGAAATTATACAGCCATGTCAGGGACAAGAAATCAGGTCGTGTTTAGATTTAAACTTTTCTCTTCAAAATTCTAACTTTTCCGTCAAATCAAATGTTTCGACACATGCATAGAGCATTAAATGTGGACGAAAAAAACCAATTGCACAGTTTGTATGTAAATCGTGAGACGAATCTTTTGAGCCTAATTATGCCATGATTTTATAATGTGGTGCTACAGTAAACATTTGCTAATGATGGATTAATTAGGCTTAATATATTCGTCGCACAGTTTATAGGCGGAATCTGTAATTTGTTTTGTTATTAGTCTACGTTTAATGCTTCAAATATGTGTCCGTATACTTTAAAAAAAATTAGCACACGAACTAAACACAGCCTCAGACGTCTGATGAATTTGTAATGCTTGCATTTGCTTGTTTGGGGGCATGCGCATCGCGCAACAAAGGCCAAAATTAAAACTATTAGTATAGCTACCTTTTTTTTTTTTTTGAAACGGCATAGCTACCATTTTTATGTGTTAGAGGTGAAATTCTTTTTATTGCTGTAGCATACAAGTTAAAAGGGTCCTTTTATTCTCTTGCGTAATAAGCCTGATGATTTCTTGAATACCCGGCACTAGTTTTATTGGAAGAGAACGTGATCCGACCAGATGCATTTGTGATGCCCTGACCACCTAAACTTATAGGCCAAAAGACAAGGTAATCATGTCTGGAAAGCGGGGGGTCAACATGGATAGCCAATGACCAAAATAAATAAATATTTTTTTATAAGACGTGCATGTACAACATTCACATAAGTTTCTCACTTTTACATCTTTCTACGTAGTAGTTGTTAATATCATACTCCACTATAAAGGGAAACCAATGGTAAAATTGTAGTAATTCAGAAGACCTGGTGCTTACACAGTTACAAGTAGTATGAACTGAACAGAAAGAACTCTGTGTAACACTAACACGTACCGAACTAGTATATCGCGACAATATCTTCAGCAAAGGGAACACATCACATAGCAGATCTTCAAAATGTCATAACGGATTAACCGACAGTGATCAAGTCAGCTGAGCAACACAAGCAAACCCAACACCACCTTGTATTCCCCCTCTTTCACCAAGAAAAGGAGCTTACAATAACAGAGACCTCACGTATTCTCCATCGCGCATTATTCATATATGCATGCCAATGTGAAGATGATCAATAGCAACATGGACGGTGTACCATGTAAATCTCACCTGACAGGGTAACAGGGTTCAGAACGTCCATCAAATAGTAAGGATTCAAATGGCGTCAATTGTCGAAAATCATACCTAATTACACAATAGCAACTGCCCATCAGAATAATCACTGCAAATGACTATAGTAAGGATATAAACACCTTCAACTGTCAAACCTGAAAAGGAGCAGCACCAACTTTGTCAAATCAAAGCATATCCTACGATTCTAAAATGCTCATGGGCACATGTAGGAGCACAATATACATGACAACTGCCTATCCAAGGTTGAGGTACAAGAGCAATACAAACATCTAGCCATTTAAAGTGTCTTGCTGAAATATCTTTTCTCGTGGAAAAATGGCCAGTCACTCATCAACCAAATGCAGTTAGAAGAGAGGAGACATGTATTCGTTTATGAGTTGTGACGAAGGAAATGGAGAAAAGGACAGATTCAGGGTATACCACAATTTGGACTTAGCATGCCAAATTAAGAAACGGACACACTATACTTCCAAAAGCAATTGCAAGTTGTTAAGCTAGTTTTAGCTACGATTCAATTACCTCCTTTAATTAGAAAATATCAATCTCATATTTATTCACTAAAATACTAGATATCTATGGAAACACTGCAGAAATTCTTAGTAGCTCACTAAGTGATAATAAACTTGGATAATCAATAGAATAAGACTCTGAACTAGCTTCAGAAGCCTTAACAAATGAAAACATGTTCCATACTTGGTTGCCACTGTGAATCTACCATAAAAGAATTATGAAGTGAATGCCAGAAAATAAATTTCCTTATTATACATAGTAAGTGAAAGATATATATGAATAGAAAGACAACAGACATCTAATGTCTACTGCTAAAGGATTTTCCTTATGTTACCCTCAAGGGATCAAGGTTTGGGTGAAAGGGCAAGACCACAGAACAACACCAGTCTAACACAATGAAAGAACAACAGAAGTCATGCGTACCTGGCATTCATTCTGGATACAGCCCAAAGTGCTACAGATCAGACACTGAAGTGTTGCAAGGACCCAGAAAGGCCTTGAGATAGAAGTCTTGCACAGACCCAAATCTAACAGATGAAGTCCTCATTAACACCATCGTCACTATGTTCATTTGCCAAAGTTCATTTCCGAATATCTGTAACAAGACACAACATGGTATTAACACATAGTATTAGAACAGAAAGCATACAGCAAACAGAACACATAAACTTTAACATACCTCCGAGGTTTATGTTGGCGTTGACTAAGTTCATCATTTAAAGCCTCTGCAAAAGAGGAAAAGGCCTCGGTACATTTATGTGGCAAAAATAGGAGAAGATACCCCAAAATAAATACCAATTGAGAAGACAAAATAAATGGAAAGGGATGGAAGATGCCTTTACCAGTTATTTCTTGTGACTTCAACTGAGAAGAGGCACTGGGTTCTCTGTAAAAGAAACAGAAAGAATCATTACTATCGAAAGCACTAGGATGATTGAAGCACTAGGATCCTTTGTATTCTCATTAACATTTTTCTGTTTGTGCATGTTGTGTTGGTGGTTGGTGATGAAGGCTGGGACAGAAATCAATGACGATCATTTGTTCAATTAGACTACGTATAATAGGAAAATGCTAGGTGCATGCATAATGATTGTATCCCCATGCCATTCAAATTGCCCCCTTGCAGTTGCACAAGACAACAAAACAGAAAAATCGCAGCAAAACAATTATTATTCAACCTAAATAAAGTAATCATCAACCTCTCCAGATCAGGAGAGTAGTGTTACTCCAATTATCTACCAAAACCTATTCTGATGATACGGCTGGTCAACCAGTACGGCAGTACCCACAGGAAGACAGCTAAAGCAAGCACATTGGTAGAGGGAAATCATAGAATATAAGTCCTCAGATTAGGGCTATGTAAGGGCATTAACTACTACTCCCTCCGGGTTGATATTACTTGTCGTTTTAGACAAGGGTGAGATCAAACTTTAGAATATTTGATTATGAATCATTTTTAAAATATTTGTCTTTCAAATATGGTGACTACATGTATAGATTAGTCTTAAAAAGTACTTTAATAAAATCATATATTTTTTCACACTTTTATACATATTATAATGGAAAATAATGGTTAAAGTTTTTTTTTGGAGACCGTGCCCTTGTCCAAAACGACAAGTATTATCAACCCGGAGGGAGTAGTTCATAGCATATTATTTATTGTCGTCAACATGTTGGTAATAGGTGATCATACCTCAGAACCAGAATTTAACAAAAGGATGAATCATCATTAAATTAACATTATCTCAATTCTCAACAGTATATATGCCTTGTGTGCGAAATCCAAATTCTTGCAACATGAATCATATTAGAGTATTAGACTAACATACCTCAAAGAAACTGATGAAGATGCATGTTCAGAAGTTCGGGGATAATAGCTGCCATCTACAGTAATATAAGGTGAACCATACGTTGCTCCCAAAGCTCCAGAAGCACCAGCCAATATCGGTAGCCTAGTTTCATTCAGATACAACCCACAAAAAAATTAGGCCTGAGCAAACAGCAGTGTGCTAACATCTAAATGAAGTACAATGTGATAACCACATCATACCAATTGGAGGTAGAGAAAAATAAAGCAAACAACTATTCTAAGAGTTCAAAGAGTCATTACCAAGTCATTTCAGAATTGCTCAGACCAAGTTGTTGTTGAGACACAAATCCTGGTAGAGCCATGCCAATTGAGGGAACGCCAGTCCCACCTGGATGCTGGCCTCCAAACTGCATAACTGTATGGGAAAAAAAAAAGCTAAAGGCATATTGCAGAATGGTTTTGGAAACAAAAACTTGGTTCAGTTCACTCCAATGGGGTGGCAGTCTACTGAAAATAACACTACTTTTCAGAAATCAAACCAGAAGTTCAAAGTAGATTATAAATCCACTAACATCACTGTAAACATTTTCACTCAAGGCACATAGCATGCACCCTCTAATCAATGGAGGAATAAGCCTTTAGAAATTGGATTATTTCTTTTCCCCTCACCCATGTAATCGTTTACTCATTTAACACTCTGGTTACTATATTGCCGTGTGAATAGTAAAAATACGAACCTGGAAATAGTGCAGGGGTTCCATGGAAATTTTGGTCACCAAGTGATCCTGTAGTCCCAAGAACTTGAGCTCCACCATACATAAAAGAAGCATGTTCTTCTCCCTGGTCACTATGTTGTCCCTTTGCCATCAATCTAGTATTAGATTTGTTGGAACCATGAGGTGAAGAAATTTCAGTGCCTTCAGTCAAAATTGTTGATGTAGATTGCATGGAAGATGGCAATTTATCACTGCTAGCAAATTGCGCAGCAAACATCTGACCAGGCATCTTTGGTGTGGATTGATTAAATGATTGAACCAACCTTTGTTGGACAATTGGGTGTGGGGACTTAGCCGAATTTCCAGTGACCTGATTAGTAGCTATAGGAAATTGACTAGTTGATGATGATGTAGATGAATGAAATGAAGGATGATCCATGCCCTTTATAGGAACTTCAGCATGCAACTTGCCATGCCCAGCAGACGGTACAAAGGCTTTCCCTCTTAAGAGAGGGCCATACTGTGGGGTTGGAGAGACATGCTCCATACCAATGGGGGATGAGAAGTGTCTAGTAGTGGTACTGGGTTGTCCATCCCCCCTCTGACTCACTGGGAGTTCCTGATGAGATGGCCTAGAAGGGTAAAAGGGAGGTGAAGCTGAATTCAAATTTGATGCAAAGCTCTGCTTCATCGGAAATCCTCGTTCTGGTTGAGAATTTGAAGCTTGATGTTGGTGTTTTCCCAAGTTTGCATTTGAAGAAGTGTTTTCAAGATTTTGTGATCTGAAGTATGAGCAACAAAAACAAAAAGTACCACAGTAAGTTCTATATTAACAAAACAAAGACACAGATAGCACATAAGAAGAAACCTTCCACTCACTTATTATTATGCTCTGAAGATATCTCAGCGGTACTCCTCCAATGTGGTTGGTAACGTTTAGAGCCTCTTCCTCGAACTACTCTCGGTGCACTCTTATTACTTTTGGCATTGCCATAAAGAGGGCGAGACTCTTTTCGAACAAAATCGAAATTGTTGGCATCGCCATCACGAGGATTAGGTGGTTTGATGGTTCTATTCTTGCCATTATCATTCAGAACCTGTTGAACCTTCTTGGTGTTATCATGGTAACTATGAGGTTCTTTCGGAACGTATATGTAGTTCTTAGCACCATCACGATAGTATGTCTGCGACCTGTTGCCTCTGAAATTATCACGGCTACCACCACGAACTTTACCAACAGGTGCACCACCACGTCCTCTAAATCGACCTCTGGGCCTTCTTCTTGTCTATAGTACAATCAATAAAAGAAGCATCTTGGTAAGAAAGATGAATCAATAGTTCAACACACAGAAAAAGACAATATGATACTCACGTAGTCATTATGGAAATCATGTAAATTCATTTCATCAAATCTGTCATGGACCCACGCTTGATCCTCTTTAGCATTCCACAGCCGTCTATCACCCACCATTCTCCTGAAATGACAACATGGGTAGCAGAAATTAAAATATAGATCATGGATGTCCAGAGAATGAAACAGAGTATCATATTGGATTCCTTAAAATTGAGATAAAGCATTCAACATAATCAAACTTGTCTAGCTTAGTTGGGTTCAGCATCCAGTTTGTACACTGGAACACTAGCACACCAGTCAAACAACTACTTTTAAAAGGGAAAAAAACAGTAAATACAACCTATTATTCAGTTCGTTGAGACAAATTTTCCAGTATTTGTTCAATACACTTCAATTCATTCTACCACACTATCAACAATTTTTACCACAAATCATAATTATTGTGTATAATTATAGAATGATGTACAGTATGGAATGGTCAATGGAGTGTTTACTGGTTTAGTATCTGATGGGCTTACTTCTCTTTTTTCTGTTGGTTGACATTGATCTAAGCAATGCCCAACTTGGTAAGATTCATGCTTCCCAAACTAGGGGAGCATGCAAAAGAAAAGGTAAAATTTTGGATTTGGTTCAATCCAAGCTATTTGCGATTGGCCCTCCTCAAAACAGATGATTTCAACTATGCTTGAATTCAACTGTGATGCATTCGTTCATCTGATGCACTAAAACTGATTAATCATTTCAGGTATGAGGTAACTAGCATTAAAAAAATGTAGTATAAGATCCATAAGTTAAACTTAAGAAAATGATAAATCTAAAATTTTTTAGACATGACTACGTAAAAACGATCAACAACCTACATGATAATAGTGTATTTTTAGAAGATCTACAATATTATATTTTTTTAAAGTTCTTGCAAACTATATCTAACCTGAAAAGATCTTCTAGAGTACTTGTGGGTGTAGAGCTCGCCATTATACACAACTTTTCTTTTTAAAATAGTAAAGAGATAATGTATCATGGTATTGGCATAGCCATGCCATACCTTACCAGTCTCATCTATATTGTAGTAGTGTATCCTAGTAGACCATGTTTCAGATCATGTAGGTATTGTTCTAGTAGAAACACTTGAACAAGATCAGACTTCAAAGTTAAACGCTTCTACTTTTTAATAAGTGTGTCCAATTTGCATTAATACTAAATCAATTTCACATGAAACACCAGATTTAAAAACTTGTAGGCAAAGTTTCATTTTTGTTTCATGTTTGCGACTTGGCATATAACAATCAACTCTGTAAAGTAATGCCTGTGAATACATGACTTCGTGTTGTTATTTTAGCTCATGTTTTGCGTGCTTTACGAGTTATAGTTCAATGTTATAAACCCATGTATTATCATATGCTGGGGAATTACTCAATAAGCTACTCACAGACCTTGGTTATCCTGTAAAGGAAACTTAGGCAGGACATCATAACGAAGAGATGCAACAACGAGCAACCGTACCAAATCTAGAGAACCAAAATAGACCAATTGCGAAAATAAATACATTTAAGCCGTTTTATGACTTGTATCTATCAAATACTACACTACTACTGCACATATAAATATCAAACTTTAGCCTCTTCTAACAATTCCACAGGACTAGTTAGCATGACACACTCGTGTTATCAACTTAGATGATATTAATTGAACTATTGAACACGCAATGCACTTAAGCAGTGGTTTCAGAGAACACTAATGGTTACCAAACTAGTGAAGGTTGAAACTAGGCTACCAAGTTCTCTAGATCATATCATCATACCCTAGATATATAAGGAAACAACAGCAAATCAAGCAGCAATTGAAGGTTGAAAGGCCGGAACCTTTGGCGCCCATGGCCACGGGCCTCCTGGAAGCGGTCGTCGTGCATGTAGAAGGCGCCAGCCGTCGGGACGGCATAGGGCTCGCTCCCCTTCTTCCCCTCCTCTCCCTCCGCCGCTGCCGCCGACGCCTCACCTTCCGCTTCCCCCTTCATACCCATCCCCGCCTCCTCCCCCGCTGCGGCCACCGCCCCGGTGGCCACTCCGCCCGCAACGCCTCGCCCTTGCTCGAACTCCTCGTACACCTCCCCGTATTCCTCGTACCCTTCGTCATCTTCGTACGCGTCGTCGTCGTCGTACACCTCGGCGGCGCCTTGCCCGTCGGATTCCGCGTCGGATCCGGCCTTCGTAGGCGGAGAGGGCCTCGCCCCTTCCTCCTCCTCCTCCTCCTCCTCCTCGTCGTAGTCGCTCGCCGCGTCCCGGCGCCGCACCGCCGGGAGGGGCGCGTCGTCGAGGTCGCTCTCGTACTCCTCCTCCGTCTCCTCCGCCTTCTCCCTGTCGGCCATTGGCAGGAACCGGGAGGTCGCGGGACGAACCGCGCGAGAGAATTAGGGCTCCGGGGGGGGGGGGGAGGAATCTGGTGGAATCGGGATTCTGGAAGCTTCGAGAGGCTTCTCGTGTTCTTCCGTTTGTTCTACGATATCCACGGTCTACGGGAGGGAGAGGACTGGAGGAGAGAAGTTGGATACGATTAAAAAAATATTTAAAACCATTAGATTGTCCAAATCCACGAGGTAAAGACATCCTTTTTGTGAGGCTGACAGGTATGGCCCACATACTGCGCGTGGGGGCCTAATGGCAATGTTCCCTTTTCGTAAAGAAAGGTGATTTTGCAAAAAGAGGCAGGTGATTTTGCTAAAGGCTAAAGAGGCTCTCTCTCTCTCTCTCTTTTGTACGATACTCCTTTTGTTGAAGATACGATTCCTAGGAATGCCCTTCTTTTGAAGAAATTGTTGGGGGTTTGAATTTGAATTCTTATCTATTTCGAATTTTCAAACTTTTTTACATAAAGTCTAGGCACCTCTTTATATGCTTGGGCCTTACTTAGGAGGCCCGCAATCCCAGTCCTTCTATATGGGGGACTTGACTGGATTGCAAACCAGCCCAAAAAAGAAGGTTTTATGTGCTTTGCCTCCTTCAAAGTTGAATGAATATTATAGTACTCTGTCAGTCCGAATTAGAATTTTAAAGTTAGACACGGTTATTAAGAAAAGTAGATAAAATTAAATAGGAATGGGTTATGATTGGTTGAGAAGTGGAGGTAGGTGGAAAAAGTGAACGGTGAAGGGTTATGATTGATTGGGAAGAGAATATTGGTGGAGAATTTGTTATTATTTTGGGACAAATCTTAAGTGCCTAAGGATCATTTAGCCCTAGACTAAAAATAGTCTCTGGACTAAAAACTTTGGTCCCCTACTGTTTAGATCCAAAGACTAGAAGGGACTAAAAGCACATGGACCGAGGGAGAGAGAAGAGAGAGGTTGTCACTTTAGTCCCTATAAGTACCTTCAAGAGGGCCTAATGTATTTTAGGCCCTGTTTGTTTCAGCTTAAGATTATTGTAATCTAGATTATTAAATCAGATTAATGTAAGCTGGATTATAATAAGCTGGCATAAAATAAGCTACAAGTTGTTTGTTTCTCTGGATTATTAGAGGCATCTAAGAGTAGTGGGTCTTTAGACACTCAATAATCTGGAAAAAGCTCCTCTAGAGGAGATTATTGGATTATAGTAATTTGGCTTATAGATTATAATAATTTAGCATAATAATCTACTTGTTTGTTTCAGCTTACTCCTAATAATCCAGATTATAATAATCATAAGCTGAATCAAACAGGTCCTTAGTCCTCATATACACTTTTAGTTCCTTTTAGTTATCCCTGTTTGGATTATTAGGAACTAAAATGGAGGAACTAATGGATTACTCCCATAAACCAAACATTGCCTAAAAGTTGTTATATTTTGGGACGGAGGGAGTATAAAACAATAATTCCCTTGTAATTAGTATTATATAAAAAAGTAGTATTATTCATCAAAGAAAGTGTGGTTACTAATCTGCCAAGAAAAAGATATTCATGTCATCCGTGTAGTGGGTGCTTCCTCTGTCAAAAAAAAAAATCATATGATCCAAACGGGGCCATACTTTTGTGTAGAATTTGCAAAACTAGTTGCATGCTCTGTTCGTTCCTTTTTACTGCTTTTTAAGGATAAGTTGGCGCATACCTGTGATTTGTGAATTGTTAATATAACAATATAATTATTTTCTTGTGATAAACAATACATGTATTCTCATATAAACAATGGTGGTAATTTTGTTAACAGTGGACAACATGTAAAAAGAAGGCAGTTGTACGTTGCTTTCCTGAACCACATGAAAATAATTAGTAATATAGTACAAGGTCAAATTAGTTTTCTAGAACAAAATGTCGGTATCAGAGAAGAAAAACATCCCCATTTGCCAGCCATTACAGCTATTAACCAACCATTCCAGAACTAACTAATCATTTTCCTCGTATTGACCGTGCGTTTTTCCAATGTTGATTTCGCCTTCTAACAGCGGACGCGTACCGAACACGACGCCGCCTCCTCTTCTCTCGACTGAATTGGTCGTCAATTCCTCTCCAATCTCTGAATCTGACGGCTTGTTCCCATTATTTTCCTTCAAAAATTTATATCTAGAAGAACCAAATCGTGTTTTTCTTATCAGGCAATCTCCAATTCTCTGAATTCCGAACCCGTTCGAGAGTGTCATGCGTGATGCATGCGTGCCCATTTGGAACAGAAATGTACCGATAATGCCCTCGGGAGTGGATGTTCAGGCAATCAGACTTCAGAATTCTTTTCTTTATCAGATTTCAGAGCTCTGCTTTGGTTGTCTTCTTTATCTAGAAGGCTTTGATTGCTCCTCTTTTCAGTTTTTAATCTACTCAAAAGTAGCTCAACTAAGTGATCACTGGAGATTATGTCACTTTAACTAACTTTAGTTAGTGAGCTAACCACTTTATCCATTTTTGTGTAATAACTCTTGAATCATACTGTACTGAATGCTCATTTCATGGGTACCGGAACACTTGTCACATCATTAAGGTTGATGGTTAGCCCGAGCTAATCCTACCAAAATCAGCATACCCTTTTAAGAATAACAACAACAATTTTAACCACTGATCTGTCTGGAATTAAAATGACAGATAATTTTATAGCCTTATCGATTGGCATACGCTTATCAAAGAAAAAAATATAGATAAAACCTTTTTATATATGTTCTTAGAGATTTTTAAATTAATGCTTAAAAAAGTAAACTACGATCATCAGCTTCAAAATTAAGTTTTAGTAGAAATTAAAGATAAACGATGAGGGCTGTTAATCACCATAGGGAAACGGGTAATCTACTGTGATCCACTAATCAGGTTCTTTAATCAGAGAAGGGCATTGTGGTAATTAGCCGGAGCACGCCACATGTCAGCACCCACGACCACGGCCACGCGACCAGCCAACGAGGCGAGGCGAAGGTGACCGAGCCCTTCAAAGCCTCCACGCCGACGCTGACCTCCCCTTCTCTTCCCACCTCCTCCACTCCTCCGCCTCAAAGCCGCCAAGAACAGCAAGAAAAGTTGCCAAACTCCATCGAGAAATCTTCGAAGCATCTCGCTCTTGGAAGTCGGAGCACCACCGCCGGTTCGTTGTTGCTGCGGATCGAATCGCGGAGCAGAGCAGGGGGTGGATGGGGAGCAGGGTGAAGGAGGAGGAGAGGAACGAGAGGGCCATCCGGGCCCTGCTCAAGCTGCCCGGCAACCGCCGCTGCATCAACTGCAACAGCCTGGTGAGCTCGATTTTTCTCTGAGAAAAGTTTTGAGAATTTTGATCTTTTGGGTGGACACAAAAAATGGTGTGTTAGGAAGGAAGGTAAAGGTACTGTAGCTTGCTCATCTTGTGAGGAGGGCTAAGGTTCTGAGCTGCTCTGTCTCTGTATGTCTTCAGGCTTTGCTCGGCTTATTTCCTTCTGAATTGTTGCTGAAACTCTGAAATCATATGGGTTAGGAATTTTTAGGATGGTGAAACTGTCATTACGGAAATGAATTATTAATGGTGGTTAATCTGATTCTTATTTCCTCAGTTGTATATGGGTTAGGAATTTTGAGGATGGTGAAACTGTCATTAGGGAAATGAATTATTAATTACTAGTTTCTGTTTAGTAACTAGTACCTGGTCATATGGATTTACACGTTATTAATACTAATAACACATTACCACCATTACCATATGCGGGAATGTGCGAAATAACGAAATTTCATTTTGGCTCCAAGAGATCATAACACAAGTGCCTGCGATGTTTGATATTATTACAGATCTCGTGCTCTAAATTCATAATAGATGCCTTTCCCAGTGTATGGATTCATATACCAAATTGACCACATCAACATTGAGTTAGTAACAAGGTAGTAACAAACAAAATGAGCTCTGGGTGAACTTTTGTAGAGTGCACAGGATTGCAAAATGGTTGCCGATTAGTAATAGGTACTTGTGGTTTGGATCAATAACAATAAACTAGATAATTATGACAGTGATACTGCCTAATGTTTTTCACTAGCTTTAGATATCTGCTGCAGCAAAATATGCCCACTTGGCCACTTTATAAATAATACTTAGTTGTCTTCTTGATGAACTGAGGAGGTTGAACTGCCTATCAAACATTGGCTCACCTCATAAGCATTTTGAATATTATCTCATTATCAGTATGTATAATTTTGTCTGGAAAATTATATGATTTAACCATGTTTCTTTTCTAGAATAAATGATCTGGTGAGTAGTTGAGTGAATGCAACAATGCATTGTTTCTTTAGCAATGAAATGATATATTGTTAAGTGGTAGTAATACGATGACAGATGAAAAATGTATAATATTCCTTCATGACATAAATAACCAAACAATATTCTTCATCATCAGGGACCACAATACGTATGCACAAGCTTCTCAACTTTCGTCTGTGTTAGTTGCAGCGGAATACAGTAAGTGGTGAAAATATCCTTCTAGTGTTTCCTCTGTTTCTTACTTTAAAAATGCAATTCCACAACTACTTGTGATTGACTATGACAATTATGAATTTATGTGCAGAAGTAATAAACTCCTGATAAATGTTGTCTAATTACTGAACTTTAATTATTCTTCAGTCGGGAGTTCACTCATCGTGTAAAATCAATATCAATGGCTAAATTTACTTCTCAAGAAGTTTCTGCTCTTCAAGAAGGGGGAAACGAGGTTGGCTTAATACCATTATTTATAATTTAAATCCTGATATGCTTGGTGTCTGCTTTTAAGTCTTACAACATATATTTTTGATAGTTCAGCGTGGTAAGGAAATATATTTGAAACATTGGGACTTCCAAGGACAGCCTCTTCCTGACATTAGGTCTGCCACTAAACCAGATGATTATCATAGACTCTTAATGTATGATGTGAATCTGCTGTTGATGTTTGAGTACTGTCATATAGTGATGTAGATAGGCTCAGAAACTTCATCAAGATTGTATATGTTGACCGAAGGTTCACAGCAGAAAGAATTGGTAACCATCAACCACAAGCGAAGGTATTTGTCATTGGCTTGCGCTAGCCATAACTGTTAAACACATAGCATTAGTCTCTCCCCTCTTTTTGTAACACACGAAACATCTGAATGAAAACTCAGGGTAGTCGGGATGACACTTACAGAAACAACAATATAGATTCATCCAGGGGAGTTCAAAGAGGCCCATATGGTGGAACTTCTGAAGATAATCACGGTCCACAGCATAGCACAGCAAGCACCTCAGAAGACCAAAACAATCTCAATAAGCATCCAGTACCTGCTAAAGTGGATCAAAAGAATAGAACCACTACAGAAAGGGAAAATGCCAACACTGGGAAACATCAATACCTGGATGGACTTCAAAAGACAGGTGGAAGCTCAGAAAATAATCTTAAGGATACGACCAAATCAGTATCTTCTGTGGTTGAACCTTCCAAAGAAACTAATAGAAAAGTTCTGCCTATAAGGCTTCCTGACCCTCCTAGATCTCATAAAGCCACAACATCTACCACTCCTGCTGAAATACAGGTAATCCAATTCCTGCTGATCTTACTTTTGCTGTTTGCATGCTTTGCCCATAGTTTCTCTTCTTGTTTCCTCTTACATAAGGTCCTATTCTTGATTTCAACTTTTACCAACAATATGTCATATTGTAAGCTAGCTCACAGGTTTTGCCATGCTCTTCTTATCTGGTTTGTGGAAACATTATTTTAGGTAGCTAGGGAGGGATTTCCATATTTATATTCCCAAGTCCTAACAGTGGTCTTGCCTCTTGAGAATACTTGTCCTATTTCAGAAGTCAGACGAATTCTATGTCACAAAAAACAAAGTAAAAATGGAATGATATCTTTAACTTAAAATATTTATGTGGAAGTCCTATTTTGCAGAAAGTAGTGCCACCGAGGGCTGCTGATCCCAGTTCAAAAACTACAACAGATGTTAAATTAGAAATATCGAAAAGTTTGATTGACTTTGATTCAGATTTCGAGCCTCATCAAGGTTTTGGTCAAACTGAAGTGCAGAAGAGCTCACCTTTACCTGATGTTGGTTGGGCTACTTTTGATGACACTACTCCTAAAAACGCTACAGCCACTTCAATTTCCAGTACCAATTCTTTGAACGGTCCGCTGGTTCAGATCCTAAATTCTGTCTCAGCACCTCAAATTAGTTTTCCAACCAGGCAAAGTACCAAGTCCTTGTCTTTTTCCCAAGCAAATAACGGCAGTCAGCAGAACCAGTTCTTTTTCCGCCCCACAGATAATATCCAGTCTTACAGTTCTCCACTAAACAGAGCTAATAGTGCTCCGGTTAATAGCCAGGTTAGCTCTCTGCTTGTATATTGTGTAAGAAGAACTATTTCCATTGAGCAATTGTATTAGACCTTTGTTTTGCTGCATGATTATTTTCAGTTGTGGGGAGCCGCATCGCAAGCATCAATACAAGGGAGCCATGCTCTTCCTTCAAATCATGGCTCAAATATATTGGCAGGAACACTAGCATCACAGAGACCTGCTGTGGACACCACATCTAGTAGAGGAAAGGCACTTCCAGAGGTAATAGATGCTCAAAATAACTTACTGTGCTCCATATTTGTTTTCTCTAAAACGAGAACAATTTGTAGGATATTTTTACCATGAGTTACCACCCATATGCTGCAAACTGGGATTGGAGAGCAAATCCTCAGTTAAATATGGGATATGGACAATACAACATGCAATATCCTGTAGGAGCTGCCAATGTAAGTTCTATGATGTCATACTCATACCAGTTCACAGATTCAATTACTTGTTTCTTTTCTTTTTCTAAAAAAAAAACTTGTTCCTTTTTTCATCTTGTTGATTAGGCCCTTTCAAGACATTCATTTTTTCATCCAAAGTTCATTGAATTTGGCTAACATGCCAAAGGTTCCTTGCTAGCTCATCTTCTCATGCATCGACAGTATGACAGAGTTTTACCTCTTGTTTGAGTAGTAAAGAATTAGATAAGATCTGGGTGGTCCGGATGCACTGGGGCCATACAATATGTTGACTCATTTGCCACATAGGTTCTGCGTATTGTTGACATCATTTTTCCTTTGATGTGGGAATTCCCAGCTCTTTGATCAAGAATTGTTCTAAACAGGCCCAGCGAGAAAGAATGATTCTGAATGCACTGTTGACTTGCCTTTATGGTCCTTAACCTTGTATCTCCTTCCTGAATGTGGTTGCATTTCTTCTGTTGAGTTTTATATTGTATTGTTACACATCTACTTGTGTCACTTTCTTGAAATTTACTGATCATGGTAGCACATGATGGAATCACAATGTCTAAGTTATCAAGAAGGATACCCATTTTTACTGTTTTCTATTAGGTAAATGAAGATCTTTTTTTTTTCCATCTATGTACAGTTCCCTTCTTTGTCTTCCATGCGAGGAGCATTACCGCATACGGGTAGTACTTCAATGCTGCCGCGTGCTCCATTCACAGGATTTGTTAATTCTGATCTGATAACTCCACAAATTCTGCCACCAATGACGACGAACAACCGTAATTTTTTTTACTTTGTTTCGCCATCTTCTGAATTCAATTTAACTCCATCGTGATTTCCCTCTAAACCTTATTATATCATGTCATGCTACAATAACTATTTTGCAGATCAGTTCATAGTCCAACAACATGATGTTAAGGTTACACATCAGATGCAGAATGCCAGTTTCCCCATCAACCAAAGTCATTTGCCCCAAGTTGGTGGAAACCCCTTTTTTTAACACTTTTCTGATGCCTCCTGTGTTTAGCTGCGTATTTTAAGCAATCTTATGTCAAGTGTAAGTGTTATGGAAATAGTAAACAATGGAAGAGTGAAGCATATTGCCCTGCATTTCTAATACCGAAATGGCAAGAAATAGCCAATCGAGTTCTTGTGTGACATCCAAAATGTAAAACCCAGATAGTACTGTAAATTGAATTCAGTTTTAGTCTCTCCCTAGGGGATGTGGTTGTATATTGTATCAGCACTCCAAATGTTCAGTAAAACAAGTTTTGGTCATTTTAATGTTCATTTTTCCGTGTGCCATATTCTTTGAGGAACTTATCCTATTTTTTGCGCAACCATAGCAGTTGTGCCATCCAAGTGCAACCACAAATTAGGAGGACACAAATTAGGAGGACTGAAATATAGTTAGAATCAACCACAAGTGCAACCCCGATCCTTTCTCAAGGCCGGAGGGGCGGGGCTTGGATCAGATTTTAAGACGGAGGACAGTAGATGATACTACCTCCGTCCTAAAATAAGTGCAGCCATGAATTTCCATGCCTAATTTTGATCATCCGTCTTATTTGAATTTTTTTTATAATTAGCATTTTGTTGTCATGAGATGATTAAAACATGAATACTACTTTACTACTCGTGACTTATGTTTTTATTTTTTTTCAAAAAAATTTTAAATAAGACGAACGGTTAAAGTTGGGCGTGGAAAACCATGGCTGCACTTATTTTGGGACGGAGGAAGTACACAATCTATAACTAGACAAGTAAACAGTGATCCTTCTGAAGCATTTTCATCAGAAACAATAAGAAAACAAGGCTCAAACTTTTACCATGGCTGAGGATTTGCTGTGTACACAGCGCAAGAGGCGGCTTCTACGGTCTTGGATTTGCCGCGGTGGCCGATTCCGCCGCCAGCGCTGATACTGACGCAGCCGCCGCTCCTTCTGCATGGACAGTAGCCGCTTCAGCGTCGGGAACCCCATCTCCGTCTCGGTTAATTTGCTGGATTAAATCTCGATTTTTGATTAAGAGGCTACTAGAACCGGACTCCGTACGGTTTGGGGGAAGAAGATGATGACGTCACGAGCCAGGGCATCTAAAGAATCCCTACCGTCCAAACGTGATCGAACGGTCACGGAGAGATTTTAGTTGGCGGTTTACGAAATTACGCGAGCGCAAGGCAAGAGGCGTAGAGCGTTCAGCGAATCTGGGGACTTTTGGGAGTGGTGTCTCTGACGAAGGTGGGCCCACATCTCTAGGCTCCAAACCCCTCTCGCCGCCGGCGACTATGCCCGTGGCGATCCCGTCCTCCTCCACCGCCGCCGCCGCCGCTGTCGCCCATCTCCGGCGACGCATCCACCGCCTCTCTTATGTCCCGGTCTCTCCCTCTGCTACTCCTCCATTCCGCGCTCGTCTCCAAGCCCGCACCATCTAGGCTCCTCTCTTCCTCCTCCTCCTCCGCCGCCGCCGCCGCCATCGCCGCGGCCTCTTCTGGTGCCCGAGTCGGCGGGGGGCATGGGATCGTCTCCGCGGTGCTGGAGATCGTGGGCCCCATCGAGCTCCTCTTCCCGTCCTCCGAGGCGCGCCTCTACGTGCGCCTCCTGCGGCGCTGCGCGCGCGACGCTCTCGCCGCGGGCGCGGGCGCCGTCCACGGGCACGTCCTCAAGCGCGGCTTCGCATCCGTGTCGCTCGTGTCCAACGTCCTGATGGACACTTATGCCAAAGGCGGTCTCATGGCTGCCTGTCGCCACCTGTTCGACGAAATGCCGAACAAGGACATCGTGTCATGGTGTACCGTCATCGCGGCGCACGCCAGCCGCGGGCACTGCTTCGAGGCCATTGGGCTGTTCAAGGAACTCCTGTCTTCTGAGGTGAAGCCAAATCGGTTCGTCATCTCATCGGTGCTGAACGCCTGTGCTCGGTCTGGTGTCATAGAACAGGGGCTCATGGTTCATGGAATGGTGGTCAAGTCTGGATTGGGTGCTGATAGGTTTGTGGAGGTTGGATTCGTTGATATGTATGCGAAATGTGGCAATGTTGGCTATTCATTCAGGATGTTCAATGGAATTCCGGTGAAGAGCTCAGTTGCTTGGAATGCAATGATTTCAGGTTTTGTTGAGAATAACTGTTTCATGGATGCCGTGGAGCTTTGTCAGGATATGCATCGAGTTGGCATGGCAATGGATGTGGTGACATTGAGGGTAGTTGCTAGCGTCGCTGCTATTCTGGGAGCATTTGAGCTTTCTAGGAACATTCATGTTTATGCACTTAAAGCGGGGTTGGGAAGAGACTGTTTTGTTGTGTCTGAACTGATCAAGTCAGCTGGGAAGGCAGGTGAGACTCAGTACATCAAAAAGCTTGTTCCTGCAGTTAGAAGGCATGATGCGTCTTTGTATTCTTTGGCAATCTCAGGTTATCACTCAAATGGTTGTCAGGGTGAAGCTGTGAAACTCGCAGAGGTTCTTCTTTATTCGGGTCTCAATTTAAGGGAAGGGGATTTGGTTACTGTGATAAATATCTGTCAGACCAAAGAGGAAGTTCAACAGATGCATGCTTATACTTTCAGAACTGGGGATTTATCTTATACTAATGTTTGCAATTCTCTTATATCGATATACTCTGAAATTGGATCGTTGATTCACGCGGAATCAATCTTTAAAACTATGCAATCCCGAGATGTCATATCATGGACTGCAGTCATGGCAGGCTGTGTCAAGAACCTACAATATGAAAGAGCATTTGGTTATTTTTTAGAGTTAAGAAACTCTGGAGAACCATTAGATCAGCACTGTGTTGCTAATCTAATAAATGCCTGTACAGGACTTGAAGACATGTACAAGGGAAAGCAGATTCACTCTTTAGCTCTTAAACTTGGGCTACTTGTTGATTTCATCAGTGCATCCCTAGTAAACATGTATGCAAAATGCCATCACATTGAGTGGGCTTCTCAGTTATTCTCTAGCACATTATTTCCACGAAATCTAGTGATAATCAATGCCATGATCTCTGGATATTGCTGGAATTCACTGCCACAGAAAGCTCTTCTACTCTTCTGCAGAGAATATCGTTCTGGTCTGCGTCCTGATCATTTCACCTTCTCAACTGTTCTTGGGGCATGTGCTGATATAGGAGCAAAGGAGGCTGGTGAGCAAATCCATGGCCATCTTGTGAAGATTGGTTCTGAATACTTGGATGTTGTTGTTGGAAACTCTATCATAAACTTTTATGTCAAGTGTGGGTGCATTGCTAATGCTTGTAGGTTTTTCCATAGCATGAGGAGTCGAAACATCAATTCATATGCAATGTTGATGTTGGGTTATATTCAAAATAGATGCAGTGATGAAGCTCTTCAATTTTTCTCCATGATGCAACAGAGTGGGTTGCGTGCAAACCGTGTTACCTTTGCAAGAATCTTGAGGGGGTGTGCTGATCTTTGTGCTATTCATTTGGGAAGGCAACTGCATGCTTCCATTATAAAAATGGGCCTGATTTCTGATGTATATGTGGCAAATGCACTTGTAGGAATGTATAAAAAATCTGAAGGTTGGGTGGAATCAAAAAGAAATTCTAAAGAAACTTTGGCTCCAGAACAGGATGCCGAAGATAATTGCTATTCAGAACAAAGAGATATAAGAAGCACACTTGAAGAAATTGGATTATTCACATTGGAAGAAGAGAAAGACAAAGAAACTTTTGCTGATGAGCGGAAGGTCTACACTAGTGCTGCTTCTGTGTTTGGACGTGATCTTAGGACCGATTCTATCATTGGGAATTGGAAGAATGGCAGGTGCAATGAAAGCGGGCATTTGCTAAATTACAAGAGTGCAGAATATCAGGAAATTGGAGGTGAACCTTTTAAGTTGTTTGCATTGTTACAGGAGGATAGCAGAAGATCTGACAAATTTGTCCTGCTGGTCATCACTGATAATAGTCACTTAAAGACGAAGGGTGCAGGTTTTATTAATGCAGAACTAGCGAGACGACCTGGTTTTGCACCAGCACTTGACTTTCCTCCTTGACAAACTATAGTGCAGTATGAGAACTACCGGATCCATATTATGCAGCAAATCTGAATTGTCATGTTTACATATTGGAAACACATGCAAGAAAACAAACTATGAGTTTGCCTCATAGTTGCATCAGTAATCCCCCCAAATCAATCATTGAATCTATGAATTTCACACGGTGCACTTCCTGGGACCATCCAACTCAGTCTCTCTCTGCATTTACATAAATGATGTTTACAGCATCTTTAAGCAAACCAAATTCTGCTATGAAGTTTTTTCAAATGTTGGATGGCCTAGGTGCATGCAGGATAGATCAAGGATGTTAACCAGGTTAGAATAAAATTCTAGTATATTTTATTTTAGTGGTACTTGATTCCAGTTTTTTAGTATTGTGAACAAGCCATTCAGGCAGTTTCTTTCATGCAGGGATGCCTACTCTTCAAATATTCCAAAGAGAGGGGAAGTAGTCTGGGAAAAATCAGCTTAAGTTTTGATCACTGATGTGAGTTAATGAACTTGAGCTTTAGACCTTTGACAGTGCTTGAACAGCTTTTACCAATACCTTGTATAGTGTAAAAAATACTTTACCTGGTTGTCATAACTTCAATGTGTGAAAATAGAAATTAGTTTTTCGGACAGTTATTTTGGATGATTTCATGCACTTCATTGGTATAATTATGGAGCTAACAAAGCTGAAAAGCAAACCAACCAATTATTTCCCACAAGAGTGCACACTTATTTGACTCTTGAATCTCTTTCTGTTTCCCATTTTTCAAAATCAAGGCTATGTTTTACATGCTCAGACCTATCTAGACTTGCCCTTGGTCAGTCTCTACCATGTTCCTGGTGTCCATACCTAGATATATTTTTCCTTTTTAATGAAATGATAAGATACTGGTTTGATATAGCTATCTGTCACTGACATTGTTGAAGACCATACGTTTGACGCTACCACCTAGTAGTTGCAGGTTCAGGGTGTGTTCGGCCGGCCAACTACAGCGGCTGTGCAGCACTGCTGCTGCAGTGACTACAGTAGAAATTGTATATTGCTACCGTAGCTGCTGGCTGCCATCTAGTCACACCGAACAGGGCCCTCAATCTCAGGCAAACTGGAATAACAAAGGCTTTATGTAGACTAAATATTCTAAATTAATTCTGTTAATATTTGTGCTATTACATAAAAATATAAATGATTGCTATTTTGAGGCTTGCAAGGCTATCACATCTAACGGAATGCTTTATTTCTAGCTTAGCTCATTTATGTTTCCTTCTGACAGGTACTAATTACACTTGAATGAAATGAGTGCTACAGAGGGTGTGTTTAGTTCACGCTAAAATTGAAAGTTTGGTTGAAATTGGAACGATTTGACGGAAAAGTTGGACGTTTGTGTGTGTAGGAAAGTTTTGATGTGATGGAAAAGGTTGGAAGTTTGAAGAAAAAGTTTGGAACTAAACAAGGGCAGAGTACAGAAGAAATTCCAAGGATATGTATTCTTTTTTTTCGTGATTCTGCCCATCGTCTGAAGGTGAGATTGTAAGTGTTGTGCTGCTGTTGGCCTTTTTCCAGTAGTATCTCCTCTGTAGACTCCCCTATAGCAGTATCTCCTCTGTAAATTCTCTCTTGTTGAAAAGTTTATATCCTTGCTAATGACACTGCCAGCATTTGCATTGCCAGATTGTTTTGCTATATAGTATTAGATGTGTTCTATAGTGGCTTCTGATCTGCAGATCCAAAAACCTTTTATTTACAAGTTTTGCAGCTTAAAGTAACATTCGTTGAATTATGGTGATGTGACACTTTTCATTTGTAAACCAATCTCAGTGTTATTTAGTGGGACAAACAACCAGTTGAGCATCTTTTTAAATAAACAAAAAAAAATCATATGCTGATACTTTTTTTTTCCTTGATCATCAGGGTCTGACGAAGATACAAGCTAAAGCAGCGCCATCCAGTGAAACAACACCGTTTCCTTTTCTGTATGTCTGGAGCAAGAAGTATCAAACTGTTTTCCTTTCATATAATCTTTACTCCTGCGCACCTTATTTTTTGGCTGGTGCGACATGAAATATACTGATACTAACTTGATACTAACTTGAAGCCATTAGTTGTCCATAACTCCATATAGAACCTGAGCTAGAGGCTAAAGCCTAGAGGTTTAGTGACTTCTGTACGAGGTACCATACGGTATATCCTGGATTCATTCCATGTTCAGCTGTAGGATATCCTTCAGAAATTAGTTCGACCAATAATGCTGGGATCTCCCATTTATCAGTCACCAATCCTGCTAACCCAGGTTAGTCTTCTTTCTCATCAGAACTTGGTACACGTCTAACTGATTTTTTCTGCAATATTCGTTTCTCTTAATCTTTTCCTGATGCCAATAAATCTCTAGCAGAAATTCCTTCGGCTGCTACTTTCATCATCCATCGACATTAGAAAAAGGCAGATCCATCAGGACGTGCATTTGACAATTTGGCCCTGCTTCAGGCTGAAACTGATTGGTCCCATCAACTTGATGAGGTTATGAAATTTCAAGATGTGATCCTGAACAAGATTGGGACATCAAACTTCTGTAGCATTACATCCAACAGGAGCTATCAACTACCAAGTGACTTTTTTTTTTTTTTGCCACCATCAGTTCAGTGGAGTAGAGGAGTCCGCCTCATGCAGATGTTATCTTACTGTAGTTATACTGATTTTAAGTTGCCAATTTTGCCACATCTTAACTACCATGCTGTAGACTACTATGAAGTCTGGACACCCCGGCAACTTCAATTTTGCTGTAATGACAAGAGGAGCCCTGCGTTTCATGTGAATTTGATGATTTGATCAATGTTTTTACCTGTGACTACTGCAAATGAATGGAACAAGAAACGCACGTCTTCAAATTTTTTCAGGAAGCAACTGGTTCTCCTTTCCTTCGTTTCTTCAATCCTGTGTTTTGTCAGAACAAACTACCATGAGAGCTAAAACCCTATCGTTCTACTTATAATCGTAAGATAAAACTTTTATACATGTGTCATTAGCGCATGATTAATTCAGTATTAACTATTTTAAATTTCAAAAATGATTCATATGATTTTTTAAAACAACTTTCCTATAGAAACTTTTTTTTAAAAAATACATTGTTCAGTAGTTCGGGAAGCGTGCGCGTGGATAACGAGACAAATCTCCTCTCAAGCTCCCACTGACGTAATTGAGTTCAGTAGTTCGGAAAGCGTGCGCGCAGAGAACTAGACAAATCTCCTCTCAATCTCCCACTGCCGAATGCAATAATTGAAAAGTAAATGTTGCATTGCACCCACAGTGCATCAGTTTGGTAGGTGAGTGCAATTTGGTGTAATAACTTGAGAAATAAGCATTCTAGTGCAACAACTTGACAGGTATGTGCAATTTAGTATAAGAACTTTATAAGTGATCGTACAAATACAACAACTTGCAAGGTAGGTACGATTTTGATACAATAAATTAAGAAGTAATGCGACAACTTAATTATAAGGAGCATTTTTATATAAATCCAATTTTTAAGTACTTATTTTGACAATATACTAGCATGGATTTGTGTAAGCATATTTATATTTTATCCTATTAACTAATAACTGAAAGTCTATTTAATTGGATGTAGAAATTATTATTTTTCTGTTGATATTTGAGAAGGAGAAAAAAACAAAAAAAAATTCTTAAAGGTATTTGGATGTAAATTGTATGTTCAATATAATTCTTAAAGATTAAATTCAATATTATAAGGTAATATCCGTAGGATTACTATGTAATGACATATTGGCATCGTGAAAAGAACTCACCTAGCATATGCTTAGCCAAGTTGATGCACCAAAATACTAAATTATTAAGTTTCTGTACTAGAACGCACCCACTTGTCAAGTTGTTGCACTCAAACGTTCAATTCTCAAGTTCTTACACTATATCGCACCCACCTGACAAGTTGTTTTACCATGGCTGCAATTACTCCAAAATAAACTACTATGTCCTTTGCGATCTCACGGGCTCTCGGCTTGTCATGCCAAGACGGCCCATTAGTAGGCTTAAAACTATAAGCGCATTTTGGCCCAGCCAGATCCTTGGATCGGATCCATTTCTCGTTGGGAAAAAGTCCACATTGACTCCCTTAAAATTACGTCGAATCTAATTCATACCCCTTAACCAGAAAACTGGGTAGGATGACTCCTCCAACTATTAAAACCGGTACAATTTGACTCCCTCAGAGGTTTTAGAGATGGTTTCACTGACATGGCGCTTTGACTCGGTCCAACTGGCTGACTCAGCACGTGGGACCTACATGTCATGTCACATTTTCTTTCTCACTTTCTTTTCTCTTTTTTTCCCCTCTTTTTCTCCAAGGCCGAAAATTTCCCCTCTGCCTCCGAACGCCACCACAAACCGCCGCCGTTCAGGGGGGGGGGCTAATGGGCGATCGGTCCCGCCCCCCCTGGCTCCCTTCTCCCCCTTCCTCCTCCCCTTCTTTCCCTATTACAGTACACCACAAAAAAATTTAAAAAAACAAAAAGTTAGAAAAATTTATGTATAAAAAATTTGAATTCAAATTCAAATTTGAATCGGGTATATAAACTTTTGACTTATAAACTTTGGATCTATAAACTTTAGATGTATAGAAATACTATATATAGAAAATATTTGAATTATTTGAATTCAAATTTGAATCGGATATAATTAAAATTCAAATTTAAATCGGGTATATAAACTTTAGGTCTATAAACTTTAGGTGTATAAACTTTAAATGTATAGAAATACTATATATGAAAAATATTTGAATTCAAATTCAAATTTGAATCGGATATATAAACTTTAGGTGTATAAACTTTAGATGTATAGAAATACTATATATAAAAAATATTTGAATTCAAATTCAAATTTGAATCGGATATATAAACTTTTGTCTGCTACTATTCAAATTCAAATAGAGAGAGATAGCATCGCATTGATCGATCTGTTTCTTTTGTCTGCTACTCTGCTTTCCTCCTTTCCTCACTTGTTATTTTGCTTGCTTGCTTTCTCTGCAACGAACGCAGACTAGCAGTATCCAAGCAAGCATCTTCGTTCTTCATCAGTCAGTAAATTGCAACAAACAACAAGAAGAAGAAATTGGAGAAGATGAGGTGATGTAGTTGCAGGCATTAGTTGGATTGGAGTGGATGATGGAGGATGAGTCCTTGTTCGTGCTGGTGTGCGCCCTCCACCCAAGCGTCGCAGTCACGGGGTTCTGCGCAGCCGCGGGGACTGCCCAGGCGGAGCCGCGGCTGGGCGACCCCGCGACGCGCGGCGGCGGACCGGCCTCCAGCGGAGCGGCGGCGACCTGGCCATGAGGCGGAGCGACGGGACGGTGGCGTGGTCTCGGGGTGGAGTGGGGGCTGGAGCTCCGGCCCGTACGCGGGGAGCGGGGGCCGGATCGGCGGCGGAGAGCGGATGCGCTGCTTCCCGGCGAGGAGCGGCCTCCGGCCTGTGGGGTGCGCTCGGGCAGGCGTCGAGCGTGGCGCAGCTGGTCGGCGTGGACGCGTTGTGGCTGGTATCAACGGTCGTGCAGGCGGCGTTGGCGGTGCGATGTTCACGGACACGCCGTCCCGTGTGGCGGAGCCCGGCGTACTCCGCCAATGGCCGCGACACGGGCGCAGAGAAGACGTCGAAGCCGAAGACGGCCGCTGGCTAGCCACCGCCCACTCCTACCGTCCTGGAGAAAAAAAAAGGGGAGGGGGGGGGGGGGGGGGAAGAGAAATGAAAGAGATTTGAGGAAAACGTGACATTGACGTGTGGGTCCCACATGCTGAGTCAGCTGGTCAAACCGCGTCAAAACGTCACATCAGCAAAACCATCTTATAAAACTGCTGAGGGAGTTCAATTAAACCAACTTTAATAGTTAGGGGAGTCGTTTTACCTGGTTTTCTGGTTGAGGGGACGAATTAGATTTGGCATAGTTTTAAGGCAGTCAAAGTAGACTTTTTCCTTTCTAGTTGGCTAAATGGAGGCCCAACATTGTTCGGTTGCTCGATTTCATTCGCTATCGCCTATGTAGCGGTCATTCTTTTAACCCTTCGGATCGCTATCAATTTTACATTTGTAGCCCTGTATCTCGGGTAATTTTTACAGTTTGACGTTATATCGGGCTCTCTAGAAGTTAAATCTTTTCGGGTCGGTGGGTGTAAGCTGTAGCTCAACCGTCCGGTGGTCTAGCACGTCAACACTTCAACGGTTTGTCCACTCGGAAATAATCGCCGCTGATTCTTTGTCGCTCAGGTTTATCCGCGTGTATACATGAACCTCACATTTGTCAATTTTTCCTTGCTGTTCAGTACCATAGTATACATGGGATGAGTCTCCTCGGACGTAAAGTCCCCCTGTCACTGACATGTGGGACCCACAAAGGTTGGGCCCCCACGTCAGTGACCCACGTCTCTCTGACTTTACGTCAGAGGAGCGCGATCCATATACATGAAGTAAATCTGACAGTTCCAGTAACTAAATACTGCTTCCAGTGATTCTCAATGCCGAATTGCCAATGGTGGCCTCTAGCCCTCTACCTTGGTTCTCCAGTAGCTTAGGATTTGCATCGAAAGGAAATTTCTGCCAACTAATTTTAAGCAGAGAAACTCAAATAGACAACCATTATCCATGGTGCTTTCAACAGAGAAAGAAAAATTAACATCCAGGGACGAAACAAAATTTGCAATTCAAGAGCAGCTAAAATTGCAGAGCGTTCATTCACATATGACTCTGTACCGCCAATACATTGGTTTACAGCCTTACAGTTACAGGTAGGTAGCATCAGTATTTGGAAGGCATGCTGCTGTAAAATACCAGCATTCAGCTTGACAATTGAACTGCAAGGTCGTTTAGAAAATAAAAAAAAATGAACTGCAAGATCGCAAGCTGAAAACAGAGGTATAAAGAAGGGCTAGTCTATCCTGTCTCATATTTCTCATCCATGCAAATTACCGCTGGCACGGTGGTGAAGGCATACAGCTCTGTTTCCACCTTGTTTTGCCTATCAAAATACGAGGGGAAAAATGCTTTACAAACCTATGTTACTGCAGCTTCAACTCTTCAACAACCCAAGGTATCAGTTCCTATGTTCTTTACTGTGTCATGCTCCAACAACCCCAAGGTATCAGCACTTACCGGTCCTCCATTGTCTCTGACTCTATGTAAGAATGGACACAACCATTAGGAGAATCAAGAAGGATGTAGGCAAAAATCTCAGTGGCACAACCCTTTCTGAAGCACTTAGAATCTGCACTGGAAATAAACATCCTCCCTGCGATGCGTTTATCGTTGTGATCTTTGCGAGGCCTTCAAAAGAGCATGCCCTAACATCCTGGTCCATTGTTTGGAAATAGATGTTGAATGCATATGATATGTTGCCGTCATGGCTAAGATTATTGCAGGAGGATCCATAGCCCAGTGGTGTACAATCTGCATTTGAGCATGCGTAGTTTACAGCGGCTGGCAAGTCTTTGAACTTATCCTTTGCATCCTTGTTGAAAACACACCACTGTGCTGGCAAATATTCCACTTCAACTCCAACCAGATTGTCTAGGCCATCTCCACTGAGATCCATAGAGAACTTTGGTTTTCCATCATATGTGAGTAGTCCCCAGTGACGTTCAAAGCGCCCAGGCAGTACACTCTTCTGGTTCTCATCAATCAGTGCAAATAGGTAAACTTCCATCCAACCAGGTCTGAGAGGTGTCCCAATGTTTCTGACCATCTTCTTCAGAAAACCATCATAGAACTTCTGTGCATATCTCACATTTGCGTGTTTATCACCATCAGTTGGCCAACCAACCTCACCAACAATGATTTTCATGTCAGGCACACCAGCCTTCCTTAGTGACCAAACAAGGGTGTCAAAGTTGGCATCAAACACATTGGTGTAGACCACACCTTTGTCATAAACTGGCTTGCTACCACCATCAAAGAAGGAAAAATTGAGTGGGAAGTTTGGATTCTGGTATAGGCTGAGAAATGGGTAGATGTTAACAACAAAGGGTGCATTATTCATATTGAGGAAATTGACAATGTCAACCATGAGGGCATTGATATCCTTGCGGAAGCTCCCAGCTGATGGCACTGGTTTATTCTCAGGGGAGTTGTAGACATCAGCATTGAGTGGGACAACTGCCTTTACATGATCACCTAAACCAAGTTTGTCTAGAGCTCTTTGCATGTTCTTGAGCGCAGGAAAGGTTACATTGATTAGGCTGCCATTGTAGCTCTTTAGAAAAGGCTCATTGCCAACAGCCACATACCTGAGCAATTAACATAACCAGTGAATATAACAGGAGAGTATCACCAAAGACAATGTGAATATTCAGAAATAAGTAACTAGGCAAGTACATACATTTTATATGCAACACACCATCGCCCATCGGATTCATAGAGATATGCTCAGTTTGGCACATCATGCATGATAAACTTAAGTAGCACAGTAATTACAAAAGGAATTGCTAGAAAGTGGAGTCACTGAAATCCAGTAGGAATTAAGTCAATGAAATCCACTGAATTCCTACTGTTCTTCACCAATAAAAACACACCTAAATTTCCACAGTAAATTCAGCACAATTAAGGATTAAAATGCTCTAAATATCATAAATACAAGTTCATTCTGGCTTCCGTTGGCATCTACAATTAGAAGCCTAGAAATGGTAATCCAATTGTCGGCTCATTCCTGCGTTTACTTGCTCCACATTTTGAATAGGTTTCCTCAATGAACTAGTTCAGTCAACATCCATGGAAGCATATAAACACCATCAACAGAGGGAACATGATCTAAACACACTGTATTCCATAAACCAATCAAAGCATGTTTCTCCAACATTTACAACGTTAACTCTCGACCCTGAGGTATCATACACAAAACAGATTTGAGGGGCTGTTTGGTTGGTTGCCACACTTTGCCACGCCACACTTTAGCCATGCCACAGTTTTTTAGGCATGTGTTTGGTTCGCTGCCGCAATTGTGTTATGCCACACTTTCTTAACTTTGGGACCCACATGTCATGCTCTCAAATTTAGAGCTAAGCATGCCACACTTGTGGCCAACTATTTCTAAGCCACATTTATGCCACCATGCCACAACTAGCCTAAACTTAGTTATGGCAAGGTTAGGCATCAACCAAACATCCCCTGATCAGTACGGCTACTGCTACACACCCATATGCAATATATGCATGAAGTATGAAACTAATTGCATGATGCAGGATACATTACTGTATTTATCTAAGTGACACGATTGTAAGTGATGTCTAATTAACACTCATGTCTTTCAGGCGACAGGGGAACCTTAACCCAGCCACCAAGGAAGCACTGCAACAACAGAAAACTATCCATTCTGCATGAACCACAAATGCAAGCATGCATGTGCATCTCACACTCACAGCACCACCCGATCAGACAGACAGGCACTACACGATCAATCGATCACGGACATCACGGTTACACGAAACTGCATGTCCAACGGTGGCATTCCGTCGAACACTTTCGACGCGCCCGAACAGACATTCCATACCCTCACCTAGCTCGCACGCCCGCGCTCAGAGTAAGAGCCGCGTCGTCTCGCCGCACGCAACACCGAACACTTGGCATGCAGCCGCAAACTAGAAGCACACGCGACACCGCGCCGGCGGCCGAGGCAAACCATAGCACACCACCCGTAGAGCGAGCGAGAGCAGCAGTGGGGGCGCGTACGTACCTGACGTCGACGCCGGCCTCGAGGTAGGCGGAGACGTTCTGCTCGGCCCAGCGGTAGGCGCGGCGCGGGTCGCCGGCGAGGCGCGCGAGCTGGTCGTTGGGGACGGCGAGCATGACCTGGATGCCGGTGTGGGCGAGCGGCGCGGCCGTCCAGGGGTCGGCGTCGAACATCTTCACCCGGGCGACGCCGTTGGCCGCCAGCATCCGCACCACCTCGCACGGGAGTATGGGGTGGGACGTCATCGTGCCCCAGTTGACCCCCACGGCCGCTCGGCCCAGCCCGTCGCCGTACGCCGACGCGGCGAGCGGCAGCAACAACAGCAAGGCGACGACGCCGACCGCCGCCGCGGCGGCCGCCATGGGAGGCGGAGGAGGTGGTGGGGGATCGATCGGTCGGAGAGGGTTTGGAGAGGGTGTTGGGATTGCGGGGGTTTATGGAAGAAGCGCGTTTGGCATGCTTGCCTTGGGGTTGGAGCCTTGTAGGATGAGAGCGTGTCAGGAGAAACGAGGGAGGAGAGGAGGGAGAAGCTCTGTCTGTACGCAATCTGGCTGGCTGACAGGTGGACCCAGATGTAAGCTGCTGAGTTTCATGGATGATAAAGAGAAAAGAGTGAAGATTTCTCTCGTTATATATAGTGTTTAGATAAAAAATGTTGTATCAAATATTTGGACACATGCATAAAGCATTAAATATGGATAAGAAAACCCGATTTACACAGTTTACATGTAAATTGCGAGACGAATTCTTTGAGCCTAATTGCGTTATGATTTGACAATGTGATGCTAAGTAAACATTTGCTAGCGACGGATTTATTAGGCTTAATAAATTTACCTCGCAGTTTACAGGCGGAATATATAGTTTGTTTTATTATTAGTCTACATTTAATACTTCAAATGTGTGTCCGTATACTTAAAAAAAAATTAGCCAAATAACTAAACACGGCCTATCTTCTTAATCTTCTTATTTCTCCTTCTCTCAAATACTCCTTAAACTCTCCTTTTCTAACTTCTATCCACTTATTTTTCGTGCACACGCTTCCCTAACTTCTAAATAGTGTGGTTTTTTTTCAAAAATTTCTATAACAAAGTTGCTTTAAAAAAAATTATATTAATCCATTTTAAAATTTTATTTTAATTATTACTTAATTAATCATGAACTAACTATTATTCCGTTTTTCGTACTAGGAATGAAGATTTATAACCCTCACCCCCGAACTCAGTCATAAGCATGTTACTTGCTCCTTATGTCCTTCATCTCAAAATAAGTTTATTTTTATGTATTTTTTCTTTCCGTTACAAGATTTAGCGTGAATATACATATTTTTTTCTCAACTATATAGTGTCATGCCGATATTATTTTTCTCATCTTGAATCAACCAAAATAAAGCCACTGTTAATTAAACTCTGTAAGATAAACGTAACAACTCATTTTCTAGCCACCCCAATATCTAAGAACGAGACTCGTGACTACCAAAGTCCAACAACATGATACTGTGAGTGAGGATTCCATAATCATTTTTATCGTGCCTGTCCGATATGAGTGACGACCATATTTTCGCAGTAGTGTCATATTGTGGGGTTTGCGTTCACGAGAATGATTGAGTAACGGCAGTTGGGAAAGTATCAAAACAAAATAAATTAGGAGGGATGTAATTGAAAAAAAAAGGTCTTATATGGGTAATATCAAATTCCGGGTGATGTTTGGGGTGCTTTTTGTAGTTTTTCCTGTATGTATTTTAAGTAAAGAAAGAAGTGTGCGTGGAAAGCACTCAGCCTTCTATGTTAGACTATTCCTTCATCACTAATCTACAATTAAGGGCTTGTTCAGATTGATGACATTTTCAACCATACCATATTTGGTAAAATTGACAAGTATGTGGCTACTTTAGTTTGTTACCAAATATTAGCAATGCGTATAGAATTTTGGCAACATTATTAAACCAATCCTACCAAAATTTTAGCAATGTTACTAATTTTACCAAAATTTTAACATTGCTAAATTTTGGTAAGGTTCATTTTGGCATCAATCTAAACCGCCCTAAGAGTAGCATTTCAATTGTGGGTCATACAGCCTAAGCACACCTATTAAGCCTACAAGGCCTTCTCAGATGGGCCTCATTCTCGGCCCACGGCGTGGACAAGACTGTTTTGTCCCTAATTTTCCGCCATATTTTTTGGTTGGTCGGCACCTCCACGGACTCCGGAGTCCGCTCGGTTCCCCTCCTCAAGCTCGCCTCCTCCTCCCCTCGCGCCGTCGCGCGTTGCTGCTGACTCCGGAGCAAAATCGAGCGAGCGCGGCGGATCAGGTGGTGCTCTCCCTGCGCCGCCGCGCGCGCGCCCTGTTGGTTTTGGAACGAGCGGGCAGGGCAGGGCGGAGCCGGGAGATCGGAGAGGAGCAGAGAAGAAGCTGGCCATGGGGTCGGTGGAGCGGATCACGTCCATGCCTCGGCGGCAGGTCCAAGCCCGTGGTAAGCCGCTTCTTTGCTCCGTGCTTCCATGGCCCTCTTCGTTGCACTGTATTGTGTACATTGTCCTGACATATAGCTTGTTCAGTTAAATCAGTAATCAGGATACTGCTATCCTCTTTTTTTTTCTTTTTTTTTGAGGAAGATATCTTTTATTCTTTTGAGATGAAGTATACTGCATTATTCCTATTGTTCCGAGAGACTGAGACAGAAGAAAAAGTTTGGTTTTTCCTGACTGAGACAGTAGTAGCTAAGTGATTCGATTAGATTAGCTAGCTTAAAATCTGAGTACCTCGGAACGAATGTTGCTTTCTTTTTTCTGATTGCGCACTTCAATTTGCACTCTACCACAGAAGAATAACTTGGGAGGGTTCTTGCCCAAAATTTGCATAAGAGAAACAAATTTTATGTGTGCATTGTACTCTCAATTTTACGCTCCATTATCATCGGTACCTGCCATAACCATGATCACATGATGTATTGCAGATGGGTCGGTTGCTTCATTGGCTAAACGAACGGGCTCACCCTGCCAACAGGAAGATGATTATGAAGGTGCCAAAACTATGACAAATCCATGGACCTTCCTTCCAGAGGTATAAATTTTGCATGCATCATTGTTCACTTACCTTTACAAATGCGATGTTGAACTGTTCTCTGACTCTTGTGTTTTCAGGACATCTGGTATCATATACACTCCTTATTGCCACTAAAAGATGCCGCTCGTACTGCATGCGTGTCTCACACATTTCTACGTTCATGGAGATACCGCCCCAACCTTGTCTTTAGTGATGCAAAACTGGGGCTGAGTGGCTTGTCGGAAAGTGATGAAGTAACCAAGGAACTCAACGAAAAAGTTGACCTCATTATGAAAAACCACTCAGGCATTGGCTTGAGGACATTCGGGCTCGAATATTATAATTTGGTCGATGCCTCTTATCTTGACCGTTGGCTCCAGATTGCTGTTACACCAGCAATAGAAGAACTCATCCTTATGTTTTTTCCAGAGATCAAGGCAAAGTACTACGACTTCCCATTCTCACTTTTATTTGATAGGGGTGGAAACTCGATTAAGCATCTTCGCCTCAGCTACTGTGCCTTCCGTCCTACCACTAGTCTTAATTTCTTGCAAAGACTGCATCTGTTTGAAGTGCGTATTACTGGGGATGAATTGGGGTGCCTTCTTTCCAACTCTTTTGCTTTAGAGCAGTTGAAACTCACACATTGTAAAGAGCTCAATTACCTCAAGATACCTTGCGTGCTACAGAGGCTCAGCAAGCTGACAGTGTTTGGATGCACAACATTGCAAGTGATTGAAATTAAAGCTCCAAACCTTTCAACCTTTGATTATGATGGTAATTTAGCAGGACTATCAGATGGAGGTTTGCTGCCAGTGAAGAACCTACACTTATCTTCCTTTTATCAGCATCATACTATTCAATACACATGTGCCAAGCTTCCATCTGTTGCGCCGACTATCGAAACTCTCACCATATTTTCAGAAAGCGAGGTATGTTATGAAACTTAAGATTATATCATTAGATACCAGCATTATGCACATAGCAAGAGTTTTTTTTTTTTTTGGCTGGGCCGTGCACATAGCAAGAGTTCTGATTAATATGGAATTCTGAATATTATTGCAGAGGTTCAATACACAAATTTCACCATTCAGATTCCTTCATCTCAAGTGCTTGACGATTTCTCTTAGCATATACCGTGGGGGCTTTTCCCCATCAAATGATTATCTTTCTCTAGCTTATTTTCTTGATGCGTCTCCTGTCTTGGAGATTTTCACTTTGACCGTAAGCATTTCTTTTTTCATGTTTTTTCTCCTGTTTGATACAATTAAATTTTGATGTGGCAAAAAATACCTATTAATCCGTTGTCTATAATGGAATCATTTGTAAGTATTGTTTGCTTGTTCCTATGCAGGTATCACAGACTCGTATGAAGCATCACGTGATTTCTGAAGATTCCTCATATCTGAGGCAGATGCCAGGACACCGCCATGTCAACCTCAAGAATGTGAAGATCATTGGGTTTTGCTCTGCAAAGAGCATGGTAGAGCTGACTTGCCATATTATTGAGAATGCAACATCACTAGAATCCCTTACTCTAGACACAATATGTGATGATTATGAAAATCCTGATAGGCTATCTGTTCACGAAATTGGTGAGTGCAGCCCCATATGTAGGCAAATGATCATGGAGGCCAAAAACGCGCTCTTGGCTATCGAAAGATACATTGTGGGGAAAGTCCCCTCTACAGTCAGGTTAGATGTTCTGAAGCCCTGCAGCTGGTGCCATGCCTTTGAAGTTTAGGTGTTAAATTGTGGCGATGTTGAATTATGTGGTGTTGCTTAAGCTAGGTGTGGCTTGTTTCTTTAGCTATAGGATGTACCTGCTGTTTTAGGTCCTGTGGTATTATTGCATGGGTTGTGCTTTGTCAGTGTTCTAATGTCATGTTACATGTTCAGTTATATTATAATCAAGAAGCATTCTTTCTTCTGGCTATCTCTGCTTTATCAATTGAAATCCACCTGAAGCTGGGATGCTACATATGATCTACGATTGTATTCATGCGACATGTACATGTTCTGTTCGCTCTTGTAATTTCATTGATATTTCTGTTACATGACAGCCCAATAATATCCTAATATTACTTCCTGCAAAAAGTATATCATGTTTAATAGTTTACTGCAAACACAGTACAAACGCTCGTATAAACACCTGCATACAAACCCATAAGCATCTCTGAAGACTGGACTAATATATATTGAGATTCACGAAGTCTACCTCATTATCGACGGGCGTGTCATTTACCACTAATAGAATATTTAGCTATCAATGGGTATGACCTATTTTTCATGATGGGTTATGAATGCATTGCAACTTTTTTTTGGACGAAATGCATTGTATCTTACACTCGCACAAAGTGTATTATTTTGAAACTGCTTCTCTCTCTAGAGATCAACGCTATTATGTTTTGCTTATATTTTGGTTTGGCATTTTCATATTTGATCATCAGTGTCCTAGTGGAAGTCCACGAGACAATTTCCCTGGAAAAGATAATAGCTAATGCTCACCAGAGTTGAACAAGAAGAGAAGCAATCATTCATTCTGACGCACGTGTTTGGGCAACAAAATTGTCTGCTTTTCCGAATTATTTGTCACCTAAACTACCACAATCAAGAAGCATTTCAAACAACATAATCCGTACAAATTATCCTTCAGCCCAAGCACACCAGTGAAGGCCTTCCTTGCCCTGCAGGTGATGCCATGCTGCAGGTGTTAAAAGACCATTACTGTTCGACTTTATAGTGATTTAATGTTCCTTAAGTGAACTTTATAGTGAATTAATGTTCCAATGTTCCTTAAGTGAGGTGTTGGCTTGTTTTAAATCTTGTTTAACCTGGGATGGAGATTTGTCTCTGAAGTTGTCAGTGTTGTGTCATGTTCTCAGTTGGAGTATACTATAACCAATACCATTCTTAAATTGTCCAGCTGAAGCTGTGGCTTGTCTTGTCTTGCTTTCTTTAAAAACAAGGTCATTATGCAATATAATGATCTTTCATCCAAAAAAAGTTAGATATTGGTTTGATTTTTCATGTACCTGATCATGTCTTGGTTGAAGACAGTAAGTCAATTTTTTTTTGGGGAAAAAAATAACATAGTATGGCTCAATGGAGTCGAAGAACATGACAATTTTAACTGATTTGCCAAATATCCATTCGCCTAAATTATAGTTAGACCTATTTAAAATGGACTATCTAAAAATATGCCATAAGTTTTTGAGTGAAAAAAATTAGATGTAACTACAGTGTAATTAGAATATAATTACTCAGTAAAATACTATAACCATAGTTTCTTTCACAACCCTAACTACTCCCTCTGTTCCACAATGTAAGACTTTCTAGCATTGTCTATATTCGTAAAGATGTGAATGAATCTAAATATTTACATGTGTCTAGATTCATTAACATCCATATGGATATAGGCAATGCTAGAAAGTCTTACATTGTGAAACGGAGGAAGTAGTTGTCAAATATTTATAGGTTAAAAATGTTTAAAAATTCAACCCACTCTATTTTAAACCTAAAAAATTGGGCCCATTACTACCCCTAGGTACATCCCAAACATACCTACAAAAGCCCATTAAGGCCTCGTTTGGTGGGCTTCAAATATCGGCCCACAGCATGGACCAGCAGGTTTTCGTTTCCTAATTTTCTGCCGTATTTTTGGCCGTCACCTCTGCGGATTCCACTCCCCTCCCCTCCTCTCCTCGCGCAGCCGCGCCACGCCGCGCCTTGCCGCTGACACCGGAGCAAGATCGAGAGAGAGCGCGGCGTATCGGGGTGATCTGGTCTCCCCGCGCGCGCGCGCCGCCCTGCTGGTTTCGGAATCGAAGAGGAGCAGAGAGGGCGGCGGGGAAGAAGAGGGGAGGTGAAGCGGCGGCGGCGGCTCATGTCGATGCAGCAGGAGCAGACGCGGCCACGTCGGCTGGTCCAATCCTGTAGTGAGCTCGTCTCTTTGATCCATCGCCCCATCGGCCTCTTCGTCGCATTGCATCGTGTTTAGTGTTTCTGTGTTAATGCCCTGGCGTCCATAGCTTGTTTAGTATACCGCTATTCTTTTTTAGAGTATACTCCATTCGGTTCATATTATAGGTTTAGGTCGTTTCGACTAAATTTTAGAAAAATACAGCAATGTTTCCAACACAAAATAAACATATTATGAAAATATATTAAAATTTTAGTTTTAATGAAACGGAGTATTATACTGCTGCACCGAGACAAAAAGAGGAGGGTGTATTATACTGCTGCTTTGGGACTGAACTGGAGGTTCTTTACTACTGTTAGTGGCTAAGTTTGATTCGTTTAGGTTAAATAGCTTAAAATCTTTCTTTGGTTCTCTGGAAGAAAAAAAAGCTTGGATAGTAGATATAAGACTGTTGCTTTCTTTTTCTGATTGAGTATTTCAATTTGCAGTCTTTAACAGAAGAATATGCGTTCGTGCCCAAAAGTTGCATAACAGAAACAAATTAGATGTATGCATGTTTTATACTCCATTATCATCGGTACCTATTGTCACCATGATGTGTTGCAGATGAGTCGGTTGCTTCACTGGCTAAACGAAATGGCTCACCCTGTCAACAAGGCGATGATTACCAAGGTGTCAAAACAATGAGAAATCCATGGGCCTTCCTTCCTGAGGTATAAAATTCCGATACATCCTGGTTCACTTACCTTTACAAGCACAATGTTGAACTTCTCTCCCACTATGGTGTTTTTAGGACATCTGGTATCATATACACTCCTTATTGCCACTACAAGATGCTGCACGTACCGCATGCGTGTCTCAGATATTTCTACGTTCTTGGAGATGCCGTCCCAATCTCATCTTCAGTGCGAAAACATTGGGATTGAATGACAATTGGTTGGAAAGGAATAAAGTAATAGGAGAACTCAATGGAAAAGTTGACCACATTATGAAAACCACTCCGGTGTTGGCTTGAAGACTTTTGGGCTTAGATCCTATAATTTGGTCGACGCCTGTTATCTTGATTGTTGGCTCCAGATAGCTGTTACACCGGCAATTGAAGAACTCATCCTTTTGCTGTTTCCAGAGGACAAGGCAAACTACTACGACTTCCCATTCTCACTTTTATTCAATAGAGGTGGAAGCTCGATTAAGCATCTTTATCTCAGCTATTGTGTCTTCCGTCCTACTGGTGGACTTAATTGCTTGCGAAGTCTGTTTCTGTATGAGGTGCGCATTACTGGGCACGAATTAGGGTGCCTTTTTTCCAATTCCTTTGTGTTAGAGCAGTTGGAACTCACAGATTGCAAAGAGCTTAGTTACCTCAAGATACCTTGCCTGCTTCAACGGCTCAGCAAGCTGGCAATGTATGGATGGGAAGCATCACAAGTGATGGAAATTAAAGCTCCAAATCTTTTAAACTTCCATTATGAGGGTAATCTAGCACGACTATCAGATGGAGGTCTACCGTATGTGAAGAACCTAACCATAGCTTCCATTCGTTGGCATAATGCTATTTATTATGCCTGTGCAAATCTTCCATCCATTGTGCCCACTATTGAAACTCTCACTGTATTTTCAGTTAGCGAGGTACATTACGCAACTTAAGATTATATCATTAGATTCCAGCATTATGCATATAGCAATAGTCATACCTTGAAATGTGATTAATCTCGACAATTTATGCAGATTATCAATACGCCGATCGCACCTTTAAGATTTCTCCACCTCAAGCACCTTACTGTTTTTCTTCACACAGTCCCTAGGGTCGTTTCCCCAACATATGATTATCTTTCTTTAGCTTATTTTCTTGATGCATCTCCTGCCTTGGAGACTTTCACTTTGAAGGTAAGTAAAGTTTTCACGTGTAAGTAAATTTTAATATGCGGAAATATATATCTATCATATATAGTGGAACTATTTGTTGAAATATTCTCTGCTGGTTCATATGCAGGTATCACAGACTCGCATGGAGCATGACGTGATTTCTGAAGATTCATCACATCTAAGGCAGATGCCAGGACACCATCATGACACCATCAAGAATGTGAAGATCATGGTCGAGCTAACTTGTCATATTCTTGAGAATGCAACATCACTTGAAGGTCTTACACTAGACACAATATTTGATGGAAATAATAATCCTGCAGATAGGCTATCTGTTCACGAAGTTGGTCGTTGTGGCCGCATACATAGCCCTATGGTCATGGAAGCCAAAAACGCGCTCTTGGCTATCGAGAGATACATCGTCGGGAAAGTCCCCTCTACAGTGAAGCTGGATGTTCTAAAACCCTGCAGCTGGTGCCATACAAATTCAAGTGTTGAGTGATACGGATTGTCCAATATTTAATCGTGAGCTGTTGCTTAGGTGTGGCTTTTTCTTGAGCTACTGAATCTACCCGTTGTTTTGAGTTTTGTATTATTTTTCATGGGTATTGTGCTTTGTTTCTTAAGTTGTCACAAGTGTCATTGTTCTGTGATTGTCATTACATGGGCTGGTTCAATTATACTATTATCAAAACCATTCTTTCATTTGTCCAGATTTACAAGTTCCGCAGTTGGCTTGCTTGTCATGGGTAACTGGATTTACAACTGAATTTAACATCCTCTATCCTCTCTTCAATTCCATTGATCGAGGCAGGAGATTCTTTTATTTTAAATATCCACTATTCGTCTTTGGAGGTGTTTGTAGGGGTAGGTGTGTGTGTCCGCGTATATAGATGTGATTGCGCGCCGTGCGCGCATTTATATGAGCTATAATATGCTTAAAAAAGAGTAAATTTCATTAAACCCCACCTATTATGATCCAATTTGCATAAAACTACATGTTTTGACATGTGCCACATAACATGTATTATGGTTTTAAAATTTCACAAAACCACACCATTAACCATTTTGACATACTCCTATATCAAAATAGAGAAAGTGAATGTAACATTTGTATGATGGATAAAATGCTCGTGATTGTTGAATTCAAAATTGTGATAGCGCAAAATGATTAGTAATGTGGTTTTGTAAAACGTTGAAACCATAATATCTAGGATTATGTGTCACGTGACAAAGTTATTGTGTTTTTATGAAACTAAAACAAACAGGTGGGGTTTTTTAAATCTACTTTAAAAGGATACTCCCTCCCTTAAAACTATAAGTCATTTGACTTTTATATTGTTCAAATTTTCTTTTAAGTTTGATCAAGTTTATAAAAAAATATAGTACTACCTTCGTCCCATAAAACCTGACGTTTAAAGGTTATACCAGTGTCCCACAAAACATGTCGTTTGAGCAATTTAATGGCCATCTGTTTTGAATTTTTGAATATGCTCATGATTGCTTTGCCACGTGTATTTTTTGTGGCCATAGCTTCAGTGTGCAGAGATATATAAGGGCATCTACAATCAAGGATACTACATGGGCGCCTTCACTAACTGAAGACACTGTGTGGGAAACACCTCTTACAATGGAGAATACCCTGGTGACCCAATGAGTATCCCTAACCCAAAAAGCCTACGTAGTTATTTTACTGTACAATCCTCTCTTCTCCCATACTCCCTCTCTCTTCCCCATATTTACTCCATCTACCGGAGACGACCCGGCGAAGGAAGTTGGTTGTTGTTTGCGAGGCTACGGGCTGGAGACACGCATTGGTGATGGCCTAAGTATTCCTATTGAATGCCTTGCACTCAATGAAATGGCATCCGATTATTATTAAGTGAGGGCAACTTGGTCATTTTCCCTTCCGCTAATTTGCTTTTGAAACCTTAAAGCGTCATGCTTTGTGGGACAGAGGAAGTAGTATTTTCAATACAAAACAAACATATTATCAAAATATATTCAATATTATATTTAATAAAACTAATTTAATATTTTAGATGTTGCTAAAATTTTTTTATAAACTTGATAAAACTTAAGTTTGACTTAAAAAAAAGTCAAACAACTTATCCTATGATAAACAGGGAGTAGTAAAGTACCTCCTACCGAATAATCCCAACTTCAAGGGTGAATCTACAAAAAGCGCCCCAAGCAAATATAAACCGCCATAAACCGAACTCTTGGATCCCCGAAGAAGAAACAAACCATTTCTGGGTCGCGCTCCCACGCCCAGATCCCCCTCCCATTTCCGGAAAAGGAAGGAAGATTCCGAGGCGGCGGAGCGGAAGGGATGGTGGCGAGCGAGACGAACCAGAAGGCGGCGGCGGCGGGGAGCAGCATCCCGGAGGGGGCGCGGCAGCTGCTGCACGAGCTGGCGGCGGGGTGGGGCGACGTGGCGGACTGCCGGGCGCTGGAGGTGGTGCCGCTCAGGGGGGCCATGACCAACGAGGTCTACCAGGCGCGGTGGCCGCCGGCGGCGGAGGCGGAGGCGGCGGGGAGGAGGGTGCTGGTGAGGGTGTACGGCGAGGGCGTGGAGTTGTTCTTCGACCGGGAGGCCGAGGTGCGCACGTTCGAGTCCATGTCGCGGCACGGCCACGGCCCGCGCCTCCTCGGTCGCTTCCCCAACGGCCGCGTCGAGGAGTTCATCCACGCCAGGGTGAGCATTTTTTTTTGGCCTTCTCTGTTTTTTTTTCTTCTTCTTCTTTCTTGTCTGCTTGCGACAAAATTTCTTGCTGCTCTTGATTTCGTACTTGGAAGGTAGTGTTCTTCAGTTATTCGTATTGAGTTTGGAACTTTGGATGGGTGACTGGGGAATCTGACGCATAAATTTTGTTTGCGAATTCAGAGCTTTTTTATTTTTCGGCGAGAAATTCAGAGTTGTTTCACTGTTTGCAATCGTTTTCAGCCTGCATCGTGGGAATCGTGTAGTAGGTAGCGTCATATGAATATTAATCAGTTGCCTTTCTTTGAAAATTTCCTCTTGATGATGTAGTAGATGTACTCTGCAGTTGTACTGTCGAAATTTCAACATTGACCTTCAGAAACTTATCCGGGATGTTCATTCAAATCCGTACTCAATGAAGTCATCACCCAATTTTAATTGTGGCAGCCATTGTTTTTGTTCTCTTGTTGACTACACTGTGCCTGCCTAATATTATATCTAAAAATTAAAACAAAAAACTTTTCTTAATAGCTTCCGAGAGACTGAGATACTCTATCCGTCTCAAAATATAAATGATTTTGAATGGATTGGACACATTATAGTATTACGAATCAGACCAGAGAGCCTGATGAGTATTACTTTTGGCAGAAAGCATATAAATTACTTGTCCTAGTAACTTGTAAGCATGGGAGGGTGTTGTCATTAGTTGACATTTCTGTTTCTTGGGCCCTGAAAAGAAAGACATTTCTGCTTCTTGGAGATGACTAATAGCTGTACTATTTTGTTTTGTTAGGACATATGAAACTGTTCTCTTGCTGAATAAATTGTACAACATGAATCATTTTCTTTTTCCTTCATAACTTCTTGACGGCTTTAGTGATAGCTTCTGAGCCTGGCAGAATGCTGTCGTTAGTTAGCAATTATGCTTGCTGAAGATGTCATACAGTTCAGCTACTATGTTTAATGATGGTTGTCTATGAAATTGTTTTATGGTTTATCATATTTAATTGCTTATAGTTCAACGATCCAAATATCCACATGAAAGAACAAGTGTGTGTATTGTATAACGTATCTACCGTTCTACCTGCTTACTGAAACGAATCTACCTCGCTGAACACAGCCGTGAATAAAAAAAAGAGAAGACATAGTTAATTTTGGTGAGCACAGCCATAAGGAATCAATTTGGTGTCTGAACACCTCAATGAGCACTGGTTTAATCATGCAAGAAATCTTTTGATTAGTAAGACTGATGACCGAGTTGCTAAAGGTCACAGAACACGGCGTCTGAGCTTCAGAATAAGGCATCAGCCCGATTACTTTATTAATATAATATATAGGGGGAAAATATGGCATGGACAAAACAAAGTAGGATGGGAATGTTAATCTTTTTTCTCAATTTGTTTCTTCACTTTCAAAAGAAAGCATCATGTTCTGTTTGTGTTGCTGGGAAGAACCGAAGAAGGACGATTCAAAAACACAAAGCATTACGATATGATGACTATAAATATGTTTATATAGGATGGTGGGTCCATTAATGTTCAAAAGAACAAAAGGACTGATGCAAATATTCCTTTCAGACACTCTCAGCTGTTGATCTGCGTGATCCAGAGATTTCAGCCATTATAGCCTCAAAGCTGAGGGAATTCCACAACCTTGATATGCCTGGTCCAAAATCTGTACTCATTTGGGACAGACTAAGGTATTACTTAATTTGTGTTTACACTGTTTTTTAGCATTGCATACTTGTAAAATGAAACACATCATCGAAGTAAAACACTAAGTTACTAACTGACAATGCCTATGCACATCTTCATCAGGAACTGGCTCAAAACTGCCAAGAATTTGTGCCCCTCTGACGAAGCCAAAGAGTTCTGCTTGGATAGCATGGAGAACGAGATCACTGCGTTGGAAAATGAGCTTTCAGAGGATTACCAGTGCGTAGGATTTTGCCACAACGATCTCCAGTATGGAAACATCATGATTGATGAAGAGACCAAATTGCTGACCATCATTGTAAGTTCTTGCTCCATTGTGTATGTTTGATTCATCTGTTCCATTACTATTTTTTGGGGGAACGAGCAAGAGACTTGGACATCTTTATATTAAGAAGAAAGCTCAATTTCGTCTAGAGACATCAGACCGACCACAAGGAAAAAGGAGAGTTAAACCATCTGCTTTGTTATTTCACATCACACACATTGATGCGTCTTGGTACTCCGTATAACCTTATCATACATTGAGTTGTATGTTACTATCTCCAGGAATAAAGATTTCACTTCTGAAACGACATACTTTATGAAAGATTATGCATATTTTCCTTATTAGCCTTCATGTATGTCATGTCTGTTTATGAACCTGAAGTTTTATATGTAGCCAGGCGAAATTAACAAACATATCGTCTTGATCTTACTGGTTCCTCATCATGCCTACACAGGACTATGAGTATGCAAGTTTTGGTCCAGTTGCTTATGACATTGCAAACCATTTCTGCGAGATGGCTGCAGACTACCATTCAGAAAAGCCTCACATACTGGACTACACTAAATATCCAGGTATTTCATATTAGCTGTCAAAGTTATTAATTTGTACATTATTGTTCTCCCTTTTATCCATTTTGGTCACCCTATATTTTCTCTGTTCGTTCTTGCTTATCTGCAACAGATACTGATGAGCAGAAGCAATTTGTGCAGAGCTACCTGAGCTCTTCAGGTAAGCATGAAGTTTGTCATTAACATCTCATTCTCCCTTCTCTATTCCATAAAAACAATAACCGAATATCCATAATAGGCGAGGAACCTGACGCAGAGAAGGTCAATAATCTGATAAAAAGTATCGAGAAGTACACCTTGGCAAGCCATCTCATTTGGGCCCTCTGGGGAATAATTTCGGTTTGGTTTCTCCTCAGTTTCACTTGCCTCCAACTGTGTAAGACTGAACACCATGTAAACATCCAATTTACATCTTTTGCAGGAGCATGTCAACGATATTGACTTCGACTACATGGGGTATGCGAGGCAGAGGTTCGAGCAGTACTGGCTCAAGAAGCCTGCAATCCTAACATGTCAGGTCGTTGAATAAGCACCTGCATAACATCACCAGGTTCTACCTTGATGGATATCCACCGGCCGCTGCACATAGCTTGTTTATACATAGGGGATGTGAAAGGCTTAACCAGAGATCAGTGAGATCCAGGCTTCTGTTGTCCTTGTATAGCTGTTGGGTTGTTCATAGTCTGGATGGGAGACAAATTAATAAATCTTACTACAAACTCTCAAGGGATGTATCCTCCTTGTTTGTATGTCATTTAAATGATTATAAAGAATATTAAAAAAAGATCAATAAGATAGATTAATATGTGATAGATCACTTCAGAAATATGTTCTACATGGTATAACGAAAAAAACAAACTAACTAGTTGCAGTTTAATTTTTTTATTGTAATTTGTAAAAGTTGAATTTTAACTTGTATGTTTGTAAAATAATATATCACATATTAATTTATCTTCTTATTATTTTTTTAAATTTCTTTTCTAACTATTAAGATTACATGTAAATAACGAGAGGATGTTCTCTCAAGCCATATTAAAGTTGCTGCTATATTGATATTGCTGATGTTCTGATATGTCAACTTACCTATCATATATCCTATGCGCCGCTGCCTCCTCTCCCGCCGGCCGCCGCGCGCGTCAGTGGCATCAATGTCGGCGAAGGTGATGAGCGTGGCCACAATGCCATGGTGGTCGACGAGCCACCGCCACACCCTTTCCCGGACGGTCGCTGTCGCCGAGGTGCGCGCGTATGGAAAGGGAGGAGGAGAAAAGCAAGAGGGAGAGGAGGGAGGAGGAAGTGGGCCCACTGACATGTGGGCCCCACTATCTTTTATTTTATTGTTTGACTGACATGTGGGTCCAAATATTTTGTTTTAATTTTTAAATTGTTAAATTTTGCTTCATATGCCACGTTAATGCCACATAAGACGAATATCGAGTAAAATTAGCCATGTGGGTGCCACATCAGTTGAAACCGTGCTCCAGACCGCCTTGGGACTTACCGGTTTTAATAGTTCAGGGACCCATTGTATATCGTTTTCCGGTTGAAGGACGAAAATCGAATTCGTTGACAAATTAAGAGACCTCTGATGAACTTATTTCATAAAATAGTTTTGAAAATGCTCAGGCTCGAGCGCCCGATCGGGTCAGTAAAAATTGGACCCTACACTCTCACATGCATGCTATTAACTAGTTTCTCATTCTTCTTTTCTTCCCACTTTAAATATTTTTTTCTCCTAAACTATGTATCCGATCTACGATCCGATCACACCGTTGTATTCATTGTAATTAAATCTTTACAACAAGATATCATATGATTATATTATGATAAAATAAAAACATGTGTTTCAAACTATTAAAACTCAATGTTTCATACGTGATAGTGATATGATTCAATGTGTGTCTTCAGTATGTTTCACAAAAATCATGGAACTACCCGCCACTACTCTCTCTCCTCTCTCCCCTCCATCCATCTATGTATACATACATTTTTATGATCTTCAAAATATTTTTTTCCTAAACTACTTATCCAATCTATGACTATATCACACCGTTGTATTCATTGTAATTAAATATTTACAACAAGATATCGCATGATTATATTTTGATGAAAGAAAAACATATGTTTCAATCAGTTAACATTTGTTGTTTCATATGTGATAGCGACATGTTTCAACGTGTATCTTCACCGTATTTCACCGTAATATGACACTGAGTTTGTTAAGTTCTACAGTATGTCATTGTATTTTGCTTAAATTCTATAATATACCATCGTCGTCCATTTAGATTCCGTTAGTACTGTATAATTTTGTCCTAATGATTGAAATATCCCTAGGACAAAAATTTCTAAAATTTGGCCGAAAATTCCGAAATATCATATTATAAACTAGGCAGAGAAGTTGCCCATCTCAAACTCTTTAAGTTTTACAATCTGTATGATAAAATTGTACAATGCTAACGGAGGCTAACTAGACGATGGTATATTATAGAAGTTAAGCAAAATGCGATGCCATATTAGAACTTGACAAACCCAATGACATATTGTAGAGCAGGGATAAAATTAGTGACACACAATGGATTGTCTCTGTTTTTTATGGTTGTTCAGTTAACTACCTATCTACTATGATGCGGCATTTTTAGAAAAAGTTAAATCTTATACTATAAGTCCAAATCTTACACATTAAATTACATACACTTATAATATAATTTTTCAAATATAAAATGCCCTATTCTCATTTTATAGGAGAAATATAGAAAAATGATGTATTATCTATTTAATTATGAGAAATATATTAGTCCAAATTAACATATATGTAGAAAATAAAAAATAATATGAAAGAATTACGGAAATACGTACTAACGTAGTCATCATATATAATACAATGAGAAAAAAAGACCATAACCGAATGCTTTATTATTGAGCAAAAGTGATGGTATTATTTTTATCATCTTTTAGCGGAATCTATCTAACCATAGTTAATCAGCCCGTGTTAGTAGAAGTCTGTATCGTCATGCATCAACATATCATGAGATTATTAGTTATAGCTAGGTACACCGGCATAATCATACTTAGCATATCACGAGACTATCGGGTTATGGACAATTATCTTTAGTTGTGCTAGAGAAAAAAAAAGTACTCCCTTCGTCCCATAAAAAACCAACCTAGGACTGGATGTGACACATCCTAGTAAAACGAATCTAGACATGCATATGTTCATATTTGTTGTACTAGAATGTGCCACACCAGTTCTACATTCGTTTTTTATGGGACAAAGGGAGTAAATTACAATCCATACTATGTATTCTTAAAAATTCTTAAAAGTTTTCATATAATATTATACTTTAACCATTTTCATTTACACAATAGCTAACTTTACATTTTTATTTGGACTACCATATTCTATCCATCTCCAAGTCCAGTGACTCAGTAATCATTTCGCACATTAACTCTCTCTCTCTCTCTCCATTTTCTTTTTCCATCCGACAGTTGGATAACCGATGGATCTAGCAAGAAAGAGCCTAGATATAGCGCCTTCGCTCTTCGTCGGGTCAGCTCCTGCCTTCCAAAGTCCTTGCAAGCTCGACATCTCCGACCTTAATAGCAACCATAACAATAGTGCGCATCACGATAGGGGAGGAGAAAAAGACATATCGATTACTAGAGGTTAAGGCTGCGCATGTAAAGGCAAAGAGGAGGAACGATGGTGGCTCATGGAGAAAGAGCGTTACGTAGAGTGGCAGTTAGCGGTTGCTGGTGGTATGAGGAATTTGTTGTCGACACAATCGTTTAATTTTTTCCTAAGTATTGATGATACGTGGGTCACCAGTTATATAAAGAAATAGCACTAGCTAGTTTTAAAATACTACCTTGTCCCAAAATAAGTGTAACTGTGAAAATCCGTGTCGAATTTTTGACCGTCCGTCTTTAAAAAGTTTATGAAAAATTAAAATAAATTAGTCACACGTAAAATATTATTCATGTTTTATCATCTAATAACAATAAAAATACTAATGGACGGAGGGAGTGGTAAATAAAAATATTGAGATAAGGGGGGAGTAGTCTTTTTTTTTTTTGAGAACCAGGAATTTATTAAACTTAGAAGCAGAGTACATGCTTGAGAGTACAATTAAGGGACTCAAAATGATTAGATAGAATTCTAGCACAACAGTCCTTTGTTGGATAGGCAATATGGAAAATGTTCTGACAATTGTAGGTTAGGTAAGGGGGGAGTAGTCGAGTATCGCGTAAAAGAAAAAGAAATCTCTCGTTGTCTCCGCTCCTTGCGCCGCCGCCAAGACGAGTCGCGGCTGAACAGGGGAGGGCCGGGCGGCGATCTCCATCGCAGCGGAGGGGAGGGGAGGGGATCCTGGTGCGTCCTCTTTCTGATTCATCTCTCTCTCTCCCACCCCACCGGGACTGGAATTTGCTTGCGCTTCTCTTCTAGATCTTCTCCTCCTCCTTAATTTGATAGCCTTAAACCTCTCTTAAATAATAACAGTTTGTTTGTTCACCCAAAAGTTTGGATCCGCCCCTGTTAATGCCGCGTCTGCTGCTACTGGCACCTTTGCAGAATTGCAGGCGTAGTCTGGTCGTCGTGGCGGTGAGGTGAGGGGGTGACGGCGATGGCCAACAGCGAGTACGAGTACGTGAAGAGGGAGTTCGAGCTCGACAGCCTCCTCCCGCCCTCTAATTGGATCGTTGTGCGCATCGACGGCTGCCACTTCCACCGGTACAGTTGCTCTCACCTTCCATCCGGTGGCTGTATCAGTTCATTCTCTGGTGGTAGTGCAGTGTGCGATAGTTTATGCAGACATGGCAATTTCAGTTTAAATCTCCTGCTTTTTGCTTGATGCAACATGTCTGTTTGGTCTTAGACTCTTAGGGATAAAAAAAAAGAAGCTAAACCTGCTATTATGCACAACGCCTTCTGCTTGGTTTTCTTTGTGATGATCGGTTTATATGAGAAGCAGGCCACAGTGTGTGTGGATACTAGACAGGGGAAATCACTGTTGCTTACAATTTGGAATAGTTGATCTGTGTTTGTCCTGTCCACTAATTTCAGCATTCTCTTTGTTAGATTCTCCAAGATACATACCTTTGAGAAACCAAATGATGAGCGTGCTTTAAGATTGATGAACGCCTGTGCCACTTCTATGCTCGAAAAGTTCCCAGACATAGTCTTCGCATATGGCGTCAGTGATGAGTACAGGTACAACATCTTCTCTTGGAATTTTCAGTTTGAATTTTTCCAGAGTCCTTAGTTTGTTCTTTCTCCAAAGGTAAATGAGAAACACTACACTTGATTGCCATGGTTAATGTTATCATTATGTAAGAGCTGTGCTGTTATATTACATGTGCAAAATGCCTCTTAAGTAGGTGATCAAAGACGTGAACTGTAGATACTCCCTGTTGACATAGAATGCATTGTCTTCAGTATAATTATAAGTTATTTGCATCTCATGTTTGTGTTGCAGTTTTGTTTTTAGAGAGGAAACTGAATTCTATCAAAGACGAGAAAGGTACCATTTAATATGTACACCATTTTCACTGAGTATCTTGAATGTGCTTATGTGCAATGTTTTATGACATTGGCTTTTCTACTAATAACTTGCATGCAGTAAAATTCTATCTTTATGTGTTTCCTACTTCACTTCTGTGTACGTGATGAAGTGGAAAGATTTCTTTCCTAATAAGGAGTTGAAGGAGCCTCCATATTTTGATGGTCGAGTTGTATGCTATCCAAACTTGAAGACTATCCGTGATTACCTGGCCTGGAGACAAGTGGATTGTAAGATATTCTCTCCACCAACTTTTTCTTGTATAGCAAAACAGATTCAATATTCATATTTTTGCATTGTGCAATGATGTTCTGTACAATGAAACCGTTTTGTATATCATCTTTACCTAATACGGAATCAGCTTAGCACCACTAAATATTTGTCTATGTGTTAGGAGATTTGTACAACTTATTTCTTCATTAAACAGATCGACTCAGAACAAATTCCTTTGTTGTGTTTTTTAGGTCATATAAACAATCAATATAACACCTGCTTCTGGTCGTTAGTGAAGTCTGGGAAAACTGAAAAAGAAGCTCAACAAGCATTGAAGGTAATCAAAATGTTTTAGAGAGTTTATATATGCTTCCAATTGCATTTTAATAAATGATTGTTTTCTTTTTGTTTCCTCTTCTTTCTAGGGGACATTTTCAAAGGACAAGAATGAGTTACTTTCACAACAGTTCCAAATCAATTATGATGATGAACCGGCTATATTCCGAAAAGGGTCTTGCGTTTACCGAGACAAGGTAATGCTGCCAAGAAAGCAAAACGGCATCATTATTAATAGCTTTGATAATACTCAACAAAGTATTTACATAGTCTCTACTCTCTAGTAATGCCCATGGTAGTTTTTTTCCATACTTGCCATCAGAGATATTTCAAAGAAGATTTGGGACCTTGTAGTGAGACTTATTTGCTAGTTCTCTTGGTAGGAACTTGGCGAGATTTGCAGTTTTCAGTTGTTTGGTCATGCGTAATTATATGGAAGTGGAATGGCAAAAAAAAAAAAAAGAGGGGGGGACAGATTAAAACTTGTCTGGATTTTGTAAAAAAGGTACTTGTCTTATAGTGATAATCAGAGCACCCTTTATGCAATCCGGTGCCAGTTCTTTTTAAGTTATTGATCAAAGATTATGATTCTTATAACATGATTGTAAACTGCATACTACCTTTCTTTTATGGGTTTGATTGTGGAACAATCGTAGTTCTTGGAAAATTTTATCTTCATCCTTTTTCCTTTTTGTGAACTATTATTCTCATCCCTTTGCTGAGATTGACTAACCAGGAATGAAATAACATGCTTTCTGAAATGTTAATAGTTGTTAAATGCACTTTTGTATGCTAAGAGCTTTTGTATCACTGTAGGTAGAAACAATGGTGAAGACTGATCGTTGTGGAAACCCCATAAAAAGGACACGCTTAGTTATTACAAATGCAAATGTCGATATCATAGGACCCGAGTTTTGGGAAAATCATCCATATATTCTTCGAGAAGGTGAGTTGAGTTAACTCCTGTTCTCTATATGCTTTCAGCAATTCAGCTGCAGTCAGAACTCTGAAAATGTACAGCATCAATCTAACTGGAGTCTTTGGTTAAAGAAAAATGTAGGTATGAGAATGTTAAGAAGTTTGACATCAACCATAGGCTTCCACCTTGTAATTGGACTGTCGTTCGCATCGACATTTGTAAATTTGAGCAGTTAGGACCCTCTTGTTTCTTCTTTATTTGAAAGCATGATGCAATCTCTTTTGTGTCTTGTTGAGAACTCAAATTTTCTTTGTTAGATTCTCGTTGATCCATTCATTTGACAAGCCAAATGATGAGGCAGCTCTAAGGTTGATGAATGCTTCTGCTTCTTTGATGATGGAGTCATTCCCTGACATTGTCTTTGGCTATGGTTTTAGCAATGAGTACAGGTAAGATATACCTCCTTATGACCTTATCCACTGTCTTAGAGCAAAAACAATTGAAAGAAAGAAAAACCTTTGCTTGTACAGAAAAAAAAGTCCTGGATGTCATGAACTGAATTGATTTTGTTTTAATTTAGTCTTCGCAAGATAAAAATATTATGACTAATAATCCATACATTAAATTGTATAGCAAAGGTTTCATCTTAGACAAATATTTTTATATTTGATGGACAGAAAATTCATCTTTTGCAAATGTTCTTTCTTATTTTCTTCTTGTTGTCGCAGTTTTGTGTTCCAGGATAAGACTGAACTATACCAGCGTCAGGAAAGGTAATTACTGATTTTATGCATTTCTATTATGCCTGTCCTTTCAAGAGGTGCCATTGACAAAATGATTGCACCTTCTTTTGCAGCTTAATCCTTTCATCATGTACCTCACGTTTCACCTTGTTTTACATGATGAAGTGGAAAGATTTTTTCCCCAACAAGGACTTAGTGGAGCCACCGCACTTTGAGGCAGAACTTCTATGTTACCCAAAACAAAAGATACTTTGTGATTATTTGTCATCGAGACAAGCAGAATGTAAGTTATTCCTCCTAAAAGGCATATATTCTGACACTGTTAAATGATTCTCTTCAGTGAACTTCAGTATGTATTCGTTTGTTCATCTTCAGTGAACTCACGTGCTACGTACTATTTCGCAGGCCACACCACCAACCAATACAGCACATGCTTTTGGATGCTAGTGAAATCTGGCAAAAGTGAAAACGAAGCTCGTGAGATATTAAAGGTCTTCTTTCATCATTTCGGTTTAAATATTTCCCCCCTCTTGATCTTGTTTGATGCTTTGGTTATCTGTAGCCATAACTCTCTTACTGCTCTCTGCAGGGAACATTATCAAAGGACAAGAACGAGTTGCTTTTCCAGCAATTTCATTTGAATTACAACAATGAACCAGCTGTGTTTCGGAAGGGTTCATGTACTTACCGGCAAAAGGTAATCTTTGTTGTTCCCAAGAAGCATTTTGCCTGACTTCTTGTATTATTTCCGCTGCCTGCTTTGTTTTCCACAAGAATCTTAACTCGTACGTTTCAAATGGCTGCAGGTGGAAGAATCTGCAGACGCAGAGGGTAGAGAAAATACCACAAGAGAACGGTGGGATGTGATTGTGGCACACGCAGACATGGGGACGGAATTTTGGAGAAAGCATCCTTATATTTTAAGAAAATTGGATTTACTAGGCTGATAAAATTTTCTCATCAACCTTTTCCACATTATCTTTTCGTTGTTGTAGTGTTGTATATGCATTGTCCACACTAGTAGAAAAATGGCTGGCCTCTCTTCATTGGCCATTCATCTCGTTCATTTCGTTCATGTGCAAAACTTGTGCCCCTAAGATGCAGTTTCAGCTGACAGAATTGAGAATCGTGATGATATATCTGTATCTTGCTGAATGGAAAATTAGGCTCAAACAGAGAAGGGGTACACCCGTGTGGTAATCATTTACAGTTTTCAAAAGAAACAAGAACGCTATACACTTATGATCAAAAAAAAAAAACGCTATACACTTTTCAGAAGAAAACCTATAGCTATAGTAAATCATCCAGCTATGCATTTACCTAGTACTAACTCCTTTTTTTTTTACAATTGTGAACAGCAAAATCAGGCAGGTTATTCAGCGACCTTCAGCTGAAGAACTTGCCTGCACAATCAAATATATATATTTTCACTCAAGTTCTATCTTCTTCCGTTACCAGATGATACTCAACCTCTGCATCCGTAAATGTTAATGCTTTCTGCAACTTTCTGTGGCAGAGAACCTCAACATCTGCCATGAAGACTGCAGTCACAGGGCGGTGATCAGAAAGCTTAAGCTCTCCTCTCCTGTAGGAAATTAACCTGATTCCCTTTCCTCGTGAAAGAATCCTATCACACCTGAACAGGCAACAGATATGATTTCTAAGCATGAACTTGAGTTAATCTTTTAAGGTTAATTATGCAAAAAAAAAGAAGGCAGTGCTATGAAAAACTAACATACCATGCTGGTGTTCTCCTTCCAGATTTTGGCTCATCACTTACATACTTTTCTGAGTCAAACTCGTATTTATATGTTGGGGGGAAGCTGATATCTCCTTCGATCCAACCATCAAAAGTGTGTCCTTTACTCAATTCTCTTTTTAGCTGTTACAAAGGGAGGAAAAGCATGATTCAGAAATCTATAATGGTAATGAATGTATCACACCATCAAATTACCTGATCATTCTCAAACAATCCATCCCAATCTTGCTTGGAGATAAGTTCATGTGCTCTTTCATATGATAAGTTGATTCGGTAGTTGAGATCTCCAAACCATATGATCCTTCTGAAAATGATGACATGGATAACCATAAGAAATCAAGGGAAAAGATGGTTATATCGTAAGCAAGGCATTATCATGAGTAGTGTCCAGCGACAAACAGTAGATGAAACCATAGAAGAATAAATTCTGGTTGGGTGCAAGCCTCTCGAGGATAGTAAAAGGTTTTCATAAGACACAAGTTTGTGAACTTGTAATGGAAATGGGGGCGCTCAGCCCTTGGTCAAAAAAAATAAAAACAAGTTTGTGAACTTACTCATGACCCAATATTCCCTTAGGCGTGCTAAGTCCAGGAAGTGGGTTAAATACTGTTCTTCGGAGGATTTCTTCAACATCTGCATTTCTTTTCAGTTCATCGCCATCCTTTTCTCCAGAAGTTAGGTGGCAACATACAAAGCAAAAATGTGTCTGATGTATAGACATGCTGACTGATATTGACCCCTGGAACATTCAAGAAGCACATGTGCACGGTGCACCAATTATTTTCTAAATTTTGAAAAAAGAAAAGGTGCAGCATGAAGAAGCATCGTCAAGCCAATGATTTGTAGAATAACAAAGTAGATGAAACTAAATTTTTATGCTAACATATAGAGCAGATAGAAGGAAGTACAAACCAACACCAAACTGATTAACCTATGGGACTTCTTGACTAAATGATTTGCGAATGTTTTGAGTGCTGTTGAATTGAATAATAAGAGCAGTGGATTAAAGTTGATACTTGCCTTGTTGCCCATATAACCCATTGCACCTACACCGACAGTTGATACTCTCAAATTCTGAATGTGCTTCCGCAAGTCTCTCCGAACCCATATTGAAAGATATATTCCCACCATTTGCTTGCTTACTATTCGCAGAAAGCATGGCCTTTTACTTTTAATCACTCCATTGTCACTGTTAACTTGATGGGATAAATCATCATTTGGAAAATTCACTGTTGATTTCAAAGATGCTGGAGTTGCTAGAGCCTTCAGTGAAGTGCTAGCCCGAAGACACTGAGCCATCATATCCAATGGCTGTTCAGGCCAAATCATTCCAAGCCTTTCTGGATGATAGAGTAATTTGGTTGTCTCTTCCAGTTTTGATCTGTCTTTTTCATAACTTAAGTTGGGGGACTGATCAGAAGTCTTTACTGAATCCATCCTGCTGAAATCTTTGCCTTTATGAACTCTTCCGTTGGAAGCAGCACTGAAGTTTTCATATGTTTTATCATGAACTACATCATTGTCAATAGCTATATCATCATTTTGTTTAATCAATGGATGAAGCTCACCATAATTGTCACTGTCAGACTCGCTAAGCAATTCATCTTTCATCACCATAACATAATCTGATGGATTAAACCTTGATGGTGAAGGAGGATCACTGTGACATTTATACTGCGGCTTATCTGGACAAATCTTATTCAAAGTTTCACGAATAATATGCTCCCATACTGCAATTGGACTGTTATCCTCAGAACCAAATATGTTTCCAGCATTTAATGGAACAATTTCTTGAAATCTGAAAGATAAACATAAATTTATGACAATGGATTTTTTATATACTTCAGTTGTAGTGCTGACAACAGAACAACCAACCAACATCATGACATACACGAATACAAATAGAACCACCACCATACCATAGCTAAATAATAAAATAATGTCTGTCTCTTTTGAAGAAACTGTGATGCCAAAATAATTTCAAATCATGATCCAGAAACATTTTTTTAGTTTTCAAAGATAAGAAGTGGAGTGCTTCATGCGAATCTGCGGCACAAATCTTTTACCTTACAAAATAGGGGGAAAAAAATTGTGAATAGTGATTTACCCAAGAACATAAATATCAGCCTGCTCCTCCTTATCCAACCAGTCTTGAATGTCCAGATCACTGGGTGGAAACTTGCCTGCAAGATTCCATGTCCCTACACAAATCCTGCATATAGAAAACAGTTTGAAACATATACAAAAGTATCATATTTTATTTATTTCAGCCGGTAACAAGTGGGTTCAATTGTAGCATTAACCTGAAATGATTTGTGTGATAGGAATACGGTGAAATGAGTGGCTGACATCACATTAATTAATTACATAGTGACATAAGATGATAGGAACAATACTCACTGTAACTGGAAGAACATAACTAGGACCAGGAAAAAAAAATGCAAAGATGGAGAAAATTCTATACGGCTATACCTGAGTTCTCTGATGTCAATATACTGAGCGCGAAGGGTCTCTGATTTGCGTCTTCTAAGCCTGTAAGGCATAGATTTAATTTCATCCCCTACATTGTGTAGTTGATTGCATTAGCATATAAGGCAAACCTGCCATGTCAGTTTTATCAAACAAGTGCTTGTGCTGCACATAAGGCAACCAATCAGCCCTGCCTTTTCAAATAGGCACTTAATGTACTAAACATGGACTTCAGAGTAACTTGAAAAAATATTGAAAGCTGAATGCTTGCTAATTATATTCAATTCTGTTTCATCCATTGTGATAACATCAAATGTTTATTAATAAAAACAAGAAAAGCATGATGTACTATTTTGTAGAACAGTTTAAGATAAACCGATCTAGAGGCATCATCACCCCAGGGAAACTGAAATTCGAGGCTACAGTCTCTCGTATGTAAATGATTACCAAACATAAGGTCTTTCCTCTTTGGTCAATGGACTCATATGTTCTGTCTACAAAACCAAACTAGCCTTTACTGCTCAGATTAGTATTTTAGCACCAATATGCAAGACCATTCCCTTGTATGAAAATCAACTAGGGACAACTCATCTAAAAGATAGAACATGTAGAAAGAAATAGACTTATCAAAAAACCGAATGTGCAGATCTTCAGCAGACCTCTCCAAAAAAAAATGAGGAGCTAATAATGAAATTACCAATTGTTCCTGCACCAAGTCCATCTAAACTCGTCCCTTCACCATATGATTCATTATCCCTGTCTGCACAAATGGCATAATAAAGAGAACAATCAGAATATGCATGATTCAATAACATATGCAAGTTAAGTGCAAGAAGAGCAATTGATAAGGACATGTTGTTAACTAAAAACAACACCTACAGGACTTTTATCAAAGGGAGCAGCTGTCATTAGATAGTAAAGTCAACTAGATAAGATGGTCACATTACCATTCATTGAAGCAATAAGAAAAAAACGAGGCTATGAGTTAAGCAAAAGTTGCCTGCTTTATCCTCACTTTTTGCTACCCATTTTGCTCAAGCAAGCTTAGAAAAGAATCGAAAAGGTATCATGCTTTCGCCAAATCCTTGAACTCCCTGACCTAACATTCCTTTCCTTAAAAAGGTTGAATATACCAAAAGAAAGCCGCTGGTATGCAGAGAGTACTAGCCTAGCTACACATCACAATGGAAGTCTTTCTCAGAGATATTAATGACCATACCAAATTGCCGGCACTTGCAATTGCAAGATCATCAACTTACACACAAAATTAAACATGACATCTCCTAGTTCTAAAGAAAAAAAAACTAACCAATTCTTTGAATGGGATTATTTTTTAATCTTCTGAAAAAAAAAAGGAGAGTCAAATCACAAAGGCGTACAAGAAAGAGCTTCCATTGCAGTATGCTGGTCAGCATTCCCCTCATTGCCTAGCAATCAAAACAACACAAATTCGCACACCAAATTCTCCCCCCATTTTTCCTCCAGACAAGAGCAAAGCTTGAGTAAACTGGATCAAATCAGAGCAGCTAGGAAGGAAGAGGAGAGGGGACGGTGACTCGGTGAGGCAGGTTAACCTTCGCCGTCGAGCTCGCCGTCGCTGGCGTCGCACTCGTCGGCGCTGAAGTCGGAGTCGCCCGACCCGGAGCCGACGTTGAGCCACTTGCGAAGCACCACCCTGCGCCACAGCCGCAGCGCGCCGCACCAGCAATCCACGCCGCAGCACAGCATCATCGTCTCGGCGCACCTCTGCACAAGCCCCTTCTCCACCACCACCCGGAGCAGACGAGAGAATTTTCAGAATCAGACAGCAGCAACAACAAGAACAGCAATAATAACCGATTTGATCCAAGAACGCGAGCAAAAATGCAAGGGAACCCAACTCCACCCCGGCCAAGAACTGGTACCTGGTTCTCCCTCCTGCCCCCGCACCGCATCTGGGACGCGGCCATGGCTGGCTCCTGGAGCTGGTGGCCTCGGCGAGGTAGGAGCGGCGACGAGGCGGAGGAGGAAGAGGACGCCATTTTCGCTGGCTTCTTGAGCGGGTGGGCAACTGACTGGGCCGCCGCCTAAATGCAATGTGCTATATAATTGAAGGTTATTAGTACTAAATATTTTAATTAATTACTAAGTCCCCTAAAAACTGCACGAAGTACATTTTTCTAAATATTATTTTGCGGGAGTAATGTTCCCAAAAAAAAGTCAACATAACACCAACAAATTCTCTTTTATAAATGTCAAAAGACTTTACAATTGTACTATTATGTAATGTTCATTAAGATAGACTTGACTATATTATTTTCATATACCTAAAACATATATTTTAAACAATAAAGTGTCTAGTATAATGTATTCATATGATTTGTTACTACTCTACTTTTTTCTACAGAATTAGTCAAACTTAAAGTAGTTTAACTTTAACTAAAATTAAATCACTTTATCACCTGAAATAGATGAAGTACTTTGATTGCGCACATGCATTTTTTTCCCAAATAGTAGAATGATATTGTAATCACTGTTCGAGAGTAGAAATGAATAGATTAATTATTATAAAATTGAAAGAATCGATTTAAATAGTCATTTAAGATTTATTTTATAATCATATCATTTAGCAACTTGAGAAGCGTGTTGTATTAATCAATTCTTCATTCCTTCAAAAGAACGTGCCTAAGATATGTATTCTTTTATGATCTATGGGAGTTCCTTTGCAATTGCCAATCAAATATGTGACCATATTTTCTGTTTGGCTTGCAAGCGCATCGTCGACTCGTCGTCATCATCTGTCGCTCCCAGAGATGTCCTGCCGGATGCCCTGCTGAAAGGTGCCGTACTGCTGTTTGGGTCTCCTTGATCGATGTCTGCTTTGGAAGGATTTCTAAACGATCCAAACAATGGAGCATTTTCGCTAGCTGCTCCGAGATGAGCATCGCTGGACAAGAAAACCACAGCAGATGAGACCAATTGATCGGGATTAATGTGCATTGATACGCTACCTCGTATCATTCCTGTAAATACTTATCGTGTACTCCGTATTATTCAGTGGAATCAATGAATCAGACAGTCACTTCAGTGTCTTTTCTTATAATGTGTTGTTGGCATATCATCTCCTTGCAGCGAGATCAAAGTTTTATGTTTTGTGAGTGTTCCTGTTCCTGTCAGCGTCTGAATATTTGGGCTGATATTTATGTGGACTTGGATCCTTCACCTGTTACTTCAGCGAGGTTAATATGGTCCTGGAAAATGTTGAGTACAAACAATGTTTGTTGCCTAGTGGATTAGCAGAAAGGTACAATTTGGATTGTGTTACTGTACTGTCCTTTTCATTGCCATAGAAATTGTTTGGGTGATAGCTCACTTATTTGATCGTATTAATACTGTTTAATGATGGGTTGCATCTAACATGCACAAAACCGTACTAGTAAATTGTTACCCAGGGATCTGAAGATGCATTTGTATTCATCTGATCCTGCAATGTTAGAAAGGTTTTGTAGACTGCAGGCAAAGAAATTTTTCTGATGGCTCCGATCCTTTTGCTGAAGTCAAAGTGAGCTTAATTAGTTCTGGTTTATTTTTATCCTTTTCCGGTTCAATTATTGACGAGTGCTAATATTGTGTCTTACTGTTTGTGGAATTTGCTTGCACATTAGCATGCATATGGTCAGTGGTGTTGTTTGCTGGTGTCTGCGTAACGTCCATCATTTGCATCAAAGGAGAGCACATGGATTGTTTTCTCCAGTGTCATGGATCTCAGAGGCATTAAAATTAATCTCTCAAGTTCTATCTATCTTTGGATATCTGCGTTCTTTCCACAAGTTTCCCAACCCCTTTCCCTCGTTTTCCGCGTGCACGCTTTTCAAACTGCTAAATGGTGTGTTTTTTTGCAAAAAGTTTCTATACGAAAGTTGCTTTAAAAAAACAAATTAATCCATTTTTGAAAAAAAATTAACTAATACTTAATTAATCACACGCTAATGGACCGCTCCGTTTTCCGTGCGGTGGAGTTGGGTTCCCAACCCCAAGTATCAAACACAGCCATAGTGGTCAGTGGACACCATGAAAGAGTTTGCTTCTTACAATTTGCTAATCTGATGACTCCACTACTTTCTCTAAAATAAATTGACCATATTTCAATTTGTATGGTTAGGAGTCCCAGTCATTATCATGTGTTTAATATCTGGTGTTTGACTACTGGCATGAATTATTTTTTTCTACATAAAATTGTGGTGGAAATGTTGCCACAATGGGCTGTCAATTAATAATAATGTTTTTGGTCTCTACAGATTGCTGACAACCAATAAGGATATTAGATTTTTTTTACATAATATATTAAAATGTTTAACTAGATGTTTATAGAACATGCTGAGATCTTGATGAAAGCAGCTTTCCTGTAAACAACTTTGTTTATTGTGTTGATCACAAATCTGAACTATATGCTCATTTCTCTCCTCACACCTACCAAATCCATCATATCTGATCAGACTCGCAAGCAGTTGCAAGCAGCATATTCCCCCAATCATTATTTCATTGCCAATTGTTTTGAAGCAGTCGCATTACCACCGTCTCATTCTGATAACTCTATGGGCATTTTTCAGGTAATCGTGCATGCACTTGCAGCTTAACAGGTTGAATATGAGAACCGCATTATCGGAAAGAACACGGTTGGGGATACTGAAATGGTTGGAGCTTTGATGCCGTAATTAGTTTCCGTCTGTTGTTTGGCAGATTTGCAAGAACAGAACAGATTGAAAATGCTGGAGATTTGTTGGCACCTATGAATATGATGAAGTTACAGTACTAGTACAGTACCCTGAAGTTCACCGGATCACTAGAAGAATTTTCATCTACCATTAATTCTCAGTACTGGGCAAGGAAGAATCTGCTTGAAGGGGATTCCTTGCACGAATCATCTGTCAAGAAAACAACCAGCTCTAGCAGCACCAATTAGCGTCTCAACCCAGAACTCAAAAGAAGTTAGTAGACAGAAAGGGACAGTTAATTGTTCAGAAATCAGTATAATTCAGTAGAAGTAGGACGAGCATATATAGAGAATACAGTAGCACACGCAACAATCCTGAATTCCCATGCCACTATGCCAGTGATGACGAACTGGTGACGACGATGAGTCATCAGCTAGCCATTGTGCAGCATGGTTCTCCATGGCCGCAAAGAAGCTAGCATCGGTGATACTTTCCTGCCAGAACAAGGACGGCAAGTCTCTTTGCAATGTTCATCTGTGATACTTTATCCATTTATGTATTTAAGTGATTGTTTTCCACAATAGATGGCCAATTTGTCAGTATCAGATTCATTCCAAGATCTACCATTTTGCCTGGCCATAAAATGCACATGCATCACGGAAAGTTTTGAAAAAGAATAACAGCAGGCATCTTAAAACATCCAAGTTCCTGGCAGCAAACAGGTAAAGAAACTTTCACACAGGTACATTGGTAAATGATCGAGCTTGACTGCCAAGGTTCAGTGCCATCAAAAGTGAAATGGTTTTGCAAGGTTGGGTATCCCCATGGGCATCTATAACACTACAGAAGCTTCATTGCCACACACAAAAAAAAAACTCTTCACTAAATTATTTTGCAGTCAGTCATCGGCTTTTGCCTCCAAGAGACGATAACACAGGTTAAAGTAAACAGTCGTAAATCATCCATACTCAAGCCAGCCAATGAACAGACTAATCAGATGGCACGCCCACGTCTGGAGCAGTCTCGCTGGTTTTCTGGTCTTCCAATGTAGCAAGTCGTTTGTCAAGAGCTTTGTAACGGGCATCCACATGGTCTTGTAGGCCTTTGACCTGAGTATGCATTTGAAAGGTCAGATGCTTTTACATTGAAACCCAACCAGTATCATGCACAGTGGAATTGAACATGCACATAAATTTTGTGCAAAGGGAGCAGGATTAGAACCACATATAGAGAATCATAGAAACCTCAATCTTACAGCTCAAACAAGTGGCCTGTTTGAAGGACCCAAGAAAAATATGAAAAGTTAACTTCTCATATGAATAGCCTCCTTAGCTATGCCATAGCTGGACCTGGATGGTTATATTGATTGGAGGTAACACAAGTAGACCATCCACCCATTTTAAGGAACCTCTTCTGACAAACTACAGAGTCACATATATTGCATCTTACAAAACAGCTTCCAGCTTTCATCCACGTGACGTGATTCTACTTTTACATGAGGTTATCCCACCATTGCATACTAATCTAGGACTCTAGGTTAATCAGGCATATGGACTATCCTAAAGTTCTTCCATAGCACTGTTGGCATATACATATCATTTCACCTTTCTCACAAAAGAGTCATTTCTCACTGAAGTTCCAACAAAATTTCAAATTGGAAACAAGTTATTGGTAACAGCACCAAGGTTCTTGCTGATGACAGGAATGCACCAGTTTCAAGTTAAAATACTCTGAAGAAAAGCCATTTATAGCTGCAAATTTTATGTTGCAAGATGACGTTCCTGTGCAACTTAAATGCACAGACGTTGCACTAATGAATGCCTATGTCTATGATAATATAATATGTAGGATACTGGGTTCAATTCAACTCCAACCACGCCATAATATTAATATTAAATGGCATCCTAAAATTCACTCTCTTTTTCCACATTCTTGAACACAAAGCATTTTCTGTGCACGCAAGGAATGGCAAACACATTGTTTTCAGATTCAAAGTGAATAGAAATCTCATAAAGAATGGTGTTATGGCATTGTCTAGAAAAACATATTCAAGCAACAGTATTTCAGAATATCAGGTTGTGGCTTCTCATCCTTAGGCGTTTTGAAAAGCTAGTTGCTTCTGTGGACAATGTACATTGTACGCGAGAGCCCACCAAGATGACCACAAGCTAAAAATAATTAAACTGCCACACGAACCTTCAATTTGGCAAGCTCAGATTCCACATGAAGTGGTACTGGAACTGTCAACCAAGCCAAACTTTGGAACTGCGTTGCTAGTTAAATTATACAATTGAACACAAGTGATAGTTAAATTGAAAGTGGCAGGACCATGGAACAGTAGCCTCTATCACGGTATCACCACAGACACTCCACATTATCAGAAAATAATTGGGCAGAGGAAAAGTTCAGGCTTGGTTTTTAATCCATGCATGTTATTGGCAGCCCAATTTCAGGACAGAACAACAGCGTCAAATCCCCTTTCGGTCAAACTGAAGAGAATGCAGCACAATCATATGATATAGACACGAAGATTAAATTGGTAAACACATAAAAATAAAAATCTAGGTAACGATCTAGACACGCATAGCGTATATCCGGAGTTGCAAGCTTGAAAAGCGGGTATCCCTAAATCTCCCTCTCCACAGGCGACGTGCGGGGGACGCGATTGAACTGCCAGATAAACCACCGACGATCAAGGATCCAAGATCTTGGGTTTTAGGGAGGAGGGGGCGCACAGACCTGGAGGGCCATGGAGTCGTGGGCGAGCTTGTAGTCCTTGTAGAGGAAGAAGCCGCCGGCGGCCCCGGCGGCGGCGGCGCCGGCGAAGAAGGAGGCCAGCCTCACCCGCAGCATGAACCCCATCGTTCTCGCGAGGCGGAATCCCTTGCCTTGCTTGCTCCCTTCCCCCCTTCCTCTGCCGCCGCTCCCTGCTGCCAAAGGCGTGCGTGCCCCGTTGTTTGGTGTTGTGCTGGCCGCGACGGCGCCTTGGGCTTGGGCTTGGGCTGCTCGGGCTCGACTGGCTCGTCCTGCCTGACTGCATCGGGCCCATATGTCAGTGGTTTTGCTATAAGTAAAACTCAAAATTTGTTTAACAAGGATACTTTGCAGTACTGTACTTACACAGTAGTAGTCGTTATAACACAGTGTTGCTGCTGCAGCTGCTTACACAAATCACTGTTTCGGCCGGCTGCACCGCAGGTCCGCAGCCGCATGAGTTAAGCCGAACAGGCCCGTAGTGGTTGACAGGTGGACCCGATCCTATATGTCAGCGGCAGTTAGCCAGCTACTGCATGTGCAGTACTGCAGATAATCCCTACTGAAATTTGTTCCATGCAATAAAAAAAGGGGTAAAACACGGGCAAAATTATTTGCATAGTAGTTTGGTGAAAAGGGTAAAACGATTAGGCATAGAGTGCGATTTAATGTTATCTTAAATATAATACTTCATTGTATTTATGGTTTCAAACTGCAATTTACTAGCCTGATGTGATACACAAATGGATTTTTTTAAAGAAAAAAAAATCAAACTTCTACCAAGTTGAAAACTCCACATCAAAGTTCATATCTATCTATTTTCTTTAAAAAACACGGTTTTTATTGTTAATAAGATTCATATTCATATATTAGCCTTGAATATTTCTCTTGGTATGCCTCAACTCTTTTCCATATACATCATCCCTAAGACCAGTATAGTAACATTAAATAAAATAGTACTCCATTTGTCTCTAAATTTTTGGTTGGATGTTACACATCTTAGTATAATGAATCTGCGTAGAGAGCCTATCTAGATTCATTGTAATATGATATGTTATATCTGGACTTATAAGGACGGATGAAAGTATTAAAACGGGCTGAAAGTATCGGGCCGAACCGTCGCTGCAGCTTTACTCTGGCCCGATTTCCCGCATAAAAATCCAGGCCTGCTTCCGCGAGAAGACCCAAAATAGGAAATATCCCTCCTGTTCACGGTGGCCGCGCCGCGAGGAGATAACGGCTTTCCTACCCACCCACTCCACTCCACTCCACTCCCCCACCCGCTCGCACGCCATGCCGCCCCCGTCCCTCCTCTCCCTCCTCCCCGCCGCCTCCGTCTCCCCGCGAAGCCGCCGAGCGGCGCGGCGGAGACCCCCCACCGCGAGCCGCCTCCCCGTCCGCGGAGCACGAGCTGCGTCGCCGCTCCACGCCTCCTCCTCCTCCTCCTCCGGTGGCGGCGAAGGCGGAGGAGGTGATGAACTGCACCTCCTCGAGAAGCCGTTCCCTTCCCCATCCCCCGCCGATGAGGATGAGTCTGAGTCGACCGAGGCCGCTCCGGCACTGTCCACGGAGGAGGCGCTCGCGCCGTTCCTCAAGTTCTTCCAGGGGAAGAGCACCGAGCCCGACGAGGACGACGCGGCGGCGGGAGGCGGCGGCGGCGGCGGCGGAGGCTATGTGGAGGAAGACGAGGAGGACAAGGGGGAGGGGAGTGCCGGAGCTGGTGCGGGTGGGCGTGGGGTCGTGTATTACGACCCCAAGCCCGGGGACCTCGCGGTCGGCGTCGTGGTCGGCGGCGACGGGAGGACGCTCGACATCGACGTCGGCGCCGGTGGCGAGCCGGCGCTGATGCTGGCCAAGGAGGCGGTGCCTATGACCGGGGAGGAGTTTGAGTACCTGGCATGCGACGTGGCGTCGAAGGATGCAGCCCAGTTCGCCGCGGAAGGGAAGGTGGGAGTCGTGGTCAGCGGCGGGGAGGGGCAAGGAGAGGCGACGGGCGGGAGGAACGGAAAGGGGAGAGGGAGAGGTTCGCCGGCTTTGGGCGTCGGCACGGTGGTGTTCACCGAGGTCCTCGGTCGAACACTTGGCGGGCGGCCGCTGCTGTCCGCGCGCCGGCTGTTCCGGCGCGTCGCGTGGCACAGAGTGAGGCAGGTTCTCTATGTCTCTCCTTTCTACATTAGTTGGAATTTGATGAACTGATCACTTAGCGATAATTCGGTAGTTCAATCTCTTTTTCATAGTTGATGCATTACTAATCTATAGACAGAGTCTTGACATGATGCTATCCCAGTCCCAGTCCCAGTCCCAGATACTTCAAACCAACAGTTATAGTACTAAGTAATTCTATCGGCCCCATTGTTTGGCTTATTCGGCATATTTGCAAACGAGAAGTAATTTGTGAATAAAATTTTTATATACGTGTTCTTAGCGACCTAAAAGCAAAGGCTGAAAAATAAACTTTGATGAAAAAACCCTAAAATCAGCTTCAAATTTAAGGTTGAAAATTCAAATTTTAGCTGATAAGCATAAGCATAAGCGAAAAGATGAGGCCGATACGGTTAGGTCTGGAGCTCATGAGTCATGACCACCTTGTTTGTAGCAACTAGACCCTTAAAGTAACTGCTTGCTCTTAAAGCTCGAAATGTTAAAGCGTAGTGATTCATCTTGCTATTAGATTAACAAGCACCTAGGATGTCCAGATCGTAAGTGTCTGAAATCACGTGTGTTAAATAGGAGTTATTAGTATGGAATCGTATGATTATGAGCTTATGGCTCCTATCTGCACTACGAGTTGGCACAATCTCTATGCACCGGCTGTAAGTTATTACACTGTAGAGCTCATGTACTTCAGAAATTCAAGGTGTTACATGAATACTGAGCAATCTAGAGGAAGCTTGTGTGATGAATATGTACAATGAAAATTTTTCTTTCTTGATATCTTATTTGAGTGACAATGGATATGGTTGTCTTACGGAATTTGCATCTCTAACACACTTGAATGAGAAAGTTTCGCGTAAATGTTTTTTAGAGTGATGGCTGTCCTTTTCTTCTTCTGAATGCTCTTATATGACTGTTTATGTACACACCATTGTCCAGATAAAGCAGTTAAATGTGCCTATCAAGGTTAAAATTTTTGAGTGGAATGCCGGAGGCCTGCTGACAAGAATTGAGGTATAATTTTACTATTCTACATTACAAGGTCCTTTTTTCATTTTTATGACTAAAACTTATTTCACTCCTCAGGGGCTTCGGGCATTCCTCCCTAAACCTGAAATGATGACTAGACCAAGAAACTTCACGGATCTAAAGAATACTGTAAGTACAGCATGACATGTAATATCACTTTACATCCCTAGGCACTTGGAATCTGCATTATGCTGCTTTCCTGTTATGGCATAGCAGCATGACTGACTGTTTTAGCAGCTATCTGTTTAAGGAAGTGGTTGTCTTTCATGAATAATAATAATAATATTTCTTCTACACAGGTTGGTCAACAGATCCATGTCTGCATCACAAGGATTGATGAAAAAGCTAACGAATTGATAATTAGTGAAAAAGAAGCATGGGTAAGTTGACTGCATTGACATCTAGTGCTCCCCTTTGTTTTATATTTTCACTGACATATCATTTATCAGAACTGTCTAATTATTTAAAGTAGTGGTTCTTGGTCAATTCAATTTCTGCTGTGCATTAAATTATACTTATATGAGTACAGCAATGCTTATCTTTGTTTATCACTTGTATTAGGCAATGACATACCTTAGGGAAGGAACTCTTTTGCAAGGGACAGTCCGCAAATTGTTTCCATACGGTGCACAAATTACGATTGGCGACACTAACAGAGGGTAACATCTATAACATGATTGTCAATTGCTATATATGTCATTTCTTCCTATTCAACTGAATTTCATTGATCACCCAAAAAATCAAGCATATGTTCCAGTGTGGCTTGTTATCTGCTTGTATCTGCCCAATTAGTTAGAAGAAAATGTCGTATTTAATTTTAGCAGCATTGCTAGGAGTCTTGGCTTTACGTGATGCAAGCATCCTTAGTCTTGATTGTTAGAAGTAGAGTGAAACCTGAGGTTTACCAATCGACTCAGATTGTGGGTTTCATTACAAATGCTCACATTATGCGAACTGATGATTAGGGCTCTCTGCGGAAGCATCTTCTGGCTAAGATTTCAGAAACTTGCTATGCTTTAGATCAGGGTGGTTGCACTGATAATGCAGTAGATGACTACTACATTTTACACGTGACTCATATAAATTCGTGCATTCATAGTACTTCTCTTTGTTTTGGTAAAAAAAAAAAGTACTTCCCTTTGATGAACTGCTTTTTTTCCTGGATTGTGAACTGGTCTGCATTATCTCATGCCCAGTCCAGTAGAATGCATATCTAGTCCATATTCTAATGGCACGCTTGTAAAGGTCTGCAAGTGGATAAATCCACACGCCAAATGCAACGTAACTCATAATGCTTTGCGTTTTGCAGTGGATTGCTACATGTCTCAAATATAACACGGGGGCAGCTAACATCCGTTGGTGATGTGCTAAAAGTGGGTGAGGAAGTGAAAGCTATCGTGATTAAATCAACAGCCCCGGGCAGAATTGCTCTCAGGTACACTGCCCAAACATGTAACCGGATAATTGCTTTTGTTGTTTGATAGGCCATCTGCTGTTCACAGCGTCTATGATTGTCCTTTGAAACTGTTGATGTTTCATTCTGCAGTACCAAGGACCTTGAGAGCGAACCTGGACTGTTTCTCTCTAACAAGGAGGTCAGAAAACTCTAAATTTCTTTCTCCATTCTGGACCATCGTAAACATACTACTCCATATGTCCCACTAAATAAGGCGCAATTAAACTTAGCACGGTCTTCAAAACTATTTTTTTGACTTTAAATTTCTCATATTCTATAGTGTTTATAGCAACAAAAACATAATCATATGAAAGTAAATTTTAAATATTAATCTAATGATATTATTTTCATCAAATAAAATTAAATTTATAATAAAAATAATTATTGGTCAAACATTGAATCTTAAAATATGTGTGTCTTATTCAGTGGGACGGAGAGTATACCGATGTCAACAATGTAGGCTTGCCAATGTTCAGGCTTGTCACATTTTTTCATTTTTGTATGGTTGCAGAAGGTGTTCTCCGAGGCTGAAGAGATGGCGCAAAGATACCGGGACCAAATTTCAGAGAAGCATCAACCAGCTGAGTTAGACTCCTCGTTCGACGAGGTTGCTCCCTTTGACGACGAGGCAGTGTCTTATGCGAACTGGAAGTGGTTAAGATTCAGCAAATCTGACAAAACAAACTTTAACCCTCGTGCTGAATCGGGTTTGTAATTTGTAATACAGAGGGAACCTCAATTTCTTTTGTTTCTCAAGTCCATAGTTAACTGCAAATGTGCGTGATTTATTGGAAGAAATGTGATTGTTACCGGCCTTTAATTATGCCATTCCATTGTTTCCATGGCCGTCGAGATATGCTTTCACGAATGGATTCGATCGGATCACCACGCATTTGTTTTTTACTCCACGCTGTCACGCATATATGTGTTCGTGTGGCCTCGCCGTTGGTTAACCGGTAGCTGTTGCCGACGCCTTTTTCTAACAAAAACCGCCTCCATCACAAGAATACGTAAACACCAATCCTGCCGCCCTCACGTTTCTGTTTCTGGACGATCGAGATGGACGCGACGCATGCATCGCACGTTGATTCCATCATGTTCAAGGCTTCATCCGACTGAGATCGATGAACAGCCGGCGACGACGACGAAGCTCAGAAAACTTGGGGAGTGAAAAGGGATCAGGATTCAGGACGACGGCATCGTCAATTCGTCGTCCACTTCATCCATTAATTCCTTTGTCAAAAGCAAACACTGCTGTTCGCTGCTCATCTTTCTCCCTGCCATATATCCCTTCGATTCGTCCTCTTCTCAATCCGTCTTCCTCATCAATCTTGCCGGTCTTGTCATATTTTTATCGTTTATGATAGTGTGATCGACAGCTCCTTTGCTCGGATGAATCTGCCAGTGCAACCACCCAAAGTCATACTACATCGCATTAATAAAGTTTAAAGAAACAAAGGGATAGTAGTAGTAGTAGTATATTAGCATCGATCAATGGCGCACTTTATTCGTTTCTGGATGACACTGACGGTTCAACTCTTAGCCTCTTAGGAAGAGCATTGAGCAACAAGTTTCTGCTGTGCGTTGTCTACCTTGTTAATTAATTAACCTACGTGTTGGTCTTTTATGTGTAGCTAATGGCACTTTTTATGTAAGAGACGAAAGCGAAGCACTAACACTATGTTTTTTTGTAGGTTCGTGTTATAATACTACCATGAGATTCCTCAAGTAGAAGAAGCTTCAGTTCAATGACAGGGATGTGTTTCAGTCTTCTCTAGGCTCTAGCTACCTAACCTTCTTGTATTGTATATATAGCAATATCTAGCGTTGGTTTTCTGAAGGAGACAGAACTCGATCCGATACCAAATCCCATTATTTCTGCCGTTGAATGTCACCGAATCATCACAGCGGACAGTGGATTATGTTTTATGTGTGGATCGATCAGAAGAAGCCAAAGAAGTTCCCTGTTTCGCTGTCGTTTGATTTGTCTTTGGCCTTTGTAAGTATCCCGCTTCAGTACTCGGTAGCAGTATCTTCAGGGATACTGAGTATAGTAGTCGTACTGGCAGGAAATTGAAGGCCGGCAATGGCAGCTTCAAGTACCCGATTTACTACTACAGGAGGGCACAGTTAGGTTGGCATATGATTGGATCATTGGAGCAGCAGGGTACGGAAACAAATCCTCGGCAGTACTAGTAGCGGTGATTGACGTGTGGGTCCGGAGCCACACGTCAATGTCTGCTACTGTATCAGTAGTACTGCAGACAATCCACACTGGTAAAGTACTACCTGATCTACCATGGGATCGCCATTTGCCGTAAAGAAGTGTTTTCATTCCTGAATGGATATCTTCTCATTTCTTGCATACCATCTATTTAATATTAAAAAAAATAAAAAATACAAGATAAATTAGTATAAAACATATTACACCAGAAACATACCATACCAAATTCGATTTCTGTAAATTAAAAGTAGTTAACGTATGAAAAACGAGAGAATGTTTCCTCCATGCATGGAAGAAAATTCACCTCCCATTAGCTGCCAGTAGTAGTGGTCGGTTTGTTGCTAGCGGCTGCCATTCTGTCCATGTAAAAACAAGCACATGAGGCGTTTGATGGCGGTGCGTTCGGTGGACCAGTAGTCCAGTACTACTACGACTGCACAACACAGAACCACACTGCTCAATGGAGTGCGTGTTTTTCGCTGCAGGGGACGGTGGTGAAAGTGAATGCGATTTTTATACGTCGCTCGTGCGGTCGTGCCGCGCGCGCCGGTTGCCCCCTCCACCGCCGTTCGACCGTAACTCCGCGCTTGCGGCTCTCTCGTACGAGAAACCGCGGCGCGCGGCGGCGTTAAAGCGCGGCCGCCACCGTTGCGCGATCGGCGGGGAGTTGGAGGCAAGCATGCACACCTGAACCTTCTCGGTTGGAAGGTTAGGGGCGGAGCTTAAAAAAAAAAAAAGTATTTCCTCCGTTTCAAGTTACAAGAGACTTCTTATAGAATGCGGACAATGCTAGAAAGTCTTATAACCTAAAACGGAGGTAGTACCACTCATTCGTTTTATTTTACTTTGAATCGAGTTGAAGCTAATACGTGTAAGTTTGCATTGAGAGATGCATGTAGTGAAAATAAATGAACTATAACTGAAAAGAAAAAAAATACCTGGTTACTGGGCATCTCCTTTTATAGTGTAGCTCCGCCTTTGTGGTAGGCTAGAAAAAAAATGTATTTGTTTAAGCTAGGGCTAATAAGTCATATAATCTCTATCAAATCAAGAAAAACACACGGCACCATACAACGAAGAACCGTTCTGTCAACGAAGATCGGTCGCCTCAGCACCACGTTACCTCTCGCGATTGATAATTGCTTCGCTGGTGGTCAGATCAACTAGACAATTAGTATCGGACTCGGAGATTACTACTGCAACTAACAGGGCGGCAAAGTCAAGGCCAGCTGCATGCATGCATGCAGATTGCAGAGCGATGGGCCGGTAGTTCTGTAGTCGGTCCTTGTGTCGCCCGGAGTTTGGAGTAACTTGCTTAGAAATTAAAGCAGATTGGTGCATTTTGCGTTGCTGAAACATTAATTCCAACTTGAAATATAAGTGGATTCCATATGATATTCGGAAGAATTTATTTTTTTCAAAGAAAATAACAGATTTGCACAATTTTCACACAGGAGCATCAAAGAAACATCCGACGTAATGAGACGAGCTAAACTAGGTTTTTAACTCGTGAGATCATTTTCATATGCACTTTCTAATTACTCCTTCCCTATCATAACATGCTCATTTTTAGCTCTTATCATTTGTGTTTTTTAAAAAATATTTTTAGAGTAATCATTACGTCACGGTTTGTTAAAATAAAGAATAATTATATTGGGAATAGATAAAGTGGATACTAATTACATTGGAATTATAAAAATAGATGTATTCTAGTAATTTTGGCTATGTATTTGTATGTGTGGGATGAGTGAAAAATAAACTTATTTTGGGATAGAGAGTAGTGCTTAATTTTTTAGCTATAGGTTTAGTGCTTTACCATTATTACGTTTATGTATAATAAAATGATAGGAATAAGACGGAACTTATTTATGAGCCAGTACACGAGTGATGAGTCGAGTCAAATTAAACATTTTGCTTGTAAAATTAACAAGACGAAGCTGATCCGACTTTTTAATTAGGAGCTGTCTATATGTTGACAGAAAACCCTATAAATCTTGCAACGAGCTCAGTCCACCCTAATCGCATAGACAAGACTCCATTTCAAAACGAGCAGAGCGTCAAACCGTTTCCTAATCAGGCCATAAAAGGCGGTTCAAGCCGTTAATCACCACACATACCCTTTAATCTCTCGGTGACATTGGAGGCGCATGCACGGCGCCCGCTGACATGTGGTCCCACCCTGCAAATACTGTGGGTGGGGACTCGGGTTGACAGCTAGCCGGTTAAAAAAGACGAGGCTTCCCGCTTTTCTCAGTAAAAAAAAAAAGGCTCCAGTACCACACCAGCTGTACAAAAAGTTCGACATGGCCCACTGACAAGTGGACCCCACCTCGCTTCGGCCCCACTCCTCCCCCCATCATTTTTTTTCCCAAGCCACGTTCACCTCGCCCCCCACCGACGAGCCGCACCCACTCATTAAAAAAAACAAACAAGGCCCCACACGTCACACTCTCAGGAGCGGGGAGTGGGACCCACATGTCAGTGAAGGTGGGTCAGCCTCACCTGGTCAGGCGGGGTACCCGTACTGGGACGGACGCGAGGTGGTGGTGGTTCCGTTGGGCGGTGGGGCCCGCACGCTGGCTCAGTCATCAGTTCGTCACACTACTCGCCTTTTTTTTTTCCTCTCCCTTTTTCTCGCTTTTTTTTTTTTGGCCCAATTTGTTTTATCCGCTTCAGCGCTCTCGCTGCTGTTTTCTTTTTCTTCTTCTCGCTGAGCTCTACTACTGCACTACACTACCACTCTCTTCGCGTTCTCTCTCGCTGCAATGGAGGCGTAGTGTTGGGAGGAGGGAGGGAGAGAGAGAGGGAGAGAGGGAGCTAGGGTTTTTGGGCCGCCGCTGCCTCCTTGAGTTCGTCGTCCCTCCGGTGAGTCTGCACTCTCTCGTTCTCAGATCCGGTGAGTCTGCCGCCGCCGTCTAGATCTGCGTCTGCTGGGCGGTGTAGGCGTGGTTCTTGGGTTTTTCTTGCGCGGATTTGAGCTGGGGTTGCGTGGATTTGAGTTTGTTGGAGCTGCATTTCGGGGGGAGTTAGTTTTCTGTGCGAGATATTTAACCGTCAGTTTTGTTCTTGCGGGGTTTGATTGCTTTGCTACGAGGCTTGATTCCGCTGGGAAAAAAAACACTGGCCTTCGCTTCTTCTTGCGTTTCTTGTGGGCCTTTTCGTAGATAGAATTTTTGAAAAATGGGTATTGGGTGTAGATCTGTGAGCTGATGTGCGGTGGTATTGCAGGCTCCGAACCCTTGGGCGTGCGGCAGTGTAGGCTCCAATGGGGAAGTCTCCGGCGAAGTGGATCAAATCCGTGCTCTTCGGGAAGAAGTCATCGAGGTCCGGCTCTACCAAGGCGAAAGATTTATCGGTATGTTTTACACCTCTTTGTTTGCGCGGCAAATACTGTTGTTGCAACCGATTTCTTGATGATTATGGAGTCCAGTTATGGAATTGTAGTTAGATAGAAGGGATCTGTTGTTGTAACCAAATTTATTACTTTCCATACGCAGAAGGGCTCGAACAACAAAGGGTATGCTGCTGCTGGGAAGGATGCTGGGTTTGAGAGCTCCCCGGTGATATCGGAGCCGGTGCTCGTTACACCTCATAACAATGAGGCTGTCCAGGAGGTTGGGAGGGGTGAGAATTCCAGCTTACAAGGTGAAGTGGTGGTGCGCGATGTCAGTCAAGACCTGGAGAAGCAGAATACTGTCGTTTCCGATGCGTCCAACGACCCCGAGAGGTTGAGAGAGGAACAAGCGGCCGTCAAGGCACAAGCTGCCTTCCGAGGCTATCTGGTAATGTTTCTTTTTTCTGATTCCTGTTTGATCCTGCATGCCTTTTATAAAATTTCCTTGCGTCGTGTAGTTCTGCAATCCACTAAAGAACCCGACAATACCTTGTAAAGTTCTTCTTTAGAATTATGCATCCTAAATTTAGCATGGTATTGGTCCAGGCACGTCGGGCATTCCGTGCGTTGAAAGGAATCATAAGACTCCAAGCCCTGATTCGTGGGCATCTCGTAAGGAGGCAAGCCGTTGCAACTCTTCGTGCAACATGGTTGATTGTGAAGTTTCAAGCTCTAGTCCGTGGTAGGAATGTCAGACTTTCTACTAATACCATTCAAGTCAACTGGAAGCTTGTTCAACAACAGTCGGGGGTAAATTTCTTGCTGATCCTGTTTCATTCAGTACCTGATGTATTCATCATAATGATGCCCCTTTCCTTTTAATCTGTTTCACTGTTATATAAAAAAAGGCCTACAAGGCCGCATACAAGGAACATGTGCCCCAACCTTTTAGCACTTAAGCCACATAAGCAGCCAATTATGCTGTATAAGAGCTACAAGGTGGGGTCACCGCACGAAACCGCTTACCACTTTTTAAAACATTGCAAGTCTATCATCAAAATGCTCCTGGTTCAACATAAGCAAGTAATAGCACTACAATCATGCTAAATAGAACATTGCTACACATATTTTTGCATGCTTGCATTCATCGCTTTTAGTTTGTTTGGGAAGCTTTGTTAAAACTGACAGATTCGCCTAGCAAGATATGCTAGTTATATGATTCTTTCCCCTTTTGCAGAGTGGTAAGCGGGATGCATGGAAGGAGAAATTGTCTTCAAATGCATTTGCTCGTAAGGTATACTAAATTTAGTCTTCTAATGGCTTGATACAAATATGAGAATCTTGAATCTATGCATTAGCCTGTTATACTCATTACTCACAGGCATATATCACTCTTTTGTTTCCTGTATGTATATGTTTTCTTCTTTTGTGCTAATTGTTTTTTTCTATAAATGCTGTAGCTTTTAGCTTCACCAATTCTGGTAGAGGCTCTCCATTTTCAATATGATGAGAGGGATCCAAATTCAGCCTTCAACTGGTTGGAGAGATGGACCATAGGTCGTGTCTGGAGGCCCATTTCACATCCAAAGAGAGCTGCTGTTACTGATGCCAAGCCACACACAAGGAAGGCCAGTTATGCAATGGAAACAGAGTCAGGGAAGTTGAAGCGCAATTCTCGGAGAAGTTCTGCTGCACCAGTTGAGTCCTCTCAGACGAACATAGCCATGGAAACTGAAAAATCAAGGCGAAACCCAAGGAAATTCACTAGCTCTACTGCTGATTCAGTGCCCGAAAGTCAGTTAACTGAACTTGAGAAGGTCAAACGTAACCTTAGGAAGGTAACTAATTCTATGGCTGAGGCTTCAAAGGTATCTACTCCTGCAACTGAGATCCCTGAACGCCAAGAGGTCCAATGTGAGAAACCACAGCGAACTGCAGAAGAAGTTCCAAATTATCCTGAGATCCAAGAACCTCAGAATGGTAATCTGTTGGAAAATGCTAAGACGGATATCCTGGTACCTGATCTTCAACCTGAACCGGAGGTTCCTTCTTATCAAGTTGAAACTGAAGAAAAAGTTGCTGAACTGACTGTTGCTGACCCTACGGTAGAAACTATGCCGCTGCAAGATATCCACAATGAAGAAAATGCTTTAGTAAATGATATGGAACAGAGATCCAAAGAAGAACCTCTTTCTACTGAGAGCCTTAAAAGCAGCAAGAGGAGGTCTTCATTCTCAACCAAGACAGAGTATCCAGAAAATGGTTCAAAGAATTCGCCTGCTGTTCCCAGCTACATGGCTGCAACACAATCTGCGAAGGCGAAACTGCGGGGACAGAATTCACCCAGACTTAGTTCTGACTCTGCGGAGAAAAATGGCTTCACCAGGCGCCATTCCCTCCCATCCTCTAATGGTAAGTTGAACTCGCACTCGCCGCGTACACAAAGGCCAACCCATGCTGGTGGCAAAGAGGGAGTGAAGGCTGACAAGTCTATGCTATCATCAAGAGACGCAAGTGGTAAGTTGTAAACAATATATCTGAATATTCATTGTTTGCATTAGTATCTGTATTGTGCCTAACATTATTATGCATTTAACTTTACCTTCCAGTATACGCAGAATGCATTTGGATATTAAGAGGAATTTGAATAATCTAGAAGAAAGTTGATAGAATAAACCAATTTCCTGTTTTATGCATAATATCTTCCTATCACCCTCATTTTGCTTTACATAATGAAAATGAAACATCCATTTCTTCATTATTTCACATAGGTGGGCGCTGGGACACCATCTATCCCTTTTGTTATCTAGATTTGTTGTGATGTACATGAGCTTAGCTTGATTGTTAAGAGCATATCAGTCCTAAAATATTCACCGAAATCTGTAGATATAGTGAGCCTTCAGTCAATGTCACCTGAGATCCAAATGTTTAGAATGTAAAGGAACAGATATATGACTTCACAATAATAGCTGTCCTTGTGACTTAACAATATTCCTGTTGAATTTAGTGACCTCAATTCTTAGTTTGTTTTGCTGATTGGAAAGCTTGATGTTTCCCATGTTCTTAAACATTTTTAAATTTCATACTTGTGGGCTCAAGAAAACCTGCCTGTTTTGTTTATCACATTTATGCGATGTATGTTTGAGATGTTCTTTTCACATACCAAGTAGTAGCATTGCATAGCCATTGTCACAATTTCTCAGGCCACTTATTTTTTAAAAAACTACAGAAAGACCTGCCAAAGCTGAATGGAAACGCTGAAGAGTTCATCGATCGAGCACCAAATCCTCCTGTTGGGTTGCGCAACATTCGGGTGGATGACGACGATGATGGCGTCTGCAGTTTGATCCAATTGTTTTGCTTCCGATGTAAAAAAGATGTTCTCCCCATCCGTGACAGTGAACCAGCTGCTTTGTTGTGGTTTGTATCTGGTGCGATTTGACTTATTTCTATAGGGTTTTTGCGTCCTTTCCTCTGCCATGTTCATGTATAGCTGAAGCGTTTCCGGTTTGCTTTTGATTTCCCTGCCTCCCCGAGACACCCTGCTTTTGTTGAGCAAGAGAGCTGCTGATGTTAGAGAGAACTTGTTGGATTGAACAATCTTATCCCATTTGGACATCTCTTCTGCGTTTTCTTCTTATAACTGACTAGCGAGTTGTGCCATTCCATGACACCCTGTTTGTTTACTGCTTTTCTTGGCCTCCTTTTCATGTCGAGCGCTCCAGTTGTTTTGCCTGCACTGTGAATGTGAGATGGATGTCATGTTCCTGAATCCTGTGAAAATTATGTACTACCTTCGTCTCAAAATATAACAATCTAGGATCAGATTAGACATATTCTAGTACTATGAATCTGTACAAGAATTTTGTTCAGATTAGTATAACTATATGAAATGTTTAATTCAATTTTAGATTGCTATATTTTTAAGATGGAGGAAGTAGAATTCTAAGAAATCTCGGCAAAATTCCGGCCTTGTGTTCAAAAGGGCCAAAATATAGTAACAATCTAGAATTGGATTAGACACATCTTAGTTTCATGAATTTGCACAAGAATTGCATGGGATATTTGTTCAGATTTGTATAACTTTAATTCGATTTTAGATTGTTACTACATTTTGAGATAGGAGTAAAATTCTACAAAATCTCTAGAAAATTCCGGCATTGTGTTCAAAAGGAGGCCAAGGATTCAAGGCGAAATCGAGTCCCGCATAAGACATGTCGGTCACCACCGTCCGTCCCCAGGTCCCGCGACACCGGCGTGTGGCCGCTCGCCGTCTGATGGGCGATTCGACGGCGAGGTAAGCCATCGTCAGGTCACGGCGGCGGCTGGGCCGCGCTATCGCAAGCCCAAGGATGGCATGCCATGGGCTCGTCACGCAAGCAAAATTCCTCATTTCTCAATGACGGCCTGGTTGCGGCCCCGCTCGATTACGAAAAGTTTGTAGAAATTTTTAAAACCAAACTTTTCAACTTGCACGGTAAGTTGGGAATAAAAATCGTCGCTGTTCAGACGTTGACTCTCGTTGTTTTTATAGTTTTTGTATGGATGCTCTCGTGTCGTGTGTCTCGCCATAGTGCATGATGACCTTAATTTGATTCCCAGAACATAAAATAAAAGGGAAATATAAAATGTGCTGATACCATTATTGATCATCATGTATAAAGTTTTTTGGTAGTATGACTAGTTTGCGATCAATTAACCAAATATGCCAGATTATGTGATCAATTATTACCTTGCTTATTCCTAATATCTATACTAATACTAATACTAATCTATACTAATATAAAAAGGAGGAGTTGCTCCTCTCTAATCTTATAGGTAAAATCATCCGGATTAATCTGTACCGTCCATCCGCGCGCAAGAGGTCTCCACCGCACGATTGAGTACTGCCGCGAAGACTACTCTCCATTCACGCGCGGAGACTTCGCTCCTCCTCCTCCTCGGCGTCCTCGCTCGCTCCTCTGTACTGCCGCCACGCCGCTGCATCCTCGCCGAAGCCGCCTTCTTCTCCGTCCGCCGCCGGAGCCGAGGTCCCCTTCCGCCGCTGCCGGATCCTACCATCCGTCGCGGCCGGCGCTCCTCCTCCTCGCTCGCTCGCTCGCTCCGGATTACTGCCGCCGCGCCGCCGCATCCTCGCCGGAGCCGAGGTCCCCTTCTGCCGCCGCCGGATCCTACCATCTGCCGCGGCCAGCGCCGAGGGAGGCCCCATCCGCCGCCGCCGCCACCATCATCGCCGCCTCATTCCCACTTCGCGTTGTGCCTCCCTCCGCTGCTACCGCATCGGCTCCTGTCGCTGCTTCCGCCGCTCCCGTCTTCGCCGACGCAGTCAGTGCCTCCCTCTACCGCCGCCTGGGCCCCCGCCTCCGTGCCGTCCGGGAGCAGGAGTTTCGGCGGGGTCGTGCGGTCGCCGTCGCGCCGCCACAGATCGAGACTCGCTGTCGCCCCGCCGCAAATGCCTCTGGATCTCGCCTCCGCTCCCACCACAGCCACGTGATCTTCTCTCCCACCGGCCTTCCACTAGCTGCCTGCACCTCCTCGGTCGGGTAGCCGCCGCCGACCCCTGCCCTTCGCTGCCCAGCTGTCATCACGGCCGGTCGTCCAAGCCGCGCGCCGCCATCGCCAGCCATCCTTCTTACACTCAAAGAATGTAGCGTATCTTAGCAGATGCCAATGTGAATGCAGTGACATATGTAGGCTTCAGTAATTAGGAGGAACCAAATAGCAAAGAAGGCTCCTAAGCTCCTGGTGCATATTTTCAGTTATTTCATTTTCTGGATCTAGCTTGATTGATTGGCTTGAACATTCCATTTTTCCAGGTGACATATATGAGGTTATGCTCCTATAGGTTGATTTCATATTTTTTTCCCCTGTGAACGCAACTGACCTCTCGGTCAATAGTTCTTCCTTACTGTGATTCATGTGCTTCAAGTTAATAGTCTGTGGTTCTTTCAAAATGAGCAGATCAGTGGTTCTTTCAAAATGAGCAGATCAGTGGTTCTTGAGGTATTCTACTAATAACCTTTGCCTTTGGTTTTACTCACACTCTGTGAGTGTGTAAAAGTAGCTTTCTACTGGACTTCCTTGATTTTCATGGATATGCAGTTAGACATAGGTGTGTGACGCATTAACGTGTCTTTCTGCAGGTTGGCACTTGATAATTTTGTATTGTAATATATAAATAACTCAGTTGCGCAGGTGATTAGTGGTTGACAGAAAATTGCCTTCAATTTAGTTCCGTCAATAAGATACTGTGATCTAACTCAATTCTCTTCCATGCCTGACAGCATTGATTCTTGCTGTAAATTTGTATTTCTCTACAAATCAACTTTTATTGCTGAAAATGTATTCACTTCAAATACATAGATGTGTTTTAATGACTATTTATGATGAAATTCATTCAAAGCTTTGGTTTGCCATCGTTTGGCCACCAGTTTTTAATTCCGATTGCTACAGAGGAATTCGCTGTTAGTTTTTTATTTGCTATGCCTGTTTCTAATTTACCGTGCAGTTGCAATTACGGAGCCCTCACCAAGAACAGCAACAACAGCAGGCAAAGCCCAACAGATTTGGGTTTGGCGCTGCAAGCTGGAAGAAGTAGGCGCATCAACAGCATAATCCTTTCAGTTTTGGGATACAAGATGCGAGTGCTCAGTCACGAAATGCTCTTGGCCAATCAAAGGTTCGTCATCTCGAATCACAAAACAACTTTTGATTACACAACATTTTCCTATATAGGGGTATTTTTGTGTATATGACTAACAAATTGTTGTATTAGCTTTTCCAAATATGTGAGGTAAGGAACAGATGGACATGGAAGAATTGGAGGTAACCAATATTGTTATGCATATATTTTCCTATCTGAATTCGTTGTAGAGAATGGCAGATTTCCTTCTCACAGGCATAATTGCAGACGGTCAATACTTTGAAAGGGTAGCTTCGGTTAGAGGTTTGTAGTACCCTTGCTAGCATTTATCTACTCATCTTGGAGATATTAGTTAATTGTGAATCGATGAGCAGTGGTCAAAAAGAAGAAAGAGCATGAATTCCATAACTAAATCTTGTGGGCTATTTTGTCAATCCATAACTAAACCTCAGTAAAACTTTTAGTACCCAACCTGTAGATCATAACTGAATATTCACCTAATATTGTGGCCTACAATTTCATTTCCCAATTCGATGCTCTAGAAGTTTAGAACTATAACATGCACAGTTTCATTTTTCTTGCACTGCATAATTTCGTAATTACAGCATGTATTGGACAAACCTGCATCTTTTGCTTGTATATATCTATACTAATATAGAAAGGAGGAGTTGCCCCCCTCCAATGCTACAGGCCAAATCACCCCATATCATCTCACCCGTCCATCTCATCCAACGGCTCAGAACGCCCAGGGCTAGCTATGAATCGCTGAATCCCCACCAGCGAACGCGCTGACCCCACAGTGGCGCCACCCAATCGCTGCATCACGCAGTCCCCGGCGCCGCGCCATCCTCTCGCGATAACAACACTGCCGCCTATTCCTCCCGATGACGCATCCTCCAACCACTGCGCGCATCCCCCAGCCATCGTCGGCTTTGCTGCAGGTCGCCATTCACTTCCACGGTAGCCGCTGCCGCCGCATCGCGAGGGGACTCACTTGGTGATACCCCGATGCAGTGGAGGGCATGGGTGCCGCCGCCGCCACCCGCAGTTGATGCATCCGCCGCATCCCCTCTGCCTGCTCTCATGCCCTCCGCAGCCCAGCCGCCGGTTGTCGATCCCCTCCGAGCCCACAGCCGGCTCTCCCTGCCATCGTCGGGATCTCCCACTATGCCGCCCTGGTCAGCCGAACCCCTCTGCACCAGCAATTGCGGACGATGCAAGCGCTAGAATGCACTGATGAATACAGGCAAGGTAAGTTTGTCTACCAAAAAAAAATCTTCTTTTTGCAGTTTAGTATCTGATTTCCACAAGCATACAAACTAAAGTTACCATTTGTCTACAGATCTTGTCGTCAATAATATAGAAAAATCAGGTAAGTCTCTCCTTTATGTCGATATTTTTTCTTTTCTCTCTCTCATTACTTTGGTATGTTACTGATTATACAAGATTGTGCTGCTATTTCTTTTTCCCGTAACAATGTTATTAATGCTCATTTCTGCAGGCCATGCATCTATAATGTAATGATTTGCTGGTAAGAACATTCCATTACATTGCTTTTATGTTATTAGCAGTGGTGACTGGTGCCTTGAGAATTTTTTTTTATGTCTATAGGTTATACGTGGCATTGAAGGATAAGTGTTCTTGGGATTTCATATTTTTGATTAATTAGATCAATAGATGTTTGATAAAAAAACAATCTGCCAAGAGTACTCACCTACATACTAATATAAATTTTCAACCAGGTTTTATGGATTTTGATCATCTGGCAATCACTTTGTACTGTATAAACTCTATGTACGCCATCTCTATATTTGAACAATGGCACCGATGATTCGGTCTTGGAATGATTACTTCATTATTGATATATATATATGTGTGTTAACTTTCTGCAATGCTGAAGTAACTTTGTTAAGATAACCAATATTAGACCAGGGTTCAAAATTCGGGAACGAAATTTCCAAAATTTCAGAAGTTTTGGTCCTATCGGACCCCCCCTATGATATTATTTCGGCCGAAATTTTAATTTATTTTCATTTTTTTGTGAATTTGGTAATATCTTGTTCAAAGTTTCCAAAATGTCGGTATATCGGCACCCTCCAATATAAACCCCGAAAAAGAAATATTGAACCCTGTATTAGACTACATTAATTAGCATCCTGGGTTATCTATAAAATGACTTCGATTTCTGACACCCTTTCTTTTTTAGTTGTAATAACATTGCTGAAGACAATGATGATCCAGGTACAACTGCTTAAGTTGGCCTGAGCAGTGCCTTATAAAAGGAAACTTACCATTGCCATCATTATGGTGAATGTCATCTGGTGCGTAGTATGCTATGCCATCTATTCCATTTCCCGTAGTTTACACACATCATTGGCATAGGGGGATCTAACGCTCCATATGCATGTGCCAGGACAAGGTACTGTACTGCTCCTACTATATCTTTGATCCATATTGACTCTTTTTTCTTGATTTGTTGATTTCTAATTGAAGCTTTATTATTTCGCTGTGGTGTTGCCTGTCAACATTATAGTATAATTTGGGGTCTGGATCTGCATTTTAGTGATTTCAACATGCATATTTGCTTATAAAAAGATAGTATATTTAACATAAGGAATTTAATAATGGGTGAAATCACTGGTAATTTCGTGTCCTTTGTATTTTGTTTACATGTCAGGACTTTGCCAATTCCGAATCACTGGTAAACCATGTTTTTAGAAACACTCAACATTGTTACAACTGCATATAATGCTACACTTTTCGTGCAGTTTAAAAACAACAGGGCAATCATTATTCATGCATTTTTGAAACAACATTGGATAGATGATGTTTGGCATGACCTATCAATGGGGTTCTTAACGGAATATTTTGGGATTTGACGCTGCTTGCTAGAAGGGGTGACACTCACCAAAGGAACTCATGGCGATGGTCAGAATTAGGCATCTACAATTCTACATGGCAAAGCCAGCATACATGGCAATTTGATTCTAAGGTATTGATCAGATCAGATTTGATGCAACCTGTTTGGAAGTCAGGCCCCTTTGACTTTGAGGTGCAAATTAATCTTTTGCTTGTCTCCTAGCTTAGAATCGCCTATGGACTGTTGCTGTTTATAACTTAAGGCTGGCCAAACAATTAGTTTTGTCCTCTATGCATCAAACCTTGAGACATCTCATCATTTGTTCATGAAGAGTAGATTAGTTTCAAGCCATCCGGACAGGAATAAGCCTGTGCTTAACTGAAGTTTCTTCAGCAAGCCTCCTTCGGCCTGTTCAGTATTGGAATGGTGGTGTCACAAGACTTCATCAGAAAAGATGCAAAGAAAAGGGCTCAGGACCCTCTTCTTGCTGGTCTGCTGGGGAATTTGGACGGAACGAAACAATAGAAACTTCGAGAAAGAGGGATGGTCAATTCAGCGAATTGTCGACAAATTCTTTTTTATGAGATCAAGCAGTGGACCAGCTACAGAGAAAAAAGGCTGGTATAGTTCTCTCGAAGAGAGAGCTGTTTTTTTGTTAGTTTGTAACTTTGTATAGCCTCTGGCTTCAGTTCTATTTTGTTCCCTCCTATCAAAATTCGTACAAAACAGACAGATCATACCCATAATTACAAGTACCGATTATGTTGGTTATATCTTTTTTACAATTACACAGGATATATATTTTATAAATTTTGGTTGAATAAATTATTTTTGGTAGATATAGTTTCCAAACTTTCAATGTATCCCTATGATATATTTTATGAAAAACGTGTATTGCACGTGCACGATTACTAGTGCCCAGATAAATTAGTACTGATCTTGTCCCGCTCAAGGCCTCAAACCTCGGTAAAAATAATTTCACGGCGGTAAAAATAAAACATGGCACCATCTTTTTACTCAAGAAAGAAGGCAAAAATCCTGTCGCTATTCACCAATCACGCAAAACCCTTCTCTCCAAGAACACGGCGCCCTCACCTCACATCTCACATCAATTTTGATACCATTTTCAACCTTACCAAATTTTAATAAAGTTATAAAAAAATGGCTGCATTTAGTTTGTTACCATATTTTAATACTTATAGAAATCCTACTAAAATTTTAGCAAGTTATCAAAATTTGACAACTATATTGCTAAAATTTGGTAAGGTTTTTTTTACATCAAAGTGAACAGTCCCAAAAGTTCACCCTGCGCAACAATTAAATTAAGCAAATTAAATCATTTTTGGCATCTTCTTCCTCCCCAAGAAAAAGGGCCAGGATAAGCCCATCCGACGGCGCAGGCGAGCCGAGAGCCCCGCGAGCGCAGATCTGGGCCGTCCGCCCGCCGATAAATACCAGCTCTCTCCTCCACTCCGCTTCACCCCCAAATCAAATCCCCTTCTCCCATTTTTCCTCTCCTCGCTTCTCGCCGCAGCCGCCGCCGCCTCCTCCTCCTCTCGCCATGGCCGCCGCTGCTCCCCCCGCGGGCCCCGGGCTCTACTCCGACATCGGCAAGAAGGCTAGAGGTTCGGGGATGCTGCGTCGTTGCTGGTTCTTTTTGTGGGGTGTTTTTGTGGTTGGGGTTTTGTGATTTTGTTGCCCTTTTGCTTGGGGTTGTTTCTTGGTTTCTTGGGTGTTTGCTGACGCTGGTTGTTTTTTTTTTCTGGTGGGATTTGCAGATCTCCTGTATAGGGATTACCACACGGACCAGAAGTTCACGCTCACCACCTACGCCGCGAACGGAGCTGTGAGTTCCTCCCCACGACGCCTTTCATTTTTTTGGGTGGTGTTCTTGTGAAGTTATCTTGTTCTGTTCTTTTACTAGTATCTGGTTTGGTTTGGTTTTTGGTTTGCTGCGAGTAGGTGTTTGTTGGTAGGAGCACTTTGGTGGGCAGTGGGTGTGGGTGTGGGTTAGGCTTTAGGAGTTGGGAGCAAGTTGCGGTGGAATTACGGCTTGATTTATTTTCTGAAGCAAATCTGTGTAGGTTTGTGATTGCGATGGTTTGTGGTTCCCGCTTGGTTTAGTTTCCTACTAGTAAGGATTCAGGTAGGTTGGGGGTGTGTTCTTTGTTACAGAGTCTGCAGCTATGTGTGATTTGTTACTGGTGTAAATGTAATCAGTCGTGATTTAGGGTTTATAATTGTTTTTTCTTCACAAATAACTCATGATTTATGTGTCTAGGTTGTATTGTCATATTCTAGCTGTCGATGGTGTCTTTGCGCTCTGCGTGTAGTGGCTGATTGTGTGTTTGACACTTGCTGTGTATTACTGTATTATCATGTAGGCTTGTAGCTGAATGTATCATGACTCTTTAGTGGTTAATCTGCAAGTGTTGGTGAGGACATGTGCCATTGAAGTTCACACGCCTGTCTTTGAACTTTATATGGCTTAGTTTTGTTTAAAGTCACTTATCTTTCACCGTTGCTACAGAATTACTACATCCATGGAGTATTTGTTTCTAGTCCTCTGTGTCTACTCATATGGACTCAGTGTTTGTTCCCTTATTGGTTACTATTGCCATGAATTTGAGCTACATGTAGGCTAGTAATATGCAGTCGCAGTTTAGGACAATTTAGGATGTGTTTAAATTTCTCTTTCTTGACTATGGAACTGTTGATGAAGTTGTTAGATGTTTTTTCAGAATGTATCTCATCTGTGACCTCAGTATGGAGGTGCCTATATGTGCCATATATCATGTTAATATGTTGTTTACATTTGTTTACATATATCATGTTAGTACATTATTTCCCTCCTGTATAGTGTATATTCAGTCTGTTCTCATGGTCATGTGTTGGTGACCTTATGGACTTGGTACTTTCGATGACAGATCACTGAGGTTTAGTATGGTGCTTACCTTTATCATGTACTGGTGATGCTGAAAATAGTGTTTTCAATTGCTCTGTCATGCTGCAACTGCGTAGCATAATGTCTATATAATCTTTACCTGTATCTCTGTTATGACGTTTTGTTGTCAATCTCCTTTGGCTAAACTTAGTATCTGTAGCATTGCATATGAAACTTTCCCAAGATTATAATGAGGTATGTTTTTTCCCTGCTTTTTCTAGGCAATCACTGTTGCTGGCACGAAGAAAAATGAGTCCATCTTCTCTGAAATCCAGAGCCAGGTGAAGAACAACAATGTGTCCGTGGATGTGAAAGCAACTTCAGACTCAAAAGCACGTTCTTTTCTTCTTCTCTTCTCTCTCTTCCATAACTTTTTTATTACCATGCCTTTGCTGATTATGCATAGCATGAAATTAAGGCCGCCATTTCTGTAGCAGTGACTGATTAATTATCTCTTTTGCCAGTTGATAACTACATTCACAGTTCATGATCTGGGCACTCCAGGCCTGAAGGGAATTCTATCCATTCCTTTTCCCTACCAGAAGTCTGCAAAGGTACATGCCATTTCTTTTCTAGCTTGTACAATATGCTGAATCTCAATTTTGAGTCCTGTATAATTTCCTCCGTGTGTTTGGTTTCAGGCTGAAGTCCAGTACTTGCATCCACATGCTGGCCTGAATGCTATTGTTGGCCTGAATGCAAATCCTCTTGTTAGCTTTTCTGGTGTGTTTGGAACTGGGGCTTTTGCTGTTGGTACTGATGTTGCATTTGATACTGCAACTGGGGACTTCACCAAGTACAATGCGGGACTGAGCCACACTACTCCAGATCTCACTGCAGCACTGCTTCTGTAAGCAGTTTCATCCAATTCTTTGGTGTATTAACACTTCTCTAATATTCGTACTGTTGTTTTGGCCCTTTACCTGTTGTTTAACTCCTCCAAGTCCCAATCAATTGGCAGTATTTTCTGGGGACTTCTTAGGGCAGCTTGCTCAGCATCCTCTGTGTCATCTGTATGCTAGTTTGGACTAGTATTAGTGCAACAAGTTACCGCAGTTGATGTGTTTTTCTAACATGCTTAGATTTTGGCAGCAGTTTCTGGGGACTTCTTGGGCAGTTTGCTTTGCATGTGTCATCTATATGCTAGTTTGGAATTGGTGCAACAAGTTACTGCAATAGATGTGTTATTCTAGCATGCTTTGATTTTGGTAGTAACAGAGTGATTTGCAAATTTCAGGAACAACAAGGGAGACAGCCTTGCTGCTTCCTACTACCACAAGGTGAGCAAAACAAGTGCTGTTGGAGCAGAGCTGGCTCACAGCTTCTCGAGCAACGAGAACACTCTCACCTTCGGGACACAGCATGCCCTGGATGAACTCACTACTGTGAAGGCGCGCTTCAACAACTTTGGCATGGCCAGTGCGCTCATCCAGCACGAGTTCAGGCCCAAGTCGCTCGTCACCATCTCCACTGAGGTTGATACCAAGGCCATCGACAAGAGCTCCAAGGTTGGGCTGTCCCTGGTCCTCAAGCCTTGAAGGTCGCCTGCTTTTTCTGGTTTGGTTTAGGATGCTAGCTTTTGATATCAGCAGCTCATTGAACAAAACTTGTAATCGGCTTAACTTTGGTTGCCTCTAGCCTGTTCTAGACTACATGAGGGTTTCTGTTACCAGTCAATCTGTCTCGGTTTCTTTTTGGTCATTTGCGGGCATATTGATGGGAAAACATGTCCCGGAATCTGAGTGTCAAAACTCTTGGGTGAAATTGGTCACGTACTTCAAAGTTCACCCTCTGAATCCAGCTGCAGATACTTCTGTTTGATTCAAAACCATATTTCTTCTCTAACTAGGCTACTTTGAATTCATCTTGTTCATCATAAGATGGCATATATCTGCTGCTTATAAGTGCACAGGATGCATTTATTTGGCTAATTCGTTATTAGACAGGTCTGAGCCCGTAGTAATCATTGAAGCACACGACATGCCATTCTGTTATTTGTTTATCATTATATCACTATAATCACTATTCTGTTATTTGTTTATCATTATATCACTATAATCACTATCTCCTTTTTGTTCAATGCAATGCCTGGAAAGTGTTAGTGAGCAAAATAAGCTTTCTGCTTTGTTGTTCGGCACAAGTCTGTAAACATGTCAAATGGAAAAGTAATCAGTGAAAAAGGGAAGGTTGATTTGTAGCTGAACACAAAGTGTTAGCAATTTACACAAGATACAAATCCTGAGCCACCAACATGCTATTGCTGCAGCGACTGCATGCTTCCAAAACCACTATAACATGCGATGTCCTCTTCAAATCCAGCACTACCACTTGCAGCATGCACATTTCCTGATGAAAGCAGATCACACATGTCCATGTCCGGAGCAGCATCTCCCTGGAAGAAGTTGTGGTATTCATATCCTTCTCCTGGATGGGCACCCGGCTCTCTCATCTCACCTCCATTTTCTTCACCTGCATCTGAATTCTTCTCAACCAGCTGCCTGAACATCGACGATTTCAGAAGAAGGCTAAGAGCAGTGGATGATGATCTCTTTCTAGATGAGCCACTGGGAGAGATTATCATGGAGGCTTCTTGATTATTAGTACTGCTACTGCCACCGTCACCACCACCCAGTGATTGTGCATTGTGATATGAGGTGAAAGGATTGCTCTGAGGGAGCATCATCATCTGGGTTTCCATTGGGAGGAAGTGATCTACAGGGATCTGCATTGCAAGAGCTTCTGCAGGGTTCATGGCAACATGAGCAGGGGTTGGCTTCAGCCATGTGATGTATGATCTGAGGTCGAAGTTCGTGACGGCGTTTACGCCTTTGTACTCGATCGCGGCGATGTCGTAGGCACGGGCAGCCTCTTCTTGAGTGCCTGGAGAAAAAGATTTAGGAAGAATGGCAGATGGGCCGATGTTAAGATGTGAAGTTTTGGATGCATTGGAATACCAATTCACAATGTAGAATAGAGTATAAGCACTGTTCTTGTACTCACTGTAGGTTCCTAGGTAGAGGTACTTGTTTCCGAAAACACGCCCAATTCTTGCTTCCCATCTTCCATTTTGATGATGCCTGAAAGTATGCAGTAGACATTCAGTGACAAACCTATCTTCAGAACTGTTGATAGAGTACAATACATTTTTCTGTCCAAATATACCTCGCAACCCCTCTGTACTTGGACACACCTCTTGAGAAGCCACTGCTCTTCCTGGCATCAGTTTAGATGCTTGTCAAAGTTGAATAGGTGATAACAGAATAGGAGACTGAACCTCTCTCTAAAAAAAAGTAAAAAAAGAATAGGAGATTGAACATGCTAAAGACTTTGATGGTACCTCCTTAGAGATGCAAGATACTCTTCCTTAGTAAGATTCTCCATTATCTTCAACTCCTTTTCATAGTCCATTACCTGAAATATATCAAATGAACCTCATATATTATGATTCACAACTGTGTTTCTAGTATGGGCCAGCTTGCTAAGTAGATATTCTTATACCGGAAAATTTGTATAGGTAGTTGGTCCCCAGTACTTGAGAGCAGCAAGGTCATAAGCCCTTGCTGCTGCCTCCTCCTCATCATATGCTCCAAGATAGACTGATGCAAATCAAAACAACATGTGCATAATTACTCAAACTGATCTATAGCATAGCTATGCTATTGCAAACACAAGCAGAAGGAAGAAGAACAAGATCACTTTACCCTGCTTGCCCTTCTTCCTCTGTGTAGGATTCCACGAGTTCTTGTCCCACAAATGTGCTTCGAAACGACCTGTCCACCGATGCCTACATGACAACATCTTCTTGTCATCTCTACAAGCTCTGAATCTGTCACAAGGCACAAGAATTTTTCAGTGTATATATGGTTTACTTCTTTTACCTGCTAACTCCACGAAACCTAGAGCTCCTCTTGACAGTGATGCCTGACAAGGACGACTTGCCAATGCCACCACCATTGGTGTCACCATCACCATTGATCGGTGCGAGCAAAGACGGCTCCCTCCTTCTCCTCCTGACAACCGGGCCCGCCTCGGCGCCGCCTTCCAGCGCATTGATGATCATTGCTGGAGATGATCCTGAGTAGTTTTCAATCTCATTCTTCACCATCATGATGCTATGATCCATGGTTGTTAGTTGTTACTGCTTACTAACTTGGTTCTTGGCCTCCAATGTAGCATGTAGCTATCTGAATGACTGAATGAACAGTAGCAACACTGAAGAAAAGAAGCGGATTTGATCCAGGAGAGACACCATTACCTGCAGGTGTGTTTATGTACTGGTTGCATTGGCTGGCGACAGAGTTTGTCACCTAGTAGAGACAAGACAATGTGTTGATGATTCCATGGCTAAATGAGCTTCACTGCGTCCCTGATTACTATGATGAGTTCTTGTCCATATTCCTGTTTGGAAACATCGATTTTAACCGCAAATGTTTTTTGTCTCAAGGCGGCTGTGAGATGTGCAGAATCGAGTACAATTTTTTTTACCTGTTTATTGTCAGCATATTTTGCGGTGTCATACAGGCTGCAACAAGAAGCCAAAGTATTATTCTCACACGAGTCCAAGCTCAAATCTTGGCGCCTTCTTGTGGCGAGACAAAACAGCAGCAAATAGCTGAGAAAACTGTGCTTTTTTTCCGCCTTGTTTGTATCTGTGTTAGCGTCTTTTGCAGCTCACGGTCTCATCTGCAGTCTGAGCGCGCCATGGACAGAGTTCTCATTATGTCTGGGCTCACCAGAGTTCGTGTCATGGACAGGAATGCCGATCCAATTAGAGCCATTGAAGTTTGGATCGCTACCAAATTAGAGTGTCTGGGAGCAAAATTTGCCTTAAAATTTCTACTAGCTACAGTGTTCGCCCAGAAGGCGGAAGAAGCACCGGAAATATATGAAAATAAAGAACGTGCAACAAAAACGGGGTGGTGGCGCAGTTGGCTAGCGCGTAGGTCTCATAGCTAAACGTGAGTAATCCTGAGGTCGAGAGTTCGAGCCTCTCTCACCCCAAATATTGAGTGATGAGGGAATGCTCCTGTGACAACTGGGTTCGTCACATTCATCTGATCTCAGATGTTTACGAGCTAGTCTGAACTCGATTAAATTTTTTTTGTTCAAATGCAACTGATTTCATGTATAATCTCCACGTTCCAAACAAGTCATTGATGTTAACGAAGTACTGCCTAGTGGATGGACAAAAAAAAGCGCGAGCAAAGTTTGGACACTAGCAAACAGGCAACCATTATTCAGAACACATTTCACAACCATTTCCTGCCTTTTTATTATGCTCTCGGGGTTAATGAAACACATGATTGCCCAGACGGGGCAAATTATTCAGAATAACATGCTACAAGCTAATCTAGCCTTGACATAGTATTTATGTAGCGGAAGGTAGTGCCCGGTTCTTAGGCAAGGGGCCAATGTCATATATGATCTCCCTGTGGCAAGACCAAACGAGTTTAATGGCTTCTGGAGTTCCGATCCCTGCACCTCTTGGATCACCAGCAGGCCCAAACCTGAATTACAAATAATAAAATGACATGTTAACCTATTTTGGTTAAAAAAGGAAGATGGCAGGTTCCAGTTTCTAGTCTTAGCTCACCAGTGGTTCTGTGGAGCACCAGTTGTCCTTGCTCGGATGCCGGCATATGTTGTCCCGTTAACTGATCGCCCAAGTACTTCCTGAAAACCGATGAGTGTGTGTTGGATAAGTCACTGAGCCGATTGGATTCAAGTGTTCAATTGTTGGTGGCAAAAGCTGCGTGAGTATTGCTACAAGATGGCTTGACAAATGTTAGCCTAACTAGCTTGGTGGTACCGTGGTAGAATTATTCAACCAAGTGAATGGGCATGGGTGCAACACACAACAGAGATGAAAACCAACTTACCTGCAGGAATAAAGGGTCGTTTGAAACAACTGCAGCCGTCAGATGAGCGTTCATCCTTTCACAGGCTTCTAATACTAATTCAAGCTCATCATCAGAATACTCTGTAACCACCTGCGCATATGAACTTGGAATAGGTTAGTACTATATCACAATGACAATTGAAACTTGTAGGTTGTTATCAATTCTATTGAAAGCTAGCATGCATATGCACAAAATCACTGATTAACTACAAGTAGACCATACCATATTAAAGAAAAGTACTCCTATTCTTTAACCATGCAGTAGGTTAACAAAATTCATGTCATAGCTATGCCAGGTTACCGTTAAATAAAAAATTGTATCTAATCGTGGCAAGACAATGCATCAAAAATCTCTTACCTGGAAAGGACCAAAGATCTCCCTTGTCACAAGCTCAAAATTGCCACTTTTAAGGATTTCCGATAGAGGAACAAATACAGCAGTTGGTTTGAAGGCACCATATATTTCTGGGATAGAATGGTTCTCCAGAGGTTCACCACCAAACAGGACCTTTGATCCTGGTATTTTGAGAAGGTTTTTCATGTGCTCTATCATGCTTGATGTTGTAACCTGGACGGCATAGGAAAAATATATTTAACTTCATGGAGAAACCATAATGATGGTCATCTAGTTATGCAACCACATGAACAAATTAACAAGCAAAAATGAGTGTTGAATGGCTCCATGTCCATTTTCTCTATATATGTTTTGCAAGGATCAGTTCCAGTCAGTTCTTCTAGACACTTTGATATTTGAACCTAGTAGCCACTAGCAGGGATTCAGGAACATATATAGTTGCCCATCCCTATTTTGTTTTTCAACAACTTTTGAACCACAAAATGTTCAAATACTAACAAAAAATAGTATTAATACATGAAAATGGCTAGTGATTAGAGTTGATCACTCACAGTAAGGACTGGGCCAATGGTCAAGTCTTCAAGCTTCCTTCTTTCAGAAAGACTTTTCATTTTATCAAGAAGCCCACTAGACGACCAATTCTGCAAGTTAAGAAAATTAAACAACAGATTAAGATATGAAAAGTAACACAAGCTCAACTAGCTTCCAAAGCTCAAATAAAAAAGAAAGACAAATTGTATTTTCCTTTTCTCAGGAGCACTGGACCTATTGTCTTGAAATCAGTAGGATCGATATTATAAGACAGTCGGTCTTAAACCTAGTGTTGATCATTGGATAAGTTACTACTGTAGTCATAAATAACCTTGTCCATAAGTAAATGGCTCAAACCATCAAGATAAAAAAGAAGCATGTAACATAAGTTATATGTCAAGAGTCATGATCACAGTCAAAGACTCAAGCAAAGAAGGAACATAATACTAATCTTCACTATTACCTTGTGCATGAATAGAATAGACTGAGCAGAGCACTTCTGACCACTGCAAGCATAAGCATCCTGGTCGCAAACCCATGCAATGTAATCAACCTGTTTGGGTATGGAAAAGTATGTCAGGTCAGCTCGGTAGCTACGCACTGAATTTTTTATATACAATACGAAGAACTGAACAGAAATGACTTCAGACCTCTTGAACATCTGGACCAAGAATTTTCCAGTCAAAACCAGCATCTTCCAATTTGATTTTGCCTTTCAAATCAGCAGCCAATTTCTCTGCTATCCGTGAGCTCCCAGTGAAGAGGGTCATTTTCGGATTTGCCTAAAAGAGATCATGTGAAAATCAAATTCAGCATGAAATCTGTGCTGCTAGTAGGACAGAAGTGTACTTTTGGCACTGCATATAAAACTATCAGATGCATTTTAGTTGTGAATTAAATCCTTAACAATCCATTGGAAATGATGTATCACCCCAACAAAGGAAAGATCAGATGAATTGCAGCACACTGGTCCGGTGGTCCTATATTAACATGATGAGCAGCATATAATGTTACAATATGGAACTCAGTTGATCAGATATTGAGAAATGTAGGTATTTCAATCCAGTAATTACAAAGTATTGACATGGTCAAATGCATTATTCAAAAGCAATTATCAAGGGGAAACTGTAAAACTCTCATCTTCTAAAAGGTGGTGTTAGTGATAATGTGTGCTAATTTGTTATGCTATCTGATACAGCATGTAATCTCTTTACTTTACAGTGAGTGAGAGGGTAGCTATTCAAACCTCTAACAGCAGCTTGTTCATCGTGATACCATCAGAATTTATGAAGTCCACATCCTCTGCTGGCATCCCACATGCGTGAAGCAACCTAAGCATCTGGTCCATCACAATGCTAACTTTGCTGTCAACTTTGAGGACAGGTTTATTTCCCATATACAGTGCTCCCATTAGTTGCAGTAATGGAATCTCCAATGGGAAATTGAACGGTGTGATAATTGCAACCTGTTCAGAATTATATATATAACATTAGAGCTAACATGATACCCAAAAAAAACCTGGTATTGCCTAAATAAATGGCTAAACATTCAACTACATTGTTAGAGTACTCACCGGACCATATGGCCAACGGTAACCATTACTGCTTTGTCCAAGATGGTTGCCAGGTACAGCAAATGATCGAGCCAGAAAGCGTACCTACCATACCAGAGAAATAGTTGATGTGAATGATGAGAATATATCGGAGAAGTTTTTTCAATCTGCAGAATGCAGCATTTTGCAAGTTCCTTGGAAATGATGTGCTCTTTCAACAAATTACAAGTCTACCACTACAAACTGCAGCGCTAATGAAAGTATCAATTATATCATAGTACTTGTGAACATGTCAATGAAGGAACTGATCTGATATGTAGATTACACTGATACTATGAAATGGTCCTCTCTTTTTTTATACCTGATCTCCACAAAAGTTCTCCAAGAATTTTTGAGAGACTTGAACTTCTGCAAGAGCTTGCTGATAGCTCTTTGGAGATACCCTCTGGATAAGTTTAGCAAAGAAATCTGAAACCTGTCAATCACCAATGACACAATCAGAAACTAAAAGCAATAGATAGAAAAGCATATCCTTTATTCTCTCCTTCTCAACATGACCTAATTTGGCATTTATAGGAGTGTCATAATGCAGGCCAATGGATGCACAGCTAGAGTCATCTAAAATCTCACTGAAAGTAATAGGAAGTCAAACCATTTAATTTTAAGATAACATACCACAGGTTGACCAAGCATGTTTGCAGCTTTGGCAGATATATCTCCATACATGAGATACCTGCATATTAAAGATACCGAAGTTCGTCAAAGCATACATGAGCATTGTTGTTAACTGCCACTGTCAGTGTCAGTTATACAGTACAAGTTTAAATATAGTACACAGTTTTTTATCGTATTGAATTTTTCCTACTCCACAAAGTTTGTTTACTGTGTGTAAAGCATGTTGTTATCAGCAATATATTTTTGGGAAAATTGATAATTTGTCACTCCTTAGAGTGGTACATCATTTTCCAACTCCATGTGACCCTAGGATCACATGTGATAGACACACAGGGGGGTAAATCATCCATTTGATACCAAATCCCCTATGTGTATAGCTTGGCTTTTCGGGGGAGTTGGAGTCAACTGTGCAAGAACAAGGATACTGTAGCTAACTATTCATGTAGCATAGCACAAATACTTCAGTGACCAGGAGTTTGATAAAGCTGCAAAAATTTATCAATGAGAAAGAAGAGCCAGTAAGTGGATTAGCTATCAGGTAAAATAAACTCTGTTGTGTTAGATGCCTTTTGTAATGCATCCAAAGTTGGGGTTCAAACACAACAGACAGCCAAAAGAAAAAAGTCAAACATTGGAAAACCATGCAATGCATTAGTAGTACAAGAAAACTACACTGACCTCTCTGGAGCTTTAAGTGGGTTGTGAAGTCCATGCTTTGGGCAATTAGATAAACTCTCTACAAATGGCTGCACCGGAAAAAAAAAATGCACGTTGCCTGAGGATACGCTTCAGAGCAGATAACAGATTCACAGTAATATCAACTAAGTCTAAATATAACCGTAGTCAGTCATTTTAATGTAAGAGAGTTTGTTTCTTTAACGGATCAATCTGTGGGTTTTTTTAGTGGAGTAAGCTGAGGAAGGTTAATAACAATTAATATCACCGCAACACGGAAATAATAAAAGAAACATCTGAAAGTAACTAACGTACCTTTATTTCTGCTTCCTGAACCTCAGCAACTTTGATAAATTTTTCACCATTTAAAGGATCAACTAGCCAATTCCAGTTACCAGATG